GAGGTGGGGTACGCTGGGAATGCATTATGAGCGTAGGCTCAATGACCTGGTAGATTTTATTCCTAAAGTAGATTAAATTATTTCCTGTTACATCAGAAATATGAACACAGGTATCAAGTTAAATATTATTTGTTTTGTTTTATTAGAAATTAAATTGAAATATTCAAATACCAATTTAAAACTTTTACAAACTATATTTACTCTAGTAAATTAAATGGAATGATATCTTTTTGAAATATAAAATTTATACAGTATTGTATTAATTTTTTTTCCAGTGCACGTAAGAGACCAGTTCCATATTACAGGCCGTCACCCTCGCCATCTCAGTCGGACAGTGACAACTCTTTCTCCTTGAGGCGGTCTAGGTCCAAATCTCACACCTCCCGATCACGGTTCCGCAGCCTGTCTCGATCTCCCAGCCTTGACCTTCATTATCGACGGCGTAAGCAGCCACAGCGCAATCAAAATCCCACAGAGTATCACCCTCCGCAGCAACACTACTTCCACCAGCCACTTCATCAACATGTGGCCCATTCTACACCTGCATCGTCAGTCCCACCTTTTGCATCACAATACCCTGCCACATGTTTGATATCACAGTAACTCCCTAGGATAGAAAAAATAGTTATTGCAAATTTGTTTGTGATGGACGGATTTTTAAAAAAAATGTTTCCCTCACCTGCAGACTTGATATTTGATAAATCATTGAAAATGTGTCTGCTCGTGAAATTCACGATGTTGTGATGATTGAAATGTAAATTATTCAGCAACTTGAATAATGGGCTTGAGCAAAAGTAATTGTTTCAACTTATGTCATTACATAACTTCTCACAGGCTGGTACTAATGGTGCATAAAATACTAGCAGTCCAGTAACAATTTTCCATTGTCTTTATCCATTTATTTTAAATATTATTGGAAAACATTTTGTTATTTTATTTCTTTCAATTCTACATATCTTGCTTTAGTCATTTTAAGTGTGATACTTGGTACATACCAGATTTATTTTCATTGTTTTTAAATGTTTAAATGATCTCTTGTTTTTTGATAGGCCATGTACAAAAAAGTATCAGACAACTTTCCTACTGGAGCTCTGTTGTTTAAAAATGATATTTCCTTTTAATGATATTTTGACTCTCAGTAGCTTGATTCTTTAGATTAATTTTCATGACTGTATATATTGAGAAAAAAGCTGAGACTGTGCATAACTGAAGTAGGAGTTACAATTTTTAATGAAGAAGATTTGCATAAAAATTTTTTTTTTAAATAAAAGAAATCATATGTAGAAATATTTGTACGAACAGTTCATTCAAAAAAATTATTGTTCCCTTAGATAAATTTAGTTAATTTTGTTTATTCTTTGATGAAAATCTTGGAATACAGTTGTCAACTTTGCTGCAGCACCTTTGGGTTCTACGCACCTGTTGTAGGCCTCTGCTTAACTTTCAGTGATTCTTTTAATTTCTCCTAAGTATTACCACTACTTATTGAAATTTAAAAATGGTTCTATTTATCTAACAGTTACTGACACAGCTATTTAAGATGTTTAATTAATTGGAGTTTAAAATCTCTGACTTGAACAAACAAATTATCTTGCAGGATGTGCCAAATCTTTTTTTTTTATGTTTATCATGTTGGAGCTGATTTTAAACCATGCTGTATCATACAGTCCTGAATATCACAGAGAAAAACTAGTTTTTTTTTTTTTTCATTTATAAACTTATGCAAATGAAATAGTAATTGATGATGTATTGGATTCATATTAAAAGCACACAATTAGTGTTAAGCTTTCATTTTATAAGACTTAATGTTTATATATGTAACCAAACATTTTAAAAGTTCATTTAATTCACACACAATATTTTTTGTTTTTTTTAAACATCTTTACAATCTTTTACAGTCCATTCCTGTTTTTTTTTTTAATACTAGAATCTTCAGTATGTTTGTATATAATGTATTGCTACCATTTCAGCCACACCATAATAAATCCCTAGATATTCCTAAAAATCAATTTAAATTTATGAAATGGAAAACTTTCAAGCATTTTTTTTAAATGGGTGGGGGAAGAGGGCCTTATAGAACAGGTTGGATGAGATAAATAATTAAATTACCAAAAGTCCAGGTTAAATCATATGCCACATTTTATCTTTCATAATATTTAGATGTAAAACTGTATAAAGCGATAAAAAAAGGTTTTGGTGATGGTTGGGCACTAGCTCTATAAATGTTAGATAATACTCTTAAGTGATTGTGCAATCTGTGTAAACACTGTTGGTGTTTGTGAAGACAAAGATTTGGTATGGAAGATATACGTTTTGTAAAAACAATGCAGTAGTTTGTAGACGTAGTGAGAACTTTTTATGCAGTGTTCTTCAAACATTCTGTGTGTAGCATAATGTAAATTAAAATTTTTCATGTACAAAGTATGCTTGTTTCTTCACAGTGCAATGAAATAGTGTTTAATGATGTGATGAGCAAATGATTAAATGTGTAAGTGGAAGTAAATGTATGATTTCACATATTTGCTTTTATTATTTTTTCACACATGTTTCAAAGGCCACCTACCCCGATGCCCACTTCAATATCTTAATATTTTATGGATTAACTCCATAAATTTAGATCAAAAAGACTTTAAGTGTACATGTTTAAACTTTTTCTATACGTTTTTTCATGGTATAAGGCTAATTACTGACATTTAACTTAATGACTCCAACAAATTATAAAGTTTATCTGGTTGCCTTTTTAATCTTGGTGAAAAATTAAATTGATTTTCAATTATTCCGGTTTTTTTTTACATGAAGAAAGTATCAATTATAAAGTATTAAAATTGATATATTTCCCCAAAGCCTCTTCTTTTATCCAATTATATTAACTGTTTCGGAAGCTAGTATTAGGTTTTTATATACTGTATTTAATACGCTCTGAGTATTAACAGACGATGCCAGTTTGAGAATTCTTTTAGTGATTCCAAATAACATTCCAGTGCTGATCCTCTAGTGCACCCTAATGTTGAACTAAACATTTGTACATGGTGCTGGTTGTCACTGATAACATTAGTTTCACTTTATCACAATCTAACCAATATTATCCTTCACCTAGTTGTTATTGCTTATTCTCCATGAAGAAAGCTGATGGGTAATAAATGAATTAACTTAACCAGCTGCAATCCTAAGAAAATGTTAATTCTGCACTTTCTGTAAGATTTTCTCCTTAAAGGGAATAAAAAAAGATAGTGTTGAAATTTTCATTTGAATATACTGATACATTTTCCATTATTTTGTGACCGCTTTGACATTAAAACTATTTCTATATTTCTAAGGACCATCATGCATTTTAATTTGTCCAAGGATATCTGCATATTACTTAAATAATAAATTACTTACACTATTTGCTTGTTACTACTTGTTGTCTTGGGCTCAGGATGATCACTGTCACCATCAGGCAATGCTTAGTGTTTTCATTTGTGTTAGATTTTTAATATTATTACCATAAAGTTTAACATTTTTGTTACTAACATCAATGACAGGTTAATAATAATGCGTGACAATGTTTCAAACTAACACCTTTTGACGTGAAATTGACATTTTCTTGAATTGTAATTAATTTTCATGCTTGTCTTCTTATTTTCTGCATCACTGATTGAATAAAGAAGAAACAAAGTTACGTTTATCATTGTACTAACTCTTTTTTTTTTTTTTTTAATCAATGAGCATAAAAGGTAGCTAGTCCATCCCAATGTTGTATAAGTTAGGTCATAAGTTGTACTCAAATAAGATTAGACCAAAAAGGGTAGTTTCATGTTTTTTTTATAAAGAAGAAACAAAGTTACGTTTATCATTTACTAACTCTTTTTTTTTTTTTTAATCAATGAGCATAAAAGGTAGCTAGTCCATCCCAATGTTGTATAAGTTAGGTCATAAGTTGTGCTCAAATAAGATTAGACCACAAAGGGTAGTTTCATGTTTTTTTTATATGAATAGTAGTCCCCCACGACTGCTCACAATCATAAAAACATGCACAGTACAGTAACTTTCAATGGTGCTGTCTCTGAGGCATTCCCAGTTAGCAGCGGAGTAAAACAGGGCTGTGTACTGGCACCAACGCTCTTCTCCATTTTCTTTTCGATGCTCCTTCAGTTGCCTTCAGGGAATGTGAAGATGGAGTGTACGTCCATACCAGATCTGATGCCACCTTAACATTTCACACAGAAGAAGGTCTGCAGGGGCTGGTTAATCGTCTATCACGAGTTTGGAGTTTCGATTAGTCTACAGAAAACACATGTAATGATGCAAGACGCACCGTCCCTCCAATCATATCTATTGAGGGTCATGATCTTTCGGTTGTTGAGCATTTCACATACCTTGGATCCAATATTTCTAGTTCTCTCTTCGTTGATGAAGAGATAAATATCAGAATCGCAAAAGCAGCAGCAACTATGGTTAAACTGAATAAGCGGGTGTGTAATAATCTCAATCTAACTGATAAAATAAAAATAAGTCTCTATCAGGCATGTGTGCTTAGTACGCTCCTATTTGGTAGTGAAGTGTGGACACGTCTACCAGTCAAGAGCGGAAACTCAACAGCTTCCATCAAAAATGTCTGCGTCGCATTTTATGCATTCGTTGGCAGGACAAGGTGTCTAACGCGGAGGTCTTGGAACGTGCACACATATTTAGCATATTCTCCTTTCTTAGCAAGAGGCGCCTTCGCTGGTTAGGCCATGTAAGGAGAATGAAGGAAGGATGTATCCCAAAGATGCTGTTGTATGGAGAGTTGGCAGAAGGGTCAAGACTTATTGGATGGCTACGCCCGAGATTTATGGACGTTTGCAAAAGGAGCATGAGGGAAGCCTATATTGAAAACAACGAATGGGAGAACATTGCCGAACAACATTCCATCGGGCGAACAGCAGTGTATAAAGGCGTAAAAAAGGCAGAAGATAGTGAAACGAGGCCCTCGCAAGTAAAAGAACGATACGGAAGTCAAAATCTTTCCGGGAATCAATATTCTCCTGCGAGAGATGCGGTCGAGATTGTCATTCCAGGATTGGCCTAGTTAGCCACTCGTCGAAGTGTAGGACTACACTACATAGCTACTCCATCGTCTAACGTAGACGGAAGGATGCCATATATTAATAATATAGATTTTGAGGCAGAATGGTTTCAAAATTTTTATAATTTATTTAACCGTTCCACACAATTTAGACTTCTACAATTTTTGTGCCTGATATCTTGAAGAACAAATTAGAAAACGCAGTTAATTAATCGACTGGATTGATTTGGCAAAAGACATATTCAAACCAACAAATAATTTTCATCCAGCTGTGGTATTTTTAAAGTGAAAGGATTTTATTGATGGGGAAAAAATGGACTTTACAAGACATTGAAAATGCAATGAGTCATGTGAATTAAATTGTAATATTATAAACTTTACTCATAATAGTTTTAAATGTCCAGTAATCTTGTCAATTTTACTTGCTGGTCCTGAAAAACAAAATCCATAAAATATTTACTACATCTTGGAAAGAAAAGCATTAAAATGTGTAATATTAATATGGAGAACACTAAACATAATTTAAATATTTAAAATAATGTCACCAAAAAAAAAAAAAGAATAGTGCATATGAAAATGTTTTTAGGGGGAGATTCAATTCACCAGCTTACAGAAAAAATTACCATTATTGAGGTAATTAGGAATATATAATAACATTATTTGGTGGCCAATTGTAATGTTATAAACTTTTGAAGTCTTAGCTAATAATAATCTAATGTTATGAGTATGACCTGTCAATATCCAACTAAAATGATAAGATATTCCAGTTATCTGACTATAAAAAGAGTGGATGGTGCTGAATAAGTAAAAATCAGATATTTAATGGATTATCTATGCAGCAGTGGCATACCACACAGACTAGGGCAGCCTAATAAAACAGATTAGTCCCAATGATGTTGATTATCTTTTAATATAGATTTAATTTTTTTAATATATATTATATAAGAAAGGCAAATAAAGAAACTGCTCAAAATACCTAATAAATAAGTAAAATCTGGTTTGTGATACTAAAAAAAAAATAAAAGTCATGCAGTCTTAGAGAATATCACTAATAAGCAAACCATTAAAATTGGTAAGTACCAGGTCCAACTGCTAATACTGTCTTAGAACCAGGAGCTATTTGTGTCCGGCCAGCGTCAGTAATAAGGCACGTTCCTACTCCTTCCATTTCAGCAACTTTTGTCAAATCAAAACTGAATGGGCAAAAATATAATTTTGTTAACATATATTATATAAACTCAGAAGAAATGTGCTACAAATACAAGTGAGTTTTTAAACTGGCCTTCCTTTAAATATGGTAAACCAATGCCTTACTATCAATTTTGTTAAGTGCCCCTCTTTAATCTTAAAGCAAACAGCGTGCTGTAAATAATGTTAAAAATACTAAGAGACACCCTTACAAAGCTTGTTCATCATCAACCTTAAGAACTACTTTTGGCTGTCCTCTTCTCTGCCAATGTTTCAATGCAGGGAGGTTATCACGGCTGTATTTATCAACTGCTGCTACTGCTGCATGGGCACACTGTCAAATGGTAAATTCGACATATTAGATTATGCAGAACATAGCTTAGTAACAGGGTCAATTTTTTAAATCATGGTTTTCGTTTCAAAAGACCTTTCATTATCCACTAACATTAAAAAAAAAAAAACTCATTTAAACAAAAAGATGATTAATTTCTTTTGTTGTAACTCTAAGCTTGAGACTTGAAAGAGAAGGAATACAAAAATTTCTTAAGATGTTTTAATTTTAAGCCATACATTTTTAGTTGACATGGTCTTCACAATAAATAACATTAGATCTGATATTTGAATTCGACTTTTAATAATGCCTTTCTGTTAAATTACCTGAGCACCTATTTTTCCTTTACCCATTTTGAGATCATTCCTGACCACTAGCACCATTTTGTATTCCCCAGACACTGCGTTCCCTTCTCCTTGACCAAGCTGGGCTTGATTCTGATGGAAATATTTTAGAAATACAGAAAATGTTAGACCATGATTAATTTATTTTTTTTTAAATATGTTACACACATTACACTATTAGCATTTCATGTGTCGAGAGATTTAAAAGGTTTGAAATGAAAAATCAATTTATAATATTTCTTTGTTATAAATCTAAAATTCTCTAAACTATTACAATTTCAATTAGTAGGTATAATTCTTTACTTTACCAATAGATTAGGCATAGCATAGTATCTTCTCCACCTGCACAGGATATAAGCAGCAAGGAACCCTCCTCCAAAACATATAGCCATTGCCAGTTTTGGATTGTTTCTGATTAGTGTTGACATTTCCATGACTATAGTTTGAGGCTTGTTGTTAGATATGATTATGAGTACTGTAGTTAAACTTCATAGAAGTTAATAGTAATGGGTCTACTTCTATTTATCTCACTCATATATTTAAGTATAGAGAAAATTAAAAAACTTAAAAAGTGCTTTAACTTTAAAGCAAGAATTATTAGAATTATTTATATGACTGAACCATTCACTAAATTCACTAAATAAGAGACCATTCAATGATTCATTTAGTGAAGTATTTTTTACAGTTAGCAAGGAAGGCTGCTACCAGCACAATCTGAAAAAAAAAAAAATATATATATAGGCCCAATAAAGGCTTTTTATCATAAAATAATAATTAATTAAATTTAGTATAGGCCAAGATGACTATTACTTTACTATTAGTATTAGTACTAAGTACTCGTACAGTTACTACAATTACAACTAATGACAGGGACGTGTTTTGGGTAGGGCGGGATATTTGCCCCCCCCCCAACCGAATTTTCAGGTTTTATTTAAATTGACATGCCATATGTAATGTGGAGCACCCAGTAATAAACAATTTAAGAAGCCGACAGAGTTTTGCCCCCCCCCCCTTTTCTGAAAAGAACTGAAATCACGCCCCTGACTAATACTAATAGAATAGTAATAGAATACCAATCATTGTCAATCATCACTGAGTGGACTAAGTCTAAGACTCAGTCAGTCATTTATTTAAATGTGGTAAATGCAGACAATTTCAATTGGTGCCATGACATATGATCACGCGGCCGCCTCCTTCGTTGCCACGACCCGTGAACTTTTAATGACTTTTATAATTCACTGATTCACTGTCACACTCACACAGTAGTCACTAACTAAATTACTTACTTACTAAATTTCTAAATTAGTGACTAAGTAAACGAACCCTGAATTGTATCCCTAAACCTAACCTGAACCCTAAATTTATCTCTACTGGTACCAATTCTCTGCATTAGCCTTAAAGGTAAGTAAGTAAATATGTAATATAAGAAGTCATACTTTTATTAGTATTTTATTTTTTTTTAGCTAGAACAGAAGTAAAAGGTAAAGGGACTACATGAAAAGTCGTGTTGTTAGAAACAAATCAGAGTAGAGTAGCTTGCCCCTAGTTCAACTTTTTGATGATTCGAAAAATGTAAACATTGACAGTATGACAGTGACAGTCATTTGAAAAATTACTTTCGCTTCGTTCTCGGCTTCAGAAAGAAAGCTTGTTATTTTTATAATTATTTTCTAGCCCACTTTATGCTTGATGCATACTTTATTATTATTAGTGACTATTAATAGACTAACTATGAATAATTGCTGCCAAAAAGTTATATAAAATTGTTAGGCCCCACGCCTACGGCGGACGCACATTTCAACTTCACCAATCACGCGATTTTTTTTTTTTTTTTAAATTGCCAGAGTATTAGTATTGTCATTCGTTATGTTGAAAATGGCAACTAATGAGTCTAATGAAGTTGGACATGAAAACCTTTATAAGAAATCAAGTGGAGAAATTTCTCATATCAAGTTTGCATCTAAAGCTGCTTTAAAATGTAACTAACAAACAACCTTTTAATTTTAACATATTACAATATTGAATATAGGCCTATATAATATAATATATAATATAGGTTTTATAGAATATAATCATAGGATAGTATATTTCTATAATTTTTAATGTTGATATCTTGATGTTAAGTATAGAATTATTAACATTCCGACAGGCCTGCTCTTTTCGCAACGAGACCGGGCATGTTGTTGTTTCATTTTCATAACGCTAATGAGAGACTGGTAAAATTAGTTTATTTTATTGAAATTTTATCAAATAATTTTAATAAAAAGTAATTTAACCAAGATTACCAACAATATAATATAAAATTAATCCCCAATAATTATTTTTTTGAATTACTTCTATACCCTTGAGTTTGAGATTCTTAAAATTAATAACGAAGTGTCTACACGTCCGCGCGCCGGACGTGTAGTGCGCAAGATACACGTCCGGCGACTTGTCACGTGACCGCCGGACATGGCCGGACGGCTAGTAGTTTTTATAATTCCAAACGTAGTACGATTTAGTACATCTTGTCTGGTCTTGTGGTAGAGTGGTTGCTTGACGATAGGAATGTTTGAGGATCTATACCGGGGATAGGGTCGTTTTTTTTCTTCCCATTTTAATTAAAATATTTTGTATATATTTATATTATCATGTTCCTCAGCAACAGTAGTTTCATGAGAAGTTTTTAAATATTTTGTAGCAATTGAAATAATTTAAAATGAAATCTTTAACTTTTATTGGTTGCCACACTGGCCCCTAATTTATTTTATGGATTACTGGTACACAAAAAATAACAAACTAAACAAAAATGTTTACAAGCCACTTTCACTTAAGTTTCTTTTTCTATTATTTGCATTCAAGATACTCAGTACATTACTTGGTAGAGAAATAGATTTTAAAATTAACAATAGTTTTGAATTATTCGCAGTCACGCGATAAGGCTGACCGACACGATATCTCTCGCCACTTTGTTACGGCGGTCATGTGACTTGGTCGCCGGACACATAGTGCGGGAGATAGACGTCCGGCGCGCCGGACGTGTAGACACTGCCAATTAATAAAATCAAACATTTTCCTACCAACCGCCATGTTAGACAACAGAAGTAACCTGAAATTTATACGGGCCAGTATAAATATCTTGTTTGGGTACAATGTATCAAAATGATTTTTACTACTTAATAATAAGATAATGTATCAGTATGTATACTAATAGGAAAAATAAGTAACTTCCCATAACAAAACAGCCAAAATCTACACTCTGAAACCATTTTCTACACATTAAACAGCCTTGGCCTATAAAGGAAAGGAAAACATTAAGCCATTCATAGGTAGAGCTCGCTGTCAGCTCACATTAATGTGTGCAAAACCATAACGGTAGTTTATCAATCTGAACAAAGAAAAGATATTCCCTATGACTATCCTTTCCATTAACATATATATTTTCTTTAAAAAATATGACTTATTATTCAGTTATAAAATTAGACTATTTACTAGTTTCAAATTCCTTAGGTTGAATAAGTATTATAGCAAACTGAAATTTAGCTGAATTAGCTGCTGTGGCTGTGGTAAAAATTAATGATTTATGCATCTTTCTCATTTTAATACAAAATGTTGTTATTTATTGATCTCAGCATCACAGCTCAAGCAAAGAGAAAGACTTATCACCCACAAGCGTCTCAAAATTGAAAGTTTGGAAAAGGCAGATTTAGTTCTGTCTAGCCAAGAAGAAAGAGAAAAGGTCAGAGGCTGTTTCAGATATCATTATGAATGTGTGAACCACTGATGGGAGACAAGTAGTAAACTTAATATTTATTGTGCATATTAGAGTGATGGTACTTAAGAGGTCTGGCCAATCAGAGTGTTTGAATAATATAATAGAAAAATAAAGATAATAACGGAGGAGTGAACAGAGACTGTTGACATTATCAGGATTTTTTAAATAACATTTAAGTAAAAGAAGATTTATATTATGGAAGTATAATAGGAATCCAAATTTGTTTGATGTGATTCAAAGTATCTTCATATTTCTGTGAAACATATTTATTATTTATTATTGGCAATATTGTGATTGTCCAAATTAAAATTTATCACTGTTTGAACCTCATCATCTTGAGTATTCTTTATAACTATATATAGCAGTGACAAAGACTTAAATGTTATAATGATGAGACATTAATTTGAAAATAAAAATGTTTAAATTGGATTCTTTATTGTACAAAACTACAGTGTCATATCCAGTGAATTGTATTTTATACAAATAGTCAAATAACCCACATATTAATGGGGAAAATTAAATGGAGTCAGATCATTTCAAATTTAAATATAATTTACTTTTTGTTGGGTAAGGTTCTATTTTAATTATTTTTAAACAATTTGTAAAAATCTTTGCAAATTTTTGTATTTATATTTTTTTTAAATCTTTTATTTAGATCTATTACTAATTGGGAAACTTAAGTATTAATAATGATGTATTGTAAATATATTATATTAACATAATAAAATGTACAAGCCCATCAACACCGCTGTCACTTAAGTTTAAAGTTAATCTGGTATCTCAGCTTAGTTAATTAAAACAAACATTTTTTAAACCAATTTTAGGTGGTGAATGCAACAAGATTGTTGAAGCATGGAAAGAAAGCGGAAGCCCTAAGAATATTACACAGAAGTTTCTCAAGACATTTTGAAAACGCTCAAACATTTATCAGGTAATCATAAAATATTTTTTATCCCGAAGTATAAGTCTTTGTTTTACCGAGCCTCTTGAATAACAATTTTTTTTTATTAATCTTCAAATTGCAGTAACATTTTTGTTTCTCAAATATCTAAAGAATTTGAATTTTAAGGTTCATTGTTTTAGATTGGCTATAATTTTTGTTTTTAATTTTAAAGATAACCTATTCAGACTAATAAATTAAACTAAGCATCAAATGAAGTTTTAGAATTTGTTTATTAAGGCCATGATCATGAGATGGATTATAAAAAGCCTTTTCGAATTCAACTTCAATCTAGACTGTTTGCCCATAAATACAATCACTTAGTTGCATTCAAGATAGGATTTAAATATCACAAGGCACTATCTCACTCATTGTTCTATTTGAATGTATGCATTGAACATTATTTTTTTTTGTTTAAATTTTTTTTAATAAAGAAAATATTTACTGAAGCTTATCTCATTCATGAATTGTTTATAGCTGTGAGGGCCTACCATTGCTGCATAGCTGTTTTTTGTCTGCGGACTCTGAGATTCTCCACGCTGCAGCTTGGTGTGCCATCAATTTATCAGCTGGAAGCTGTGATGTCACGCAGAGAATCATGTCCCTCTCCCCCACACTGATTCAGTTTCTACAAGGCAATGATGCAGTGATGCAGGTAGGAAATGAACAAAGCTTGTTTGTCACTACGCTGAAATTTGTCATCTTTGCATTGTTTCTAGAACTTCATCTTAAAATGATAACGTAACAGTGAACATACCTAACAGAATTTTTCTATTCCTCAGGAGCTTTGTGCCTGGGCCATAGCAAACCTGGCCGGAGATTCCCAAATCAATAAGAGAACATTGCTTGAACAGGGCTGCATACCTTATCTAGTTGATTTAATATCAGTAGTAAGTCCTTCAACTGTTTGAAGAAAATTGCTTAAAATATTTGTATTTTACATTTTTTTTTTAATAAGCATTAAATTGTTCTTCACATTTTCCTTATAAAAATGTTCACTCTCATGCAATTTCCATATACGCTATTAGACTACCCTAAAAATTTTAGACACATAATTTGAGAAATGGAATTGAACTAGTTTTCAGTCGAGATTTATTTTTGGTATAAGAATTAGATTTTCTTTCACTGATTTCTGAATTTTTAAAAAGTATCACCTCATAAGGAATGTGCTTTCTTTCTTCATGGGGAAAAGACTAATGCACATTTTGGCTTTTCATCTCCTTAAACGATGACATTTAGAAACTGTTGTGTTATGTTGTATTCCAGTAACTCACCATGTTTGCAATACATTGGTTAGTATTTTTATTTGTTTCAGAAGCACCAAAGGGATTTAGAGGCAAGGTCACAGAGTGTTTTGTTTGCACTTATTAACTTGGCGAGGGACACCGATTATACATGTCTTCGGTCAGTATCCATTTCGAAATAACGGAAGTGTACATTTGTAAGAATAACACAAAGTTTATTTTGAAACAAACACGAGTTTTTAAGGATCATGGGACGAGATCCAGGAGTCACTACCAATAGGGTTTAAAAAATAAAGTTACCACATATATTTAAAGAATTATTTTGGAACAATCAGAAATGAAACTGAATTATTTCATTAGGGGAAAAGCTAAACGTTTGTTAAATTTTTTGTTTAAAATTGTTTAAAATTCTTTTTCTTTTAATATGTGTAAGGTGTATGCAGGAAGGTGCCATATATCCTCATGTTGTGGCAGTGCTGAAAGAAACACCTCCCACCAGTGACATATGCTATGAGATAGGATGGCTGGTAAACTGTATCTATGCTAGGTAAATATATATGCATCATACAACATCTTGTCCATCTGACACACTTTATGAAGTTTGCATACATGGCATCCTTCCGTCTTTGCGAGACGATGGAGCAGCTATGGACACTTCATCAAATGGCTAATGAGGCTGATCCTGGAATGACACTTATGGCTGCATTTCTTTCAGGACAACCTTGACACCAGGTTAAATTTTGCATTCCATAATGTTCTTTTTTTTTTTCAAGGGCTCTATTTTGCGCAATTCTCACCCTTTGACTCCTTCAAACACTGCTGTTCGCCAGCTGGAAAAATGCTCAGCGATAATCTCACATTAGTTGATTTCTAACCTTGCCTTGCAAAAAAGCCCTGCTCCTCATGAAGTGTCATTGCCGTGGCAGCTACTTAGCCTGGGCGATGTTTTATGGAGACCAGCTGTGGGCTGTTGTTTTATAGAGACCAGCTGTGGGCTGTTATTTTATAGAGATTAGCTGTGGGCTGTTTTATGGAGACCAGCTGTGGGCTGTTGTTTTATAGAGACCAGCTGTGGGCTGTTGTTTTGTGGAGACCAGCTGTGGGCTGTTGTTTTATAGAGACCAGCTGTGGGCTGTTGTTTTATAGAGACCAGCTGTGGGCTGTTGTTTTATGGAGACCAGCTGTGGGCTGTTGTTTTGTGGAGACAAGCTTTTACTGTTGTTTTAAACTTAAAGTTTCAAAGTTTGAATAGCCTTTTGTTAAACCTTTAAAACCTTGGCTTTTTTAAAAATAAAACTTATTGTCACATTAGCTTAGTTTATAAGAAAATAAAACAAATCTTCTGAGTAACTTATATTTTAAAATAAATAATAAAACAAACAGGATTGTTTAATTTTTCTATAATAATTGTGATTTCCTATTTAATTTTTTTCATATTAAAGACCTGAGACATTTGCTGAATACAAAAGCCAGTTTATTCCAGTGCTGTCCCTGGTTATTAGCAAACTGTCACAGATTGTGCAACTTATTGATCAAGCACAAAGAGAGAAGGTTTGTTAAGTTTAACTTTAAAAAAAAGTTTTAAATGGTTTTACAATATTTGAGCATTTGTGTCATAGACGGTTCATCAATTTCTCATATAAAACTATATGTGATAGAGGAATATCCAGTAACATTTTTGGTTTGCATATAATATAAGGAGGTTTAAAGCAGGGGTCTCAAACTCGTGGTCCGCGGGCCCTTTGCGATATTTTGTGGTCCGCTATATGACAGAAAAGTTTAGTGCAATGCGGCCTGCAAGTTTTCCCCATTCACATATCTATAATGTAACTCTCCGCGACAGTTTCGGTCAAATCTCACAGACTAGTCTAATTCTGATTTTAGTTGTTTTTTTTATAGATTTAGACGTTGATAATAATAATAAAAGCCGTTTCAAAAGCGGACTAAAAGTTTTTATTTGATAGAATTTTATGAGACAAACGTGGCCAAAGTGCGGCTTTGAGAAAAGTTTAAAAATTCAGTTAGTGGGTAATGTACAACCATAATTGTGTAAAATCGTAGCAATCTGACACAGTCTCAAAGAATCCCTATTAAAATTGCCCCTGCTGTTAACGAGTGACGGAATTTTTGAGCATTTCAGCTTGGTTCCATTTCAAAAAGGGATTAGTCAAAAAGGCCTTTTCTGCAATAAAAAAAAAATCAAAATTCATTCTCCCTACAATAACATCTTCCTTCGCATCAATAATTCATAAATATGGCCTGCTCCTGCCTACTCTTTGAACACGTTTTAGCCTTCAAAGCCTTCATGGATAAGGATGGGGTGGTTGTTCCTGTGCTACGTGATACCAAATGGCTTATGGACTTGGTTTTTCTTGTTGACATTACACAGGAGCTGAATGTACTCAACAAGAAGTTACAAGATCAGAGGTAGCTTGTCAGTGTTGCCTATGACAATGTCGCGCAATCTGCACAAAAACTTGTGTTATGGTTCTATGAGAAACCTCTGCCATTTCCCAAAATGAAAAGTACTCATGGATTCAGGGACACCCTTCAGCAGTGAGTATACTGATGCCATTGCAAAGCTACAGGAAGAATCTGATCACATATTTTTTTACTTCAACACACAGCCACTTTTCGAACTTTTGCTGACCCTTTCTCCTTTAATCCCCCCACTCCCCACTTGCGCTTCAAATGGAGCTGATTGAACTTCAGTGTAATTCTAAGTTAAGGGAGTGAGTGGAGAAACAGACAAGCATGGAAAATTTATGAGAGCATTGCCCTCCACCTTCAGTGAGATTTCCAGGTTGCTCAAGTAGATCATGTGCTTTTTTGGGAGTACCTATCTGTGTGAAAAGCTCTTTTCCAACTATGAAATTTAACAAGTCAAAGTTCAGGGCAAAACTTACTGATGAGCATCTTCAAGCTATACTGAGGGTCTCAGTTGCTTCCTTACTCAAGCCAAATGTTGCTCAGCTTTGTAAGAAGAAGTGCTGCCAGGTCTCTGGCAACAAGGAGCAGGGGGAAGAAAGTGAAGCCTAGTTCTTGAGAACCTTTAATGTTTTATTTTGTTATTAATAAAGGTTGAGCAGATTGTACCAGTTGTTCTTTATTGAATTTTTCGCTTTTTTTTTTTTTTTTAAACTTGATGCGGCCCAGTCTCACTCATACTCTACCTCCTGCGGACCCTGGATGATTTGAGTTTGAGACCCCTGGTTTTAAGTCTGTTTTCGAGATTATAATTGATGGAATGCATTCTTTTGTCCTGTCTTTTAATTCAAGTTTAGCATACCCTGTTCTTATGTTTCATTTTTGAGATTACCAAGAAAGTTTGTATTTGTAAGTAAAAGCCATTGCTTCTTACCCTATCTCTAGTTTTCATTAAAAGCCATTGCGTCATACCCTATTTCTAGTTGTTAGTAAAAGCCATTGCTTCTTACCCTATCTCTTGTCAGTAAAAGCCTTTGCTTCCTACCCAATCTCTTGTCAGTAAAAGCCTTTGCTTCCTACCCTATCTCTAGTGGTCGGTAAAAGCCATTGCTTCTTACCCTATCTCTTGTCGGTAAAAGCCATTGCTTCTTACCCTATCTCTAGTAGTAGGTAAAAGCCATTGCTTCTTACCCTATCTCTTGTCAGTAAAAGCCATTGCTTCCTACCCTATCTCTAGTGGTTGGTAAAAGCCATTGCTTCTTACCCTATCTCTCTAGTTGTTGGTAAAAGCCAGTAAAAGCCATTGCTTCTTACCCTATCTCAAGTTGTCATTAAAACAGTCAGTAACTTTGAAATTGATCTCTAACCTATTTATTTCTATTGCACCTCCTACAAAAGATTTGTTAAATTTATCTATCAGGTATCATCTATTGAAATAATTATTTTAAAAAAAAGAACTAAAAAAAAAAAAAAACTAGCTCATAGTTAATAGGCTGGAGGTCCTCAAATTTTCAAATTTATCAAATTGACAGTTGTAACTTCTTTAAAATATTACTTATTATCTTTTATTATAATTGTAACTTCAATAAAAGAATTAAATCAGGTAAGCTAATGTGGAATAAAGATTTTAAAAAAAATAAAATTAAACAAAAATATATTTTTTTATAACATCCAAGCAAGCTATTGTAAACCGTAATGAAGATGTGCACTAACTGATCAAATGTTTTATGGTTATCTATATTTTCAGGTTATTTTACCATACATCTACTGTATAGGGAACATCATAGGTCAAAGTTCAGATATGGCTGCGGTTGCCAGTCAGCACATTAGTTTATCTACCAGCATCCTAGCTTGTCTGACATCTGAGACAGGGTTTGTACAGAAGGAGATTTTATGGATGTTGCAGAATTTCTTCGGTTTGTCATTTTCTCATCCCTTTCACAATGAAAAAAAAAAAAATTCAGCTAACTGCAAACATGTACATTAGTAAGGTCAGCATACCTGTAAGGCAGGGGTGGGCAAACTACGTCCCGCGGGCCACATGTGGCCCGGCAACTGATGTTATGTGGCCCCTGAGAGCATTTGGATAGAAAAAAATTAATTCGTTTTTAAGTTATCTCGTTGAATTTACAGAATTTCATGTATCGTAATGATTGTTCTAACATTTTTTTATAAAATTTCTTTCAAATGTTCTATTTTTTGTTACAGTAATTGACCTTCATAATTTAATGATAATATGGCAAAATATATATGCGGCCCTTCAATAGCCACTCATTTGTCAATGTGGCCCTATGCATACAAAGTTTGCTTGCCCCTGCTGTAAGGTCATTTGTAAAAATAATTAAGTTTAAAATAAATGATGCGATGGAAGTGAAAAAATTTTCTACACAAAGTTGTGTATGGTATAATAATGGGATAATTTAATAATTCTGAGGTCAACAAAATATGAACCCCAATAGTTTTAATTCATGTCTTAAGATATGAGTAAAATAATTTATCCAGTGTCGGTATATGCAATCAAGTATCATATATTTAATAATAAATAAATAAGGCATATCACTTCATTCAGTTCTCATGCGCTGACTGGTGGTTGTGACAAATGCCAAGTATCGCCATTTCTTTCTGTAATGGCTACTTCTGTCTGCATGATCAGGTTTTCTATTTTGTAGATCATTTTTGTGCCTTGCACAGTTTTGTTATTCCTAGACTGTCCATTTGAAAGTAGTGTCAGAGACATTTCCAAATTGTGTCTGGGTTTATGTATTGCTCATACAAATAGTTAAAATCATGTGCTTACAACTTGAGTTAATAAAATGATTTTATGGATATTTTCAGCTGAGCCAAGCTGTCGAGTCCTTGTAATGTGTCAACCGCAGCTTTTGCAAATAATTTTCAATCTTTGCCACAGTTTTGATTTTGACATTGCTTTCAAGGTGTGTCTCCAAACTTATTTTCTGTCAAAATTTTATTTTTACTGAAGCATAGACATTGCTGACTCATTTCACTCCATATAATTATAATCATAGTCCCTTCAATAATTCCTTTCTCTTAATTTATTAAACAGCACAGACTTTTAGTAAACCCAGGCATCTGAAAAATTAGGTGATAAAACGTACATTTTTCCTCTGAAAAATGATCTTCTTCATTGTGAACACTCAATTAATTTGCTTGTAACTTGAAATACTGTCAGTAAAAAAAAACTGACATTAACTTCAGTGCAGCTTGTTTCAATTATCTTCATATTAAGTCTCCCATGCAGACAATGTTTAATTCTTTTGATAATGTAGCTGAGATATAATCACATTTTCAGGATGTCTAATAATGTTTAGATCATATCTACTTGTTACTTTTATAAATTTAAGGTGCAATGTAAACAAATAAACAATAATAACATTAATAAAGGGATTTTTCTTTAACGGCTTATTTTAAGCATATTTTTACTTAAATGCCATTCTTATAGAATTAAAATATATCGGATACTGGGTACTAGCTTATGACTGTCATTAACAACTCCAGATAAAATGGAGATTTTGGTTTTCCAATGCTTTAATTATGCATAATCAAAACTAATAGTCCTTCACCCATTTTATTTTTTAACCTCTGATTATTGCATTTCTTTTTTTTGTCTTTTCCCAATAATACAGTCACTTTGCCTTGTTGATGATATGACCAAAGTTTCTTGTCAGATGTGTGAATACCTACTCCACCAAGGATTCATCAACATGGCTGTGGTTCTACTTAAGCAGCTGGACGTTAGAATAGTCTATTCCACTTTGGATATTCTCATGGATGTTGTGTCCCAAGTACCAGAAGTATGAATTTGAAATCCCTGTCCTCATCACTTCTATACTGTAACTAATTTCACTTGTTTCATGTGAGCCTTACAGTCACAGTATTAAAATATGAAAATATATTGATATTAAAATAGACAAGATTATGGGAATAAACGGACAGCATTTTTTTCTCTTCAAAATATTTTTTTTAAAAATCAATTCACGCAGGTTTGCCTAAACTGATTTGGGTAAGACAAGATAAAAGATGACCTTGGTTCATTCACTATTAATAATGAACTGCTTTTTTCCCTTTTAATTGAGCTAAAACTCCAGTGTAAACATTGTTTTAAAGTGTAATTTTTATAATGATTTTAAAACCGGTGTCGAAGATAACATTTAGTATTTCCTAACGTTCACGAGAATAGGAAAATGATAAAGATTTGAATGTTTCAGAATCTGTTTTTATTGTTTTTATTATTTAGCTGACAGAGCCTGCTCTTTTAACTTTAATGAAGTTGTAGCCACTGAAATTAATATAAAAAAAAGGAATAAATCATCATTGAAAATATTGTCCTTATTTATTAATCGTCAGGCCACAGTCTTGCTAGCCACAGCAGGTGCAGCTGATCTGCAACAACTGTTATCAACTGGATCCACGCCATCGGATATAAGAGCCAAGGCCCAGCAATTGCTGTCTTCCATTCAATTAGTAACATAACTGGAACTTTTGCTCAATTAAAATGTACTGAAAAAGTAATTTTTCTGAATTTTTCTGAATGAATACTAAACTTATTGCTACTAGTTACTAGAAATGTACTTAAGGACTGCAAGATAATATACACTGCATTGGGTCAAAGTGCAGGTAACAAGGGGTTCAACAAACTCACATGGGAGGAAATTGTTTAGAATTTCATTCTTGATATAAAAAAAAAAAGTTATATTTGAATTTCTGTGCCAAGCCAACTGATCTGCACATTATCATCATCACTCAGATTCAGTAGCCAGTTGGGCATGTGCCCTTTGGCCAGATTTGCACTTACAATACATGGCCAGATTTGTACTTACAATACACTTGGGCTTTGTAAGTCACCATGACCAAGAGGGGCTGAGACATTATCAGACATGTTATTTTATGTTTTCTTTGGTAGGTAAAAAAAAAAAAAAGATGATCTCTGCATTTAAATAAAAAAATTGATGAGTGAAATTTTCTAAATAATTTTATCAATAAATTCTATAAATAATATGTAGAGGTGTGTAAAATATATAATAAATGTCTTTATTTCACTTCTCTTATTGTTCTGTTTTGCTAGTACCGAGTCTATGAAACTGAAATACCTCAATGATTTTTTTTTTTATAATATAGAAAAGTGAATTTACTGCCAGGAGCTGTGTCAAGTCAGCTGTAAGGCTTTTAATTTAAGAACCAACAAAACTTTGCTCTGGTCTTCAAGCTCAAACATTCCTGAACACTGCCAGAAAGCTATTTAATAAAAAAATTACAGTTAATTGTATTCAGTGCTTTCACTTTCATGTATACCTTGACAGCTTCATTTGTGTGTTCAACTATGTTAGATTATACATATAAATCTCCAATACTTTAATTCTTATGAATAAGCAATAGCAACAAAAAAAAAAGCAGTTTTCTCAAATATTACAATAATTTTATTGACAAAACATACACAATTTTAACAATTATTAAAATGATATTCTTTTTTCAACAATTGTGCATTTCATCATGCACCCTAAAGACATGGTTAAAAAAAAAAAAATTCTTTTTTCACTTCACATCTGTGTTGTACAGTTCCATGAAAAGTAGCGGTCATGCCAAACTTTTTTGTCTTTAAAATAAAGAATTCTTAAATGGCAGTGATTCCAAGGAATACATTGTAATTTCTATTCAAAGGTCATTCAGTACCTCAGGTTCTAAATATATACAAATTTTTTAGTTTACCATCAATGCACTGCATAAAGTCTATAATAAGTATGAACAGATCCAATGTGTGAAATGGAAGAACAGTAGACTATCCCACCAGTTTCAAATACTCTTTTCACGATACATCCAGCGGTCCACACTGTAATCTTTGGTCATCCTAATTGTTTTGATAACCCTGCTATATCCTAAAATACTGAATTGTTTTTTAAAATACAATCTATTTAAAAAATGAAAATCACCTTACAGAGTCAAGTAAATGCATTTAAAATTCATAAGTAATTTTATAACATAAAATGAATATTTACATTATGATAAATCATGTTTTATCATAAAGGGGGTCTCCAAAAAAAGATTGCAACATGGGAGAAAGGGGGTCAATGAAACATGGACAGTTATTTAATTTTGCAAGTGTCATCTAGCAGACACATTTCATGACAACTTTCATTCACAATTAGCCTGAAAGCTTTTATTGGTTACAAAGTGCAAGATCTTAGTTCAGTTGTTAACTATGCTGGGATAAAAATTGTAACAAGTAATTATTATGCAAATTTTAGCAAACTGCGCTTCATGATCTGTAAAATAAAAAACAACCAAAGATGAAATTAAACTAACTTCAAGTAAAAGTGAATGATAAGAAGAGCACAATTAAAGCTTAAAGATTTAATCAAGACTCTGTGAGGTATTAATTCCTAAAGTAGAATGGGGGAGAGAATTTTTAAAAAATGATACTATATTGTAACTTTTTATGAATGGCTCAGCCTAAAACAAGGTATTAGAGAGAAAAGAAATTTGTTTTTTTGCCTATTCAATGGCTGGCTGAAATATAAGTCCTTTGTTACAAGCTTTCATTTGTACTGACACAATCATGCTATTCAATGGCTGGCTGAAATATAAGTCCTTTGGTACAAGCTTTTATGTGTACTGACACAATCATGAGAGTATATTTTCAAAGGTTTAATTCATAGTTGATGCTGAAATGAATAGAGAACGTCAATCTCTATATTAATTAATGATTCATTTTCGTTATCTCTTTTTTAAAAAATTCATGGAAGCCACGTTAAAAATGTAATGTTCACTTTAGGCACCTCCTCTGAGACAGCATATTTTGAGCGAGAAATGTAATAATGAAATTTATTTAAAAGACTGCTTAATAAGTAAATTGAAGATCCTGCAAACTGTATATTATTTTAAATATACCAAATATCAATTCTATATATCAACTGGATAACTACCAAAACAAGAGGCTGAAAGATTTGAACCGTCCAACTGCCCGTCAATGTCAGCGTTCAATATAAGCTTAAACTTTGAACTGAAAGTGGTATCATTCATCGTCTTTTAAAACTTAACCCACATACATCCACTGATACCAAAACTTAACCCACAAACATCCACTGATTACCATCTACCATTATTTTATCTGGGGAAAAAAGTACACTGTCCACGCACATGCCCTATCACAATTTACTCATACAGCTCAAAATCCATTCTTGCAGAATTATAGAACTGCCCATTTGATTTGTACTTGCGGCAGAACACTCCCTTCCCAAATGTACCATCCTCTGCCCAGGTTATCATCTGAGATGTCGTGAATGGGCCTTTAATCTCTGATTCCTCTGTGAATTCTGATTTGTATTCCCACATCACACCTGATGTTTCTTCCTCTGTTGCATTCTGTGTTTTGGAGTCTCGAGATGATGAAGGTGGATTTGGTTCTGTAAAATATAAAAAGAATATTATAAATGTCCAGCCATCGCCTATCTCGGTAAGAGGATTTCCTTTGGTGAAATCAACAAAGATGAAGTGAAACGTGTCATTTGTGAAAAATATTACTTTTTTCAAAGTGAGATTGAATCAGAAAAAAATAATGAAATTTATTTATGCATTTAAAAAAATATATAACTATTATCCTTTTTCTTAATATTTTCACTGCACATAATACAGTTTAAAAATCTGTCTCCCAGGGACAAAATTGTAAAAAATTAATTGAAAATTAAATCTAGATGTTTAAATACAATAAATAATATCAAAACACTAATAAAAGGTTCTCCACTGCACCTTTAAAATCATCAAACTTTTTCTCTGTCAACTCTTTGTCTTGAATGTTGTCTGTTTCTGGTACTTTAATTTTTTCAGCTTCTTTGGAATCAAAATCATCAGCAAACATGTCCAGGGCAGCATCATCTTTCATTGATTCTGCCAGTGTCAGTCTTGACGTCTGCATAAAAAAATAAATAGTCATATGGGGGGGTGGTGGAAGGGGTGTACAAGTGTACTGTAAGGGAGGGGGAACTTGTCTGTGTACAGATAAAAAAAGGTAGGTATCTGTGGACTAAAGGGGGCTGGAATGATTACAGGTGTAAGGAGGGAACATGCCTGGGTACACATAAAAAAAGGTAGGAATCTATGTCCTGGGGGGTGCCATATGTGTATATGGCTACATTTATACCAAACAGTATGTCTGATATTCAGAATATCCCTCCCAGTAGCGTTAACTGGTTTACCTGAAGGATAGATATAATCCATAAACTGTTTTAACGCAATGTCCGATGTTAACATTTGTAACAGTTTATATTTCAGTGATAAACAGGTAGTGGCGAAATCTTTTTAAATTTTTTTAAAGAAAATGTAAAAAACAAGTAATGGGAAAACCTGAAAGAAAGGACACAACAAAACAATAATCGCGTCGGCAAGAAGTTTTTAATTAATGCAGACACAAATGAACATGAATCACCTTATCTTTTTCTTTAAGCTGTTTAAGGGTGAAGGCCACTTGTTCATAAGGGGTTTCATAGATCTCAAGGACACCTTGCTGGACCAACTTGTCACAGAGTTCTGTTAAACGGAACATGTCTTTCTGTTCCGCCACAGCACTGTCTATGGCTGTTTGGTCCTCAACAGAGGACTTGGCCGAAGTTTTCAATTTCTTGTTCTGGTAGAGAAATGGACATTAAAATTTATTTGTTAGATTCTTGCCTTAGGGAGTTGTACATTTATATTTAAAACAACAGTATTTATTGTAAGTTCAGGCCAACAGAGAAAAATAATTTTTATTTGAAATATTAATCATTTTTCGGTATCATGGTAAACAACTTTATAAGACATTTTATACTCTATAGCTGTTAGCAAATGTAAATGATCACTAATTAAGTCATTATTGTCACTAAAGGAGTTCATTGATGGCTTATTTCCTATGCTATAGAAATCCTTTAGAAGTCTTGTGTTTAAATTGTTATAATTGTAAAATGTTGTCTTGGTTTAAATATTTATTTACTTACATGCTGAAAATAAATGTCTACAATGTAAGAAAAACATTTCAATTTATTTGGATCAATAAAGAATCTTATCTTAACATAAATAATATCACACAAAATCTGATTAATATAATGAACTTGATGAATAAGATCCAATTATTTATTCTTAATAAAGCCAGTAACACCCAAAGATAGCAAAATAGTTGTTAACTATAAATTATAATCCACTTCCTTTGCAACTAACATGTTTTAAAAACTTGACAGAATTTAATAAAAAAATGTAAATGTACCTTCCATTTCTGACTGGCTGAAGGGATCTTGGCTTTATTTTTGGCCAGCCTCCTAATGGCTTTGGCTACAGTTTCCCCCTGCTGAAGCATGCCCAGGATAGCCTCATACGTTTGAATGGTGCTGACTTTCTTCTTCTCTTCATCCTCATCATCATCTGAACTATCACTGTACTGCAAAAACAAATTGAAAACATTTTTAGCAAGTTTTAAGTTTATGGAACACCTTCCTTTGTTTGATTTTTATTTATAGACTTAAATTTAAATTAGACAAAAGTTTCTCTTCCCTGACAGGTAGATATAGTGTGCCACCTGGGCTAAATTAACTTTATGACGCTTTATAGATAAGCAGCATAATTCTGATTAAGCGATTTTGAATGTTCTGCCATTTTGTAAATTATTTATGGAGCTCCACACCAATTGCGATCCCGGCTTTGGACATAAATTTATTTTAAAACTGACCATTCACAAGAAAACATTTTATTTTTAAATGTGTGACAAGCTAACTACTTCAAGAATTTTTTATTTTTTTTTAAAGTATGTTATTTCTATAATAGGAATTTGTGCTACACTCAGAGCAACAACTTCAATAATTAAATGCCCAATGTCAATTAAAATGTGCCAAAACTTTTTCCTATTATTTCAGGCTAGGATAAAAATTCAAACTAATTTTAAATCAATATTAAACTGTAAAAAATTACTGATCCACTTAACACTCAAATTCATTCTTGGTTTTCTGCTATTTTTTTCTCCCTCAATCTTGTATAATCTGGCTGGTTGGTCAATGAAGAACGTAGCAGTAATGGCATGTTATATATCATTTGATTCTGAATTGAACTATCCATTATGATACCAATTGTCAGATCACTGTTAATAATGGTTTTGATGTCCATCCGAAAGATTGAGCTTCTATGTGTACGAAATTTTAAAGCAAATGTCATCATACCACAAACAAGTAGAACCAACCAAAAAACATTTTTTTGAGACCTACTTTAATTCTTTTTTATATCCATCAAATGGTATCCATTTTTACAGCACACATAAACATTTCAAGCAATTTTACCAACACAGGCATTAATTAAGCCACTTTTAAAAATGCATTGATAAATATTTGTTTTCTTTTATTAAAAAAACAATTTTAACATGGCACATGTTTCATGAAAAAAATAAAATTACTATCAGCAAATAATGTAAGTGGTGATTTATCTTGTTAACATATTTTAAAAAATTTTTTTTACCACATTGGGCTCAAATAAACAACTATCTGGTATGAAATATGGTAATATCTGTCTTCCAAGTAATCTCATATATTTAACAAAGGCAGCACATCAAGTCCTAGATTTTCTTTCTATTTTATAAACCTAATAAAGATTTGGCAAAATTTTTTTAATTTTAAGAAAACAAAATGTATGTCTTGAATAATTAAAAAGATCTGATAGCTTTATTCGTTTTATTTCTTCAGTATAATTAATCAGGTAGTGGCCAACTTTGCTAATAATGTTCCTGTTCACAACAATTTGATGATCATAACTTAGCATGTTGTTGAGGCTGCTATAATTATTTATGTGCAAGAAATAATGTGCCAAATCTTTATTAGGTTTATAAAATAGAAAGAAAATCTATGTTGTGTTGGTCCGTACCAGTATTATGTTATGAATATGTCTTACCCTCTCTTTATTAGTTAATAGGGTTTCTTGAGGGACCATATTTGCATACATCTCCTTTTCATGGGGTCCAGAAGACATTAAACTGTACTTGCTTATCTGCAGTTTACTCGGTATAACCTTTTATGAGCTTACTTGTATAGGCCTGTATATTGGCCTAAATTAAAACAGTTTATGAATTCCATAATCTTGTGAATTAACTCCTTTTGTCCAGTAATAGTTCACACAATGGGGGATAGTAGATTTGTAGTACAATGAATGACCAAAGTTTTTTTCATCATCTGGAATGTCCAGTTTTAAAACCAAGTTGGCTTAGTTGCCCTAAAGTTGCAGCTGCAATGGTTGTGTACATTTACAATGCATCTCCAGCCTTGATGTAAATTAAATTTGAAAAATGTTAAATTAGTAGGGTGCTCCTCCTATCTTAAGACTGGTATCAGTTGGTAGTGCAGGTCTGAAGGCAGGAATAGCAATATCATGATGAATTGGGTGCCCAGTGTCCTAGCCACCACATTGATACTGTGAAATTATAATAAAATATAAGCATTACTTTACAGACTTAGATCTTCTAATTAACAAATCTGTTCAAAATTAAATTCATTTTTCAATAACAAAAAATAATTCAAAAAATCAAATTAAAAGCAATTTTTCCTCCAGAAAAAATTATAGAAGTAGAGGTCATTTGCCTCTTCTTAGTGTATTAAATTTAAACAGATAAAATTTCAAACTACTTTGAAAAAAATAATAAAAATAAAATATACACATTAAATTCATGTGTATATTTTATTTTTATATAATGGAACAAAAAATTAATATTTGTAAGCTTAAATAGTTATTTTCAATGTCTATGAAGTCCACTGTTACAGTATATCAATGGGAACATAGTTTTTCCCGCCCCCACTATTTCCACAAAATTCAAAAGTTTTTTACCCATTATAACAAATAAAAAAAATCTTACCTCTGATTACTAACTTTCAATCAGGCAAAAAGTCTTCTTCTCATTTTATTTGTCTAGTAATACTTCTTGACTTGAAATATAATCAACAACATAGTCGGAAGATAAATGTTGAGCATTTTTTGCACCATTTTGTGCTACCAGCCCTCAGTGAAGTTTGACAGGATTGGCAATATGGCGGGGAAAAAAAATCGCATCATGCACAAAACCTAAACACAATGCATGGACTAAATTTTTTTTTTAAATTTTAAAATCTAAAATTGATATTTTTTAACAAATTTATCAATGAAAGTCTAGTAGCACATTAAAAATAACTTTGGTATATAAAAAGGTGAAAATAAAATCAAGCTATAATCCACCAGTCATTTGTGTGAGTTAACTGAATCAGTTAATGTACAAAATTTAAAAAAAATTATCAGTTAAGTTAAGGTACAAACTATCGAACCCAAATATTACTACTTTATATCAATAATAATTTGAACTTTACTGAATAGATAACACATCTAAACAGTCAGTATTTATTTGATGAAATGCAACATATTTCAGCTATCAATTATAATTTAATTTTTAAACAAATTTTTTTTTTTTTTCAAATTACACCAAAAATATTATTTTTCTTGAATAAACAGATGAACTTATTGTATTTTGGCTGCTTCCCCCCCCCCCCCCCACAATTCAAAATTTCCCTGAACTTAGAGCAGCCCACAACAATAGAGCTCCCTCTGGCTCAATGAAAATAATTACCGCCCTGGTTCAAAACCACAGTGCAAAGGTGATGCAGTTAATTATAATTGCCACAGTGTTAACTCTCTTGTAATTTATAACTGCCTTTGCATGTCCCTATTTCAGTCAAGAAAATATTGGTCAAATCCTTTTTACTTACTTCAAATGGACGTTTCTTGTTGGCATCTTCCGGTTTAGTATGTTTCACTTTCACCCAGTCTATGTTGTCAATCCAGTTATCATGAATTTCCTGAAATTAAAGCAAAATTTTTCGTCTATTGCTTAAAAAAAAAGCAGATCAAATTATTTGATTATTTTGCACTTGAATGATGACCCTTATCATCTGTCTTTTACAACTCTTTTCTTTGTTATGCATTTTAATATGCAAAGCTTTTTGTAAATTGCATAACACTAAAGAAGGATTTATGATTATTCAAATAACACAATATAAATTATAATTAGAAACAGGTATGGTTAATAGTGACATGTGGTGTCTGTCTCCTTAAATCACAACTCTTATTGATCACGCAACTTGACTGAGGACAGGGGATGATTTTTTTTCTAGATGGCAATCTGACAGGTCTAGAAACATAAGTTTCATATAAATAGTGTTATGAGCATCCTGACCAGATATGCAAGGTGTCATCCCAAGAGCTAATTTGCGGGGTGCAATAGGCTTTCAGTGGCAGGCTAGAGATAAGTGAAAGTAATTCTTGTAAGAATTTGGTATGGCTGATCAAGGTGTGTGTATGGAAAGGAAAGTGGTGGTGGTGTTATTACATGTAAATAAGTGAATGTTGATTTGGTAGATGGGTGCCTTAAGTCTGAGTTTAAATAAACAAGTTATATGCTAATAAAGTTAGTGAAACCTTGGTTTTATCAAAGATGTAGGTCCCATCAGTATCAAAGTGACCTTCCTCCAATTCCTCCCGCATGTTGAAAGGTGTAATTTGGATGTTTTCATCAAAGTCTATAGTTGCTTCCTCCTGACCTAAATAAAATAAGTTAATATAAAAATCACAAAACTGATTTTCAATTTAACCCACTTTAAAAGAAGGTAATAGACACTACAATGTCTAGTCAGTAGTTACACACCCAACTACTTGAACTAAGTAAGCTTTTTTTTATAAATGGTAGACAGACTCATCCAATCACAAACATTTTCTTATGAATACGACATAAACTAAAAATTAAGCAAATAGGCTTTTGGCTGAAACTGACATTAATAATTTAATTATTCCTTTAGTAAATAAATTTTAGGCTTAGTAGATGCCTTAATAATGCCTTTAAGTTTAGGCTTAGATAAGAACTTAAGAGTGAAATAAAAGTTAGTTGAAATTGAGTGACTTGAGGTGAGATTTTTTTAATAAAGCCTAGTTTTATACTTAGTCTATAGTCACGTGCTGTCCAACCCACGATTGCCTGCGGCCCACGTGATGATTTTAAATCTCCCACCACAGCTTGAGAAATTTTGATGATGTGTGTAAAAATAAAACATTTTAGGGCGAGATCTTTTCAAACCACCTTTATTATAGGGAACAACCGGTTAGACATTTTCACTGGGTACTGAATCTGAGTTTTTTAGGACTACTTTTTGCCAAATTAGGGTACAAGTCCGAGTATTATTTGTACATAGTTCAAAATGAAACTTATAGTGTATTACTGCGTTTCATGGATAATCCCATCTCTACATATACTGCGATATGTTGATCTAGTAATAATGTAATACAAAATAACTAAAAAAATATTTATTTGTAAATAAAAACATCAAATGCTTTAAATTATTATAATACTTGAAATGCCTGTGGTCATAACGATACAGTAGTATTTGGGGAGACACAATTTAAAAAAAAAAAAAAAAAAATAAAAAAAAATTTATTTGTAAAAAAAAACATAAAATGGTTTAAATTTTTATAAAACTTGAAAAGCCTGTGGTCAAAAAGATACAGTAGTATTTGGGGAGAAAAAATTTAAAAAAAAAAAAAAAAAAAAGGTTATTGTTATTCTGCTGGGGAGTATTTGGGAAGAAACAATTTAAAAAAAAAAAAAAAAAAAGGGTTATTGTTATTCTGCTGGGGGGAATGGCCAGGGCAATTTTCGGTTGTTCCCTAATTCATTGATTTAGTATTGCTGGGAAATCGTGTGAGAGTAGTAACATGGAAAAGGGGGAGGTCACAAAAGCTAAGGAGTGGAACGGCTTGACAGGTAGCAGCAACTTATGTTAAGCACATTAGCAGAGCAACCATTTAAGAACGTGAGTGACATAAAATTGGATACTATCTTCTCCTACTTTCTGTTGCTTGTACTGGGGAGGCGCCGTGAGGTATCAGATATAATTACTAACAGTGTTGAGAAAGATGAATGGAGAAACCAAAAGTAGCTTGATGTGTAGCTATTTGGTCATTGTAAAAATGACCATTGCCAGACCAACAGGACAAAGTTAGATGAAATAGATAGGCGAGCATCACAAGTTAAACTATTGCGCTTTGATAATTTTGTACAGGAAAGTCTTCTGGTCAGAGTAATCAAGATGAGAGCTGGGTACCTAAGGTGTCAAATTTAAATGACTGCAGTTGGCAGTGAGAACCTTTTAGGGTAACATGTTATTTAAACACGTAGTCTAGCCAGGTAAGAGAGAGTGTGTGTTTATCCTGTACTGTTGTGATGTTGGGGACAAGTACCCGGTATTCAGAGATCAGAGTATGAGACATTCAATGAGCAGAAAGCAGGATACAAGCTGTTTGTTTGTTGTCAGTCAGTGCTCTAGTGTTGTCACAGACAGCTCCAGTCAGGGAGGTGTTGTCACAGACAGCTCCAGTCAGGGCGGTGTTGCCACAGACAGCTCCAGTCAGGGAGATGTTGTCACAGACAACTCCAGTCAGGGAGATGTTGTCACAGACAGTAGGAGCGATTCTTGAAAGTACTTTTTTTTTTAAAGAAACATAATAATGTGTGGCTAAATAACTTCTGGATGACATATGTTGCTTCTGATGAATTTTCACAACAATAAAATGTTTAAAAAAATTTTGATCATGATTTTTTTGAAGCACCCTGCATCAGTGAAGTAGGATTCTTTGTAATGACCGACATAGAGTCCAAAAAAAAAAAAAAATGAAAAAAAAATGGAATGCTTTGACAGGTGAACATTTAGATAATCTAATGAGGGCAGGTGTTACTGGTAATTACATATAATTAAGAAAAGCGAAAGCATAACTCAAAGATGGCATTATTACAAAGGTTACAGTTTCTATTTGCTTTACTTATATTCTTGATGTTGCAGGAGGTGAGAAGTATTACTAATGTGAATAATTTTCTAAAAAGTAAAAAAAAAAAAATTCTTTCGCGGTGTCATGCATGCCCTCTACTTCGGCAGAAAAAATACTGGTAAATTTATGGACAGTGCGCCACTCATTTCCAATGGCCACCATATGTGTCATGGCAAGCAAGATGGCAGCTATTTTAAAAAGAAAAGAAATGAAAAAACACGTCTGCTAAATTTGAGCACCCCTCCCCTTTTTCCGTATGCCAATGCCCTTAAGTCGACTGATTTGCACTGAGTAAAATGAGGGTGAAGGCTAGTGATTATATATAATAAGACGGACTCATTTAGCGTTATTGCAGGTAGTGGGATCACTTTGTTCAAAATTGCAGGATGACAAAGATTAAAAATAATTCAAATAGTTGATGCAACAGATTAAATATGGAGGAAAAGAACTACACAATCAGATACATAAACTTATAACTAAAATTTGGCAAGAGGAGAAAATCCAGACAGAATGGGAAACATCATTAATAACCCCAATACACAAGAAAGGCTCCAAACTTCAGTGCACAAACTACAGAGGAATCTCCCTATTAAATGTTACATAAAAAATACTGACAAAACTTATTGCCAAAAGATACAACCTTACACTGAAGAAATACTAGGTGATTACCAATGCGGATTCAGCCCTAACAGATCAACGACTGATCAGATTTTCACCATCAGATGCCTATTAGAGAAATGCTATGAATTTAATATACCAGTACATCAACTCTATGTTGACTATAAAATGGCCTATGACAGCATCAAAAGAAACTATTCTTCTTCTTCTTCTTCTATATCTTAAGGGCCCACGATCAATTTATTGATCATTTTGGCTCCTATGCATGTAGATGGGATTTGCAATGTTTCTGTTCCTGGTGTTGATGAGGAAATTTCACAGATTTCCAGTGCCACTTTGTGAGGGAATCATGCACTGGGGGTTTGAAGGCTTGAGGCAATAGACACAAATGTGTCTAGTGTTGTCGCCTCAACCGTTCCTTTTGAAAGATGGTTCCAGTCCCTGATTGTCTTGGGCAGGAATGAGCAGCTCCTATACTGGCTTCTTGCTGGTATGAGCCTGAATTGCCTGTCATGGCCTCGTCGCTGTCTATGGGGGAGAGGGACGAGTTTCTGTTTAATACTGGAACAGTGGACCAGCCCATTATTTATCTTGTACATCATGGAGAGCCTGGATTGTCGTCGTCGTTTCTCCAATGGTGACCAGCCTAGTGTTTCTAGCATGCTGCCAACACTAGAGGTATTCCTGTAGCGGTTTAGGACAAAGCGTGCTGCTCGTCGCTGGACCGCCTCCAACCTGTCAATGCTCTTCTGGGTAAATGGGTCCCAGACTGAAGATGCATAATCTAAAATCGGACGGATAAAGGCTTTATATGCTCTTTCTTTCACACAGGAGTTGCCAATCTTTAGATTTCGCCTTAAGAACCCCAAGGCTTGGTTTGCTTGGTTACATACATTGTTAATATGCTCGTCCCAGCGGACCTCTCTTTGAATGGTAACACCCAGGTACTTTACGGAGGAAACTTGCTCAAGAATATGGCCGTGCAGTTTGTATTGGTAGTGTAGAGGAGTACAACTTCTAGAGATTGATAGTGTCTGGCACTTGGCAGGGTGAAATTCCATGTCCCAGCTCATCTCCCACTCAGCTAACAGATTGAGATCCTGTTGTAGCTGGTCCTGGTCAGATCTGTTGGCGATCGTCCTATACACTGCTGTGTCATCTGCAAACAGTCTTGCCTGTGATGTCAGTTTCTCCGGTAGGTCATTAATGTATGCTAGGAACAAACAGGGGCCCAGGACTGATCCCTGGGGGACCCCTGACTTCACATTGACAAAGGAGGAGCTTGTACCGCCCACCACTACTGCTTGGCGTCGGTGGCTGAGGAAGCTAGAGATCCATGTTTTAGTGGTGCCTTGAATCCCATATATCTGGAGTTTGTGTAGAAGCAAACTATGATTCACCCGGTCAAATGCTTTTGCGAAGTCCATTACTAGCACGTCAGTCTGCTTGTGGTTCTCCAGATTGGTCATCAAGTCTTCTACAAATTCGAGAAGCTGGGTCTCACATGACCTATTGACTCGGAAGCCATGTTGACAGTCATTGAGTATATTTTGGCTTTCAAGATGCTTCATGACAGAGCTTACGATTATGTGCTCCAACAGTTTGCAGACGACGCTAGTGAGGGATATCGGACGATAGTTGGCAGGGTCGGAATGCTCCCCTTTCTTGTAAATTGGAGTGACATGCGCTGTTCTCCAGTCTGCTGGAACATTTCCTGTGCATAGTGACGATTGGAAGAGGATTGTCAGTGCAGGAGCGATTTCTTTGGCTAATTCTTTGAGCACTCGTGGTTTAATGTGGTCAGGACCACATGCTTTGTAAGGATTAATGGTATTGAGGAGGGCAAACACACCTTGTTCTGATATCTGGATATCTCCCATGATAGGATAGGCTCTGTTCATCATTTTGGTTTTCAGAAGGAACTCAGTCTCAGAGTACTCTCTACCGTCACCAAAGACCGACTGGAACTGCTGATTGAGTATCTCCGCCTGTGCTTTTGGGTCAGATGTCAATTGGCCATCCCACCTCAAGGGGGAAACTCCAGCGTTTGAGGACTTTTGGTGTTTCACATAGCTCCAGAAGCGCTTGTTCTTGACATCTTTGGTCGGGGTGTCTTCCTCTGAGAAGATGCCGTTCATGTAGTTCCAATACGATCTACGCAATAAGCGTTGAATGGTTCGGCGGAGTCTCAGTACCTCCTCTCTCAGTTCCATCGAGCCATTTTTCTTCATGCGTTTGTATTGGCGGTCTCTCCTGTGGATGAGCCTACGGATTTCAGCCGTGACCCATGGCTGATTTATCCTAGGTTTGGTGAATTGGTGTGGTATAAATTTCTTCACTGCATCAGTGATTGTAGTCTTGAACCTCTCCCACAGCTCGTCTGTTGTCGCTATTTATATGAGACTCTGCAGGAGTTTGGGATACCCAACAAACTGACAAGGCATGTAACACTAAACAACTCAAAAAGCAAAATCAAGATTCAAGGAGAATATTCAAGGGAATTTCATATTAGACGAGGCCTAAGACAGGGAGACTCACTGTCTTGTATGCTCTTTAACCTAACATTGGAGAGAGTTATTAGAAAACATACACATTGACACTCGAGGAACTATAACAGGATACTTTCTGAGGGAAACTCAAGACCCACAACAAACGGGCACACTCTACAACCAACCACTTCAGTATCTTGCATATGCTGATGACATAGCACTTCTAGGGAAAATTATAAAAGACATGTCAAAATCCTTTATTGAATTAGAAGACGCATCTTTACAAGCAGGGCTGGAAGTTAACAACCAAAAAACAAAATACATGACCATGATAAGAGAGGAACAAACAGATGCAACAATTAAAATTAGACCGTGCGGTCTAAACTGTCTCAAACCAAAAAGCCGGTGGTTCGGAGTTCAATCCCCACCAAAGCCAACATCCCAAGCACCCTGGGTGGATGGGACTCGTTAGCCTTGGACGGCAACCCATCTAAGAGAAGGCAAACTCTGAATTTAAACCAGGAGCCAGAATGATCAACAAATTGATAGTGGGCCTCTCAAATATAAGAAAAAGAAGAAGAACCAAACTTTTGAAAAAGTAAATCAATTCAAATACCTAGGATCCTTGTTAAATGAAAGAAACGAATTACTAACAGAAATAAAAGAAAGAATATCAGCCGGAAACGGGGCATACTTCAGTAGTCAGAAAATACTCAAAAGTAAAAACATTACAAGAGAAACAAAGAAAAATATTTATAAAACAGTGATCAGACCAGTTGTAACATATGCAAGTGAAACTTGGACCCTAACAAAAACAGCAGAAAACCTATTAAACACATGGGAGAGGAAAGTTTTCAGGAAAATATATGGGCCAACAAAGGATGAATATGGATGGAGAATACGAACCAACCAGGAATTATACAGTCTTTATCAGGATCCTACAATAGTGGCAGAAATAAAAATAGGCAGGCTACGCTGGGCAGGACACCTAGAGAGAATGCCAAATGACAGAGGAACGAAGAGGGTACATCACCAATACCCCAGAGGAAAAAGTCTCAAAGGCAGACCTAGGCTTAGGTGGATAGATGATGTAGAAAAAGATCTACAGCAGCTGAAAGTCCAAGCATGGAAAAGAAAGGCATTAGTTAGGTCTGAGTGGAAGGAAGTAGTGAGGCAGGCCAAAGCCCTACATGGGCTGTAGCGCCACAGGGATGGATGGATTGGGTAACGGGGAGCTAATTAGAATCCTATCGGAAAATGGGATCACATCAGGAAAAGGGACCTCACCAGAAAACGGGATACCACCGGGATTGGGAACCAACTGGTATCAGGATCCCACTGGTATTGGGATTCAAAAGGATCACCGGGGCTGGAATCTCACTAGGAAATGGGACCCCACCAGAATACAGGATCCTGACGAGATCAGGATCCCATCATGATCCCTCCGGGAAACGGGATGCCATGGGAAAACAGGATTTGAATCCCATTGGGAACGAAAGGTTAACAAAAGTTATTATTTGAGTTTTTATAGGAGACAAATTAACTATTTTATTTTTGTACTATGGCAGTGTTGTTTTTTTGTTGTCGACATTTCACTAAATATCAATGTGAATTGAAAGGCTGTGGCAGATTTTTTTCCAAATGTAATCTCGTGCAAGTCACGTATATTGGCTAGTTAAGTTAAAAAATAAATACAACATTTATTTTAATCAAGATACATCCAATTGGGCAACTTTTATAACATATCTTTTAACACAGAAGAGTTATCCTTGATTTACCACAATGGCTCCGTAAACCCAAAAGATTCTTGAAAATTTACTTTCTTTTTATCTCAGAAAATTAGTTAAATTGTTGCTGTATTTCAATAACAAGATTGTATTTCAATAATAAGATTGGATTTTACTTGAACAAATACTTTTAATTAATAATTCACATAAGTTTACAGGCAAAATTAAAAAATTCGATCAGAAATAATATTAATTATAATATATGCACCTGAACTGCTCTTTTACCATAACTTCAATAATTTATTGAATTGCCTTGGACTCTGGTAGGGTACGTTGCTGAATCCATGTACTGCTGTTTTTTAACATCTCTCTCAACTCTCTGCCCAGTTTTTATTTTAGCCACTTTCATATTTTACTATATTCTCCATGAGTTATCCCATAATAATAGTTACACAAAAAAATCATAACTTTCTTTAGAATTGACCTAGAAAATAAATTTGTTATCAATGAATCGCATTTTTCAGGCCCTATCTAGCAAGCTATAACTTCATTTTGAAAATTTTACCCAAGCCTAAGTACCTAGTACAAATTAGGCCTATGCCTATTACTATTGTATTGACAAATATTTTTGAGTCTGCAATGGTAAGTTGAATGTTCCGGTAAATGCAAAGAATGGATGCCATGTTTTCCTCACAGCCGCCATCCTGGTTGACACAACCAGTTAATTCTTTCACTAAACTAACCCTAACTAAATGTATGCCTAAGCCTAACCTGAACCCTAAATGTATCCCTAAGGCAGTGTCTACACGTCCGGCGCGCCGGACGTCTATCTCCCGCACTATGTGTCCGGCGACCAAGTCACATGACCGCCGTAACTAAGTGGCGAGAGATATCTTGTCGGTCAGCCTTGTCACGTGACTGGGAATAATTCAAAACTATTGTTAATTTTAAAATCTATTTCTCTACCAAGTAATGTACTGAGTATCTTGAATGCAAATACTAGAAAAAGAAACTTAAGTGAAAGTGGCTTGTAAACATTTTTGTTTAGTTTGTTATTTTTTGTGTACCAGTAATCCATAAAATAAATTAGGGGCCAGTGTGGCAACCAATAAAAGTTAAAGATTTCATTTTAAATTATTTCAATTGCTACAAAATATTTAAAAACTTCTCATGAAACTACTGTTGCTGAGGAACATGATAATATAAATATATACAAAATATTTTAATTAAAATGGGAAGAAAAAAAACGACCCTATCCCCGGTATAGATCCTCAAACATTCCTATCGTCAAGCAACCACTCTACCACAAGACCAGACAAGATGTACTAAATCGTACTTCGTTTGGAATTATAAAAACTACTAGCCGTCCGGCCATGTCCGGCGGTCACGTGACAAGTCGCCGGACGTGTATCTTGTGCACTACACGTCCGGCGCGCCGGACGTGTAGACACTTCGTATCCCTAAAGCCTAAAACTAACCGAACCCTTATTTACAGAAACTTTAATAAACGACGTCATGGCATCAAGTCTTTGCATAAGAGGTCTTATAAACTAATGCCGACAAATAGACGATGACGATAGGTTTTTTATTGATGAGGATGTAGGGTGTACGGTAAGGATCGGCCATTATTGAATCATAAATAATTCATAATAATCAGATTCATATCATTTGTCATTGTACTATGATTGTACATTGTACTAGATACTTCGATGAAAGAAGGGAGACTACTATTTTTTTTGTATCGGAAATGGGCGTCGGCGCCGAAAAATCCGAGTTTTTAATTTTCCGATGTGTGTGTCTATTTATTATTAAATTAGTTCTTTCCACATATATTTGAGTTCCGTTTCCGGCCTTATAATTTGGAAGACATCTTGGCCTACATTTCTAGCCAGCTATTTTGCTTTTTTCAATCGACCTTTATTTTGAAAATCTTTGGTATATATAAGGCATCTTCGCATACAAAATTTTTTGTGAAATAATAAGATAAGGTCCTTTTTTATTAAATCTGTATGAGCATTAGATATTGATCTATATCTGTGCCAAGTTTCATTGATGTAGGTCGTGTCTCACGTTTGTTACACTTGTCACAGTGACCCATATCACCATAAGGTGGCTCAGCCTAATTTCGACATGGCGTGGGCCACGCCCCCTTTTTAATGGCGGAAGTTGCCGATACTTAGGAAATATTTAATTATTACCACTATATACATCAAAATATTTTATATTTTGTGTTTCAGAATGCATTTTGAAGACATTTAAACTGGAAATGTTTTAATTTGAGCTTTAAAAACCCTGCAGAGTCCATATTATAAATGATCAGAATTTTCCCTGTGCAACACGTTGTCATTGGCAACCATTCACAGCCACTTGCATAACGGCTACGTCGTAGTACTATCTCAGAGTTTCATTCATAAGAGTTTGCCGTGTGCAAAAGCTATTAAACCATTGGTCAGGGAAAGCTTTTATTAATTATTCATGTGCCAAAGTTGAAAGTTTAAAATAAGTCGACCCTAAACAGTATTTTAGTGATAGGGAATGCGTTGCCTTATATAAACTATATAGTCATTGCGCATGACGCGATCAGTGGAATGAGGTCACAGAATGTGGAGATGCAGTCCATGTTAAAAAATGACAAACCAAGTCGTACTTTAAAAATTCATAACTTTAAAACTACAACAGCTAAAAATATGATTTTGGTGTTATAATTATGTTTAAAATTAGCTCTATTCAACTGTGCCATTGGTTTATTTTTAAAAAATGTTTACATTTTTTGACCAAAGTATCTACATGATTGTACAGTGTCAATTTCAATTGACGTCGACAACAAACCTTCAATGTCATCCTCAGCCAAAACATCATATTTCGTATTGTCATCTTCTTCATCACTGTCAAGTGAGTGTTTTTCTTTAAACCTGGTAGCTTTATCGCTCGTTTCTTCTTCTAGCGATGTCATTGTATCGTCTTAGTTGACAGATATCGGCTGTAAGTATTTAATTTAGAGCAATGCCTGGATTAAATATTTTAGAGTTATCTCCTCAAGCCGGAAGAAATGTTTTGTTATTGGCAGTTTTGGCTGGCATTGTATGCCAAATTAATTAAGCCTAAGTACATTGTTTCTCAATTCAATTATTTTGCTTCGTGTGGTAGTTCATGAAAATAATAGTAAACATATCCACACACCATCACAATTAGAATAACAGTTATTATAATTACTTTAAAAGACAAACAATTCTCTATATCAAGTCATAGACTATTTCACTTTAAATAAAATTAATTTAATAAAACATGCCAACAGTGTCGCCGCCAACAGCATCATGCTACCGTTACTGTTATCATAAAGAATAAGACTAAAGTTAAAGTAAACATTATTTTATTTTGTGGTACTTTGGTCTAGTTATTGATTTGAGGGCATTTAAGTTAATGGCTCTAACTCTCTTTGTTTTGTCGAACAATAATGAATATATTTTTACTTTTGTATATAACTGGGCTGAAAATAATACAATATTTCAAAACCTCGACTTAAAAAAACACCTAGCTGTCCAATTATATAATTGTTAAAAAGTAATATTCGGCATAACCAAACGTACCATCTTTCGAGTGAGGCATGTTTCATGCCATCATTATTATTAAGGCCTAATATTAATATTTAGGCTAAATTTTAGGAATACTTTATTTAATTAGTTCTCAGTTTTAATCATTTTAATACAGTATCAGTATGTAGCAGATGGACGATTCAAATTATGCAATTCTACTCATCCTCAAAATCAAAATAAAACAAAAACTGTTTTAGGGGATTTCCGATTATATCTGAATCTGATAATCCGACATCATTTGTTTAGAATTAAGATTTAAGCGTTCAATAGCTGACAAGTTTTACTTCGTCGTTTGGAGTGCTAGTGAACGCGAAGACGAGATAAGGTGATAGTGCCGATAGTTTGGTAAGTAAATACATCAAATTTAAAATATATATTTTTTTAATTTATTAATTAGGCCACATTTTCTGGCTTCTACTTCTACTTCTTCAGTTCCTTGGCCTTGGATGGTTCTTGCACATTTTTTTTAAAGGTTTATTTATTTATGTTTGTGAGTGTGAGTTAATTAAAAATTCTTAAAATGCTTACATTGCATATTTTTTTTAAAGAGCCCAACAAGCCAAAGCCTAAGCCTATTCCAGTGGTCCAGTTATTTGTAGTTGTATCCTCCTGAATCCTACTAATAATATTAATTAAGTTAATAATAAGGGCATTTTCATTTATAATGTAAATTTATGCCCTTTTTTAAATATTGCTTATTACTAAATATGTCACATTGGGAAATGACGTTGGTGGGCTGTCAGGCACAACATGTGAATGCCTCCCCCCCCCCCCGACAGACCGTGCAGCGGCATGCCGGGAACCTCCCTTTTGGCCCGGGGGGACGTCCAGCCTACTGAAAATAATAATAAAGGCATTTTCATTTATAATGTAAATTTATGCCCTTTTTTAAATATTGCTTATTACTAAATATGTCACATTGGGAAATGACGTGGGGGGGCTGTCAGGCACAACATGTGAATGCCCCCCCCCCCCCCCGACAGACCGTGCAGCGGCATGCCGGGAACCTCCCTTCTGGCCTGGGGGGACGTCCAGTCTACTGAAAACTCTGCGGTTAAAACGTTCGCAGCCGACTCTCCCGAGGGTTTGGGCAGGTTTGCTTCCACTCCGAGGGAAATGGTGTGGCGTTACCACCCCCACCACCCAGGGAGTCTTTCGGTCAGGACGGAAAGCTGGGATGAAACGGTTGCCTTGGAGCAGCTTTCTCATGGCTGCATAGCTAGAATCATCGACACAGGTTGTTATCACCACCCAAGCCTCGTATCCATTAACGGCAACAAGTAATCATTTTATTGCAATACTACTCCCATTGCGTTGGGAGTCATACGGTCGGTCGGGGTTTTTGGCTTCAGGTGGACAAGTCCACCCTACTAGTTTTCCATGCCACGAAGAGGCAAACCCCATGTGGGCGCCCCTCAGTTTCGTCTGAGACGCTTCCGAATGCTAGGCCTATATATAGAACTATATAGTCTATGGCTATAGCAGATATAGTCTAGTCATAAAATTATATGCATCGGCCCCTTATGTTATTTTATTTTATTAGTAAATAGTAACAATTATGTTATGTAAATATGAAAGTTAAATTTCATTGATGAATTATGACATAATTTATGTTGACAAATTTTTGATTAATATGATGATTATAAAATATAAAAATAAATTTAATAATTATGTGATTTTTTAAAATTAAAATTAAGGATTATGATTTAGTTTAAGCATTAAATAATAATAATAAACTGATATTGATAAGCTAGAGATATCTCATAACAGGTTCGCACCAAGGAAATTCTGGGCCCCAGGCAGCTGATAGAGTTCTGGCACTTTTTGTATTTCAAACCTGTGCGTATATTTTAAAAACTCGAAAAATGGCGGGCTCCTATCTAGCTAGGGCCCTTAACAAGTGCCATGGTTCCCCTCCCCCCCCCCCCCCCCCCCCCCCAATGCGGGCCTGCTCATAAGATCAACTAAACGTCATTTTATTATTTTGACTTTTGGTGGGAACAGTTTCGAACACTGCTTAATCAAGACCAGCTCTGGGCATCACAAACTCTAGCTACTCTACTGATCTTATAGAAATCACACCAGACACTCTGATGGCACCTTGCCCTTACTCTTAGATCTATTATCAAAACCGACTTGAGCAAACTCTGAAAAATTTGTAATTTTCCATTTTGTGTCACCGTCCTATTAGGGTGTCACCAGGTGGGGTTTGCATCCCCTCACCCACCTAGTCACTAGTGATGCTGTTGATAAATATGTGGCTTAGAATTAGAGGCAGAATCAGATGGCATTGAGACTAGCTCACAAGCAGATCCCAATAATACATCTATTTCACAGGAATTAGTCATTCTTCACCTTGAAGCTCAAGCTAAAATGTTTATGATGCCTTTAGCAAAATATGTTTGTGGTTTCTATTTGGTCTTTTTAAAAAAAAAAAATATTTGGTATCTGAACCATTTTTACAGTGTTTTAAAAACTGTTAATGTTTCATTGTGCTTCCTTTTTTAAGCTATATCCACATGTATTTGCTGAACATAACATACATTTTTTTTACCATGTAGTGAATATAATTTTTATTTAATAAAATGTTTAGCTAATAATAACTATGTATATTTATATATAAATATAATTAAATGAATTGACACTCACATAAAAAGGAACAAATGAATCCACAAAAATGAAACATTTCCTAATAGTAGAAATATTTTATTCAAACTAACTGTTTGATTGTGTGAATTCTTGATTTTAAGACAATTTTTGCAGAGCCTTTTGGTTTTTGTTGTAGATAATTCATACTTATTTGGGGTGCAGCCCACTTGAGTTTACTTTGATGTGGGAAAGGGATATTCTGACAAATTGAAAATATTACCACTAAAAAATGTTTTAAAAATGCATTTATTACCCCATCTCAAGCACACATGAACAGTTTGTTGGGAAATTCCTCTGTTGATAAATGTGAGTCATTAAAAGTAACTTAGAACTACAGAAAATATCACATACTATGGGTTCGATGACCATTAATTAGAGGTCCTTTATTGCATTTTCAGAAGGACAGGACAGAGATAACAAATTAAGGAAGGTGATGTAATGATTAGATATGTTTAGTAACAGTGATTCAATACACACAATATTAAACACTCTTAAATTTTCCCAGTGTTAGCTACTTCCATTCTAAAACATTTCAGCTATTCTTCAAAGTAGCTGTCACACAGGTAGTGCCTGTTTTTAAGTTCTGGTGTGTGACTGGACTTTGTGGAGATATGCAGCAAATGGGCCATAGCAGCAGTCAAGGTAAAAACACTCAAAATTCAAACCCACCAAATTATCCGGTTAAAGCAATTCACATTCCTACTAATGGTAAGCCAATCCATGTGATAGACTATGCCGTTGGTGCACCTCCCAGGGTCACAGTAATTCCCAATGGTGCTGCTCAGATCTCCGTTTCATCAACTCCTTCTGGGCTAAGTCAGAATACAGCAGGTAATAATAATCAGCATAGTGAATTTCAAACTTCAGAATCACCAAAAAATCATTCCATGTATACTTCATCACTAAGTACACATTCAGTAGCATTTCAAACTTCAGCCCCACCAAGTACTCATTCAGGAGCATGTCAGACTTCAGCCCCACCAAGTACACATTCAGGAGCATGTCAGACTTCAGCCCCACCAAGTGCACATTCAGGAGCATTTCAGACATCAGCTCCACCAAGTACACATTCAGGAGCATTTCAGACATCAGCCCCACCAAGTACACATTCTGGAGCATTTCAAACTTCAGCCCCACCAAGTAGACATTCAGGAGCATTTCAGACTTCAGCCTCACCAAGTACACATTCAGGAGCATGTCAAACTTCAGCCTCACCAAGTACACATTCAGGAGCATGTCAAACTTCAGGCCCACCAAGTACACATTCAGGAGCATTTCAGACTTCAGCCCCACCAAGTACACATTCAGGAGCATTTCAGACATCAGCTCCACCAAGTACACATTCAGGAGCATTTCAGACATCAGCCCCACCAAGTACACATTCTGGAGCATTTCAAACTTCAGCCCAACTAGGTACACATTCAGGAGCATTTCAGACATCAGCCTCCCCAAGCACACATTCAGGAGCATGTCAAACTTCAGCCTCACCAAGCACACATTCAGGAGCTTTTCAGATGTCAGCCCAACCAAGTAAACATTCAGGAGCAACTCAGACTTCAGCCTCACCAAGTACACATTCAGGAGCATGTCAAACTTCAGCCCCACCAAGTACACATTCAGGAGCATGTCAAACTTCAGGCCCACCAAGTACACATTCAGGAGCATTTCAAACTTCAGCCTCACCAAGTACACATTCAGGAGCATGTCAAACTTCAGCCCCACCAAGTACACATTCAGGAGCATTTCAAACCTCAGGCCCATCAAGTACACATTCAGGAGCATTTCAAACTTCTGATTATGGCGATCCTTTGAATGATTTTCCTTGGACTCCATTTTCACATATTCCATCCAATGACCCAGTCACCCGACCTGAACATGTTCATCAAAAGAACTTTCAAACAAATCTTGAGGCCATTCACCTTGGATATCCAGTGATCAACATAATAAACTGTAACAGGGACCACCATTGTGTACTTGATCATTTACCAACAAGTATTCTTTGCAACACTGAGGGTTCAAACTTTGAAATACTTAGCTGGGGTCAGCAACAGAATTTTGAAGATCAGTTTTTGTCAAGAAATCAACTTGACAGACGTCCCATTCAATTAAAGCGTAAGTTAAATCAACCCCCTGTTATACTCTACTTTGATGATGGTGAAATGTGGTAAAGGACTTTTTAAAAAACAAGTAAGATGTTTGTTATACAAGAAAAATAAAATCTCTGTCTCTCTAATTGACTAAGAAACCGTGTCAGTTCTTCTAATACCATCACACACACTTTTGTGGCTTCAAAGATGGCACAGAAAATAACTTTAAATGTACGAACCTTAATGGGTAAACTTTCCTGTAGATCCATACAGACAAGAACTAGAGTGCACTGTGTCTTCAACAATAATATTTGTTCAGCTCATCTTTTTGACAGTGGGTAGAATTTGTTTAGACAGATGTGTTTGTTTATCTTGATTAGAACAACCCTTAAAAATAATAGTTGCAATGCATAACGCAACAATCAAAACCATGAAATATGTTTACCCAATTTGTTTTGTAACACACCTCCATTTTATGGTAGAATTCCACCCACATATAATAAAAAAAAAATTTTTTAAGACATCAAAGAATAAAACTCACTGTAAAAGATTTTAACTATGGACATACTCAATGCAATAATTCAAATAGCAACTTGTTAACTAGCTTCTCAATTCATGGTTGAGATTTTTTCATGCAAACCTATTTTATTCTCAAATTTAATTATTTTATTTTTTTGGCTTTAAATGTTGAAATTGAAAACCCACTCCCACAGTATTATGATATCATTCAAAATTTTGATAATTGTTTCACAACCAACAGAAAACACTTTGAGACCCCATTTGGTGTCACAATCCATAGGTTTGGAACCTGTGGTTTAAGAAGAAAGCTGAGACTGACAACATCTCAGATTCAGACAGTATTCATTCATATTTTTTTAGCAGTGTTCTGAATAGGACATTGATTAGACGATGTTATATATTTTTTAGGCACTGACCTGGAAATGCTGAGTAACCTGGCATTTACCCAGACCTGACCAAAAAATAGAACCTGGTGAGGGTGTTGAAAAAAAAAAAGAGTTTACTTCTCAGTTTCTATAATGTGTTCCACCTAAGTGGGAGAAATAAAAAGGGCATGAATAGAACCAGTGTATATTTTTTTTTTTACATAATATTTTTGTACGTCTGACATGAATAAAATAAACTGTAATAGAAAACTATTGGTGTGAAACCAAATATAAGCTAAATGAAACTGCAAAGCTCTGAAAATAATGTACTTAATGCGAATTTTGTGTAAATATTTGTCTTAGCGAGCGACATATCTTTGGTTATGACCCTGATACATTTAATGTCTCATGTAACATGCTGACTGGCTGATGATACTGAGTAGCCCAAGTTTGTGTGTGTATGTGTCTTGATCATTTCTCAATTCTGTCATAGAATTTGATAATGGCAACACAAATTCAATAAGTGGAGCAATTAGAATAAATGTAAGAAGGCTAGGATGGTATCATCAGGATATAAATATTTATTTAAATAATATGCATACGTTGGTATTAGAAAAATGAAAACTGCTAGCTAACAGCACCACTAATGCATATAGCGAAGCTCCGCTCCATGTTTGATTTCTGTTATAGTTATGGGTTAGGGCAGTGGTTCTCAAACTGTGGGCGGCCTGACAAAATGTCAGTGGCTGCTTGAGAATTCCAGGTGGGTTTTGTGTGTAAAATTACCTCTTTTTTTCTGATTTGAATTTAAATTAAATTATAGATTAAAATATTATTTACAGTGATCTGACTGGTTTATTATTGTTAGTGCAGCTACATAAAAGTTTAAAAAGAAACTATGATTTATTCCGTACATGTCAGGAGCTAATTTAGTATAAAAATTTTGTTAGTTTCTTTTAATTTTTAAAAAAAATGCATTTGAAAAGATGGAAAAAAAAATTTTTGTTGTTGCAAATTTTTTCACTCAACTTAAAAGTTGTCAGCTTCCACACAATACTATAAACCGGTGTGTGAATTCATCAAAATTACAGACCCTCTGCAGACCTCTCCAAGCTTTGTTGCCCTTATTTCTGCTTCCGTGCACACAGCCCCGAATCAACTATACAGTACCAGCACCTTTTGATCTTTAAAAAAAAAGCCCCCCCCCTCTCCCAACCTGTTTCTCAAATTGAAGGTATTATTCTGGTTGTTGCTAATCTTATAAAGGGGTGGCAGCACTAAAATGGTTGAGAACCACTGGGTTAGGATTATATTATTAAGTTATTAGTGTTTTGAAGCATTCAACTTTGACGCCTTCATGATTGTTACTGGTTCTATGCATAAACTTTTCAATTATGCCTATTGGGTGGAACACAATTTTAGAAAATGAGAAGATAACTCCTTTTTTGTAACACCCGGACACAGACTTGGATTCCTCAGGCATTGTTTCAAAATACCCGGACTGTGTGTAATACACTGCACCTGGGCCCTAATATGTTTCATCAATCATTCAATGGGCATTTCCTTACATGGCTTTAACTTTCTTAAATCCTCCATATAAAAATAAATGCCTATTTTTCTGTCTTGAGATGAATTTAAGAGTGCTACATTTGTCCTATTGCACAAGGAAATTTATTTGTATTGTAAGAATTTTAAAAGTTTATGTGATACTTGTCATATAGTAATGCAGTGAATATCGCAGGAGTTACGTTCCGAGAACCTCTGTGAAATGCAAAAATCCACAAAGTAGGATTTATATATTTTTCAAAGCTTAATAAATCTGTCGCACCTTTTAAAAAAAGTTATATAAAAGGTTATATACATATTCTTTTCAATATTTTAGCCTAGAAAATGTTTATTTTACCACATAAATTATTAAAATAATAAATATTTAAAAAACCTATTCTGTAAACCGCAATCTCCAGCAAAAATCCGTGGAACATATCGTAGGAGATAACAAGCGAAGGTGTAAGGATGCGAAATGGGAAGCGTAAAGTATGCTATCTATTGTAGTTCAAGGAGATCTGATGTAACATGGGGATTGATCAGAAATTAGTGTTTACTGTGACACCCTATTGATTTTACATTACTCTCTGTTACAAAAATTTCTTTATGTGTGTAATAATGCTGACATCTTGTGAGACACTGACAAGCTCCCTGCTCTTCAGTAGTGTGTAACACCAGGCTTGTACAATGGTTGTTAGGTCAACATTCCAATCACAGCCCACTTTCCTATGTTATACCGCAGCAGATGTAACCTTCACAGATGAGCCTGTCACTGAAGTTTGTTTGTGTACATGTTGACAACTGCAGTTTGACATCAAGTTGTGGACTGTGATCACACCCACTTTGTCAGAGATCCTCAACTTGGCACTGGCCAAATACCAACATCAGTCTAAACTAAGCTCATTGTCTCTATTTTTTAACATTATACATTCCCATCTAGCCCCAATGTGCTACATCATTCCTTTTGAGTGGGAGGATTGCAGCTGTCTTGAAAATATGTTATAGATTTGTTCAGGTGATCACTTACCCACTCATGTGCAAATACAGAGACTTTCTATATATAGTATTGATGGGATCCTCATCTATCTATATTTTGTCTGTCGCTTTTTACTAGATTCTTCCACACATTTGTACTAAAAGTAGAGTAAAAATGAAGTTCTCTCCATTTCTCTCTTAAAAATTGTATTAGTTTGCTTTACAAACTTTTTATTTCACACCTACAACTTTAATCAATGACATAAAAAAATTATGAAAGTGTATAATCACAATAAATAACTATCGACATCCTATGTTTGTTTTGCTCCTGGTTTATTCTCATTATTGGTTACTTTTTTTGTGTGGATATTTCCATTGTAGATTCTTGAAAGTCTGAAATATCTGTAGCTTTGATAAAGATTTTTTGTCTCTGCCACATAAAGTATTAAGGATTAATGAATAAAATCAAGTCTATTTTTTTTAAAAAACAATTTACTTCAATTGTAATTTCGACTTCATCACTAAACTCATACTTTCTACGTAATTTGTCACAGCATTATCATCACACTATCATCACAGCAGTACTTTTTATATAACTTGTCACATCATTATCATTTGTTTTACTAGTTACTCTGTTGGTAAAAACAACTCTGCACCCGTTGTAATGTCATTCATACTTTTACCCACAATTCAGATCCACCAGCACCTGTGTACCGCAGACCCCCTACAATTATGTGTTATATTTGCTCTAGAGAGTATGGAACGGCATCCATTGGCATTCATGAAAAACAGTGTCTATCCAAGTGGAAGTTTGAAAACGACCAGCTTCCTCCCGCAATGCGCCGACCTGTGCCAGTGAAGCCTCAGCCGATAGTTGAGGCAGAGCGTGCCCTGAAATCTAGCAAATCTGGGACCTATAATCTAGATGCAATCAATGAAGCTGCATTTCAGGCTGCTCAGCTTCAGTATCTTCCATGCCAAAAATGTGGTCGGACTTTCCTTCCAGATCGATTGCCTGTCCATGAGAAGCACTGCCGCGGGAAAAAAGATCTGAAAAGAAATGCGGTTACCTTTCATCCATGATTATGTAATTAGCCACTTTCAGCAAAGTAATTGGGCATTTCTTTAAAAACTAATATGATCTGTGATAATGGTAGTCTGATTGGCCAGCCAACTAGGGTGTTCATTTCAAAAAGGGTCGCCTATATTAAATCTTGTTGTGATAGCATGTATTTTGTCCCTATGTGACTATTTTAGAATGCCAGAGTTTGCAATTATTGGTTTTGCCATTTGTTGTACATCGCGCTCTCACATCTCTAATGAGATATTGAAAGTAGACCAGTTTGCTGGTGTGGTTTATCTCATTGTATCAATCAATATTATTTAATAAAAAAAATGTATGTCTTAAAGATTTAATAGGCAGTATTTATTTCAATCCATCTACCTGGCATTATTGTAGGCAACATATGACATTTACAAATGTGCTTTAAGTGATGAACTAACAAATCTTTACTTTATAATGCAATTTTTAATAGCAAAAATGTTATTAAAATTTAAATAAAACATATTTTCAAAGGGGATGAACAATTTTAAAATGTTCTTAAATTATTATAATTGTTTTTTTTTTCTTTGTTAACATTTGCTACGTTAGTTTAAAAAAAAAAATAATAATCAAGATTAACAGTTGTAAAGTAAATTTTGTATTCTATTAAAAAGAGCTGAAATGAAGAAAAAAACTCTAATGACATATAGTTACATCCTTCTATCTTGTTTAGTTTCCTGTCCTTTATTAATCATTTGCAATAGTTGAAAGTCCTGAGGAATGAAATTTGATGCAGACAGGGGCATATCTGAGTTGATTGAGGCCATGTCATGTTATTTTTTTACAATATATATTTGTTCCATAAGATCTATAAATCAGATTTGCCTCTGGATGCAAACCATTGTGTTTATCATTTATCCTTAGCTTCTTGTTGATTCATTACATTTTCTTGATTTTTAATTTAACACTTAGATTCTTGTCAAAGATGAACTAAGATGAACTGTTTCAATAAAAAACAGCTGGTTTTCTTTGACACAGAGCATACAAAAATTACTTATGCCCACACAGCAAAAAAACCCAATAATAAATGGAAATGATCTTTAAATTAAATTATTTTACAAACCAAGGCATCAGTTAGAAAAATTCTGGTCACTTTTTCTTTAAAAGTCTTGAGTTTTGTTTTGGTTTTGTTTTGCGTGTTTAATCTTTATCTAATGTGAATTATTGAAGCCATTGGACTGGGCAATGAGGATTTCAAGCCCTAAGCAATATTTATTCTCATATATTCAACCATGTGTAGCACTGTCAAGTTATTTGTGACTGATAACCTAAGTTACTGAAGCTAAAACACATTTGGTGTCATCAGTAAGACTTGCGTTAGGATGGCCACACGAGGCAAGTCAACCTGTCTCTTTAAGTCACATGGCATCAAAACTTTAAAAAAAATTGAATTTGGGAAGCTTAACCCCCCACACACACACACACCCACACACACACCATCCAAATTCAGATAACTTTCTGAAAGCAACTCTTATTGAATTAACAACAAGATTGTTACATTGGAGAAACACATTATTTTGCAAAACAATTATCAGAATTCAATGAGTATAATTAATAAATAAAGGTTTCTCATGTAAATATTCAATCACAAGATAATGATAACTAGGGCTAAACCAGGGGCAGTTTTTTTACACTGTGTCTGGGTATTTTAAAGTCCAAGTGTTACAAAAAAAATTAACTTCTCATTTTCTATAATATATGCCGACCATTAAACAGTAGGTCTATAGACAGTCCTACACCCTGCCTGCTGGTCATTTAACAGTATGCCTACTGACATTCCTATGCCATACCTGTGACGCTTTATTGATTAATATAACAGTCACCTCCGAAAAATTCAACCTTCCTTCTTACCTTACCTGAGTTCAACCATACGCATGACGCTCACTGCGTGACAGCTTTTTTTTTATTCAGTACTAGTAATATAAAACAAGTTGATTAGGGGGAGGGCCGGTTGTGAAAAGGAAGCAGCCACATCAGAAGCAAAATATATATAAGAGATATTAAAATTAACATTAATTCAAGATTTACTTGATCAGCATCTTCAATCTGAAATGAAAAACAACTTTGTGAATCTGATCAGATTTAATTGAAAGATATGAATGATAAAAAATGATGGCCAAATGATACAATCTGATTGCAATTGAAATAGATTTCTAATAACCATTTTTACTGTAATTGATTCATGTGCACCTTTCCTATTTTATTTTTTTATGACACCATCTTTTCTTATATTAAAGTGATACAAGGAATGGTAAATCAAAATAGGAATTCAAATTTTAAAAAAAATAAAAAATTATATGAATTATTAATAGGGTACCGTGAGATTAAGGGAAGATATAAATTTAAAAAACCCAGATGTGAAGCCCATCCCTCCTGCAGTTTTATGGTTGCCAGAAAAATGTAGCCCACCTTTCCTTTCTTACACTCAGAATTTGTGATACAGACCAATCAAGGGCTTAATGGTTCTCTCTTTTTTTATATGGAAGGTGTTGTAACATACCATTAATATGATGTCCTTTTATCATTAGCCAATATTTATGATCATAAACCATTCTTTTTTTTTATAAACCATTAATTTTATTTATAACCTGGATTTTCAGACTGAAAACACCAAAGATGATGGCCAAAAAGCAAGCATACATTCCCGGTTTGAATGCCAGACCAGATGATTTTGAGATGCCCCCACCACGAGTGGAAGAGGTAAAGCCATTAGAAAACGTGATTTGTTATCATTTAACTGGGTCTTATTTAGTTTTTATCAGGTTGCCTATTTAAACCAATTTTTCTTTACTATTTAAAAAAATATAGCATTGTCAAGAGAAAGGGTAATTTTTTATACATTTTTAAAGTGGGCAATTTTTAATTATACCTGTAGTGAAAATAGACATTGGCTGTGCTATATTACTTTCATAATGATTTAATTTACCTTGGAAGTTTGCCCTTGTCAACTTGATTGAATAAAATATATATTGTGTGAAAATATATATATATATATAGATAGATATAGATATATACATACTATGTAGACCTTATGTCAAAGTGTTATAAAAGCAAACTTAAAATAGTAATAAGGGGGCTAGACTGCAATCAGGTTTTAAAAAAATTTAAACAATAAGAATTGTGTATAAGCATGCATGCTCTTTAGCATGCTTTACATTGGTATACAAATACTCATTTAATTGAGTTTTATTTACAATTTGGTGCATTTATCTAAATTTCTAAATTTAATTTCTTAACACTCATTGTTATATAATCATTAAACATGTTTCAGCTAAATATTTTGTCAACTATGTTGATTTAGATAGTTGTAACATATAACAGAGAAAAAAACTGAGTAAAAAATGGTAATTTCCATTTAACTATAGAAATGTTGACTTCCATTTAACTATAGAAATGTTGACTTCCATTTAACTATTGAAATGTTCACTTCCATTTAACTATTGAAATGTTCACTTCCATTTAACTATAGAAATGTTCACTTCCATTTAACTATAGAAATGTTCACTTCCATTTAACTATAGAAATGTTCACTTCCATTTAACTATAGAAATGTTCACTTCCATTTAACTATTGAAATGTTCACTTCCATTTAACTATTGAAATGTTCACTTCCATTTAACTATAGAAATGTTCACTTCCATTTAACTATAGAAATGTTCACTTCCATTTAACTATAGAAATGTTCACTTCCATTTAACTATAGAAATGTTCACTTCCATTTAACTATAGAAATGTTCACTTCCATTTAACTATAGAAATGTTCACTTCCATTTAACTATAGAAATGTTCACTTCCATTTAACTATAGAAATATTCACTTCCATTTAACTATTGAAATGTTCACTTCCATCTGACTGAATATCTTACTGGAATAGGTTATTAATGATGGGCCTTACACAAAGAAGTAGCAAAATTATTTATGTGTATCATAAACTACAATATTCCAGCAATATTTGCTTTGAACTTGTGGGTTGCATGAATAGCGCCAAAGTTTATTATGCTGGAAATTTTAATGGCGCTTGCTGGTCCTCACTGTGGCGATTAGTATGTTGTTTAAGAGACTTGAAGAACTGGTTGCTGGTTTCAAGCCTCTACAAGGCTGATGTGAAGTCAAATAATCGGGAGACGATTCAAAGTTTAAAGCACTCTACTCCTATAAAAAATATTTAGATTCACCCCTAGCAAAAATTATTAAGTTTCTCTCCTATAAAAAATAATATTTGTCTCTCCCATTAAATTTTAATCAACACTTATCTGCCGTGATTAAATGAATACATGGAAGAACAAATTCCCCTCGTTCACTCACATAACATCCAAAACTTCACGATACAGCAGAACCACATCATGGAATCTGACCGGGACACTCACATTTCATGTGTTTCAACTCCACAGACAGAAGATGAATGCTTGATCAGAGAGTTCCAAATGAATATCAAAAATCCAACCATGTGCCTTCATGAATATTGCCAGAAATATCAAATGTCTGTAACCTTCAAAGAGGAGCCTGTAGATATAAGCCATAAAACAGCTGTTTATGGAAAGTAAGTGTTTCGGTGGTAGGCCGATGGGATCGTTTGTGTTCAACAGAATGTTAATAGATTTTGATAAAAAATTAATTTGCTGATTTAGTGTTTGTAATGGTGTGGTCATGAAATGTTTGTCTGGCTGGTTTCAACCCTGCATTCAAATTCTGTTTGACTTAATTGGTTGTGACTGTGCGATCAAAGAGGAAATGAATTTTGGCTTGTGGGTGATCTAACACAAAAGACTTCAAAGAATTAGAATCCTGTGTGTTAGTCAAAACATGTTTTCAGAATATTCTAATTTTTCTTAAGTTTTGTTCAACAAACATTTAACAACAAAATGACTACACATTTGCAATTTATGAATCTGCCATCATAATTAATCTCATACTTAAATACCCTGAGTAGAATTTATTGTAAGATCTGAAATTTAAAACAGTGGTAAAAATATAGTCCATATTTTGAGTCTTTATCACAGTAGATCGTGAAAACAATTTTATTGTCCTTCTCCACAGTTTTGGCTGCAGGGTTATCATTGATGACCTGGCCTATCCTCTTGGAGTGGGAAGCAGCAAAAAGGAGGCAAAAAACACTGCATCCAAACTTGCATTCAGAGCTCTTACAGGGTTGGATGACTACACACCCAGTAAGTGTTTGGTTAGCATCTCATTGTGGTTCCAAGTGAAAGAAAAATAATTGTGTTCTTTTTAACAGGGAACACACTCTAGCTTATTAAATGATTTATTCGATTTTTTTTGCATGACAGACAGTTATCGATTTACAAACAATTTCCATTCCCGAGGTCATTCAGTATGTTTTTGTTTGTTATGGGCCAAACCACCCAAATACATGTATGCAATTTTGCCGAATATGATGTTATCCTATATGTTAGAGGCCATACATATGAAAAGCATTGGATTCAATTTCAAGTTCATGGCTGTTTTACACCTTCATGTTTTATTTGCCCATCTCTTTTTTTTTATTATGTCCTTGATTTCTAGTTTGCCTTGCACCTGAGATTGACGACAACAGATTCATTGAAGTCCGAACTGTCACCGACCTGTGTCAGGAGAGGAATCTCCTGTATAACAAAGACATCAGAGTGGACATTGACAGGTAAGTTCTTTTTAAATATCTCTGTATATAATCTATCTGGAAACAAGAGGGCCAAGTCAAGGCCGCTAAATCAAAAAAATAATAAATATTTCACAGTAAAAAAAAAAAAAAAATTTCTATAACCATGAAAGTTGATAATATAAGTTTATTTAACTTTAAGATTTTATAAGGTTAATGTATACAGTAATATGCAGACCTGTTTACCCCTGGGCTAGTATCAGAGTAGGTTTCAGCTCTCAGAAACATAGTTTCAATCTCCAAAGAGTAGTTAAGGCTGGGGGGGGGGTTGCACTTGTTGGCAATCAAAATACAAGTTGTATCAGGAAATCCACTCAATTGCTTATATGTTAACGCAAATGAACATACACAGACCTGTTTACCCCTGGGCTAGTATCAGAGTAGGTTTCAGCTCTCAGAAACATAGTTTCAATCTCCAAAGAGTAGTTAAGGCTGGGGGGGGGGGGTTGCACTTGTTGGCAATCAAAATACAAGTTGTGTCAGGAAATCCACTCAATTGCTTATATGTTAACGCAAATGAACATACAGAATATTGTCCTCGGATTTGTTTCTTAATGATGAGAAAAGGTCTAAAATTCATGACTATTGCAACACAACTGTTTTTTTTTTTGTGTGTGCCAAAATGAAAACAAGTATGAATTTGTATACTTAAAAACAATATTAAGAAACAATAACAAAATTTACCAATAAATGTGTATGAATGGATATATTTATTAAATTTGCTAGCCATAGCGCAAATTTTTCATTGGTTTACTTCAAAGTTTTTACCCATTTTTTGCCTTGATTTTTAAAAAAAACTTTAACTTCAATCATGTTATCCACAGAAACTGTATGTGTAATGTGCTTGTCCTAATCATCTCCATCGTGTTATCCACAGAAACTATGTCTGTACTGTAGTTGCCCTAACCATCTCCAATCATGTTATCCACAGAAACTATGTCTGTACCGTAGTTGTCTCTGGTTTGAAGGCTGTTAAAAAGAGCAGCTGTCAGAGAGAGGATGCAGTTCTAGAGGCTCATAGAGAGGTTCTCAAAATGTTACAAGAAAATGCATCAGAAGTAAGAATCTCGGGATAGGATGACATTTTTATAGAAGTGGGAAAGTTGTGGGGGGGGGGGGGGGGGGGAAAAACAAGATTTTTTTTTTTTTTGTTTTTTTTCCTTTGCTTTAGTTTTTTTTTTTTAATGATGACTGATCGGTAGCTCACCTATTTTTAATTTAACTTTTATTTTATAATTATAGTCAAATGCATGTCTGTGTTTTTTTTTTCATTAGTTTTGCTTGATTGACATTAACTAGAAATAACCCGCCAAAAAATAGCTGGCAGCAGTGCATGAAATTCCCATTTACTAAAGTTACTTGACAAAACATGCATTCATGTTTCACACTTCATAAGAACGCACCCGTTGGTGCCAACTTCTGGGAATTTTATTTTGTGGGCCCATTGAAGACAGCCATACATGCAAAGGGAATTATTATTTTTGTTATTAGTATTAACATAGTTATTATTAAGTAAATTTGAGGTCAGTTTAAAAGGGAAAAAAAAGGTGGTGTAGGGCCTAAATGGATACACTGTGAATAAATAAACATAACTGCTCTTTTACCAGCCTTCCTTTATTTCTCCCTTTATGGAACTGGACATAACGATTTTTTTGATGTCCTCCCTTTTTTAAACCTTAACTTTGCTTCTTTGTGTGTTACTTTGTGGCAAAATATTTGGAAGGCTCACTGACCCACTTCCTGTCATTGTATCGAGCTGAAACTTGGCACATTGACTCGTTGCAGACGACAACACATTCTATAAAATTTTCAGCCCCAACACCCACCCCCAAAACATCAATTTATCTTGTTTTTCAAGGGGAAGATGTAGGAAATGTGATGCAATGATTTCTTAAGAACTGTAGCCATCAATAAGTTGCACAAAAATGCATATAAAGAATTTATACGGGAAGAACCTTTGTTTTTAGGAAGGTTTTTTCCCCCATATATATAACCTGTACATTTAGAGTAGCTTCAACTGTTTACATCCAGTGGGGTTGTAGTTATCTAGTCTTTGTTTTTCATCATTTAAAAGGAAAAAAAAAAATGAAGAAAATTGACATATGCTTTGAAAGTGATAGTTAAAAAATTTTTAATGGAGATAAAGTATATATATATATAAGCTTAGTTTAATTTTAATTTTTTAATTGTCAAAATAGATAATTTCAACTTGAGTACTTGAGATCATTTATGTTGCTAATACTCCCTGAACATAGTTGAGTCAATGGTTATCTTTTGAAATGGGAAACATAAATATTGTCAGTGAGCTTTATTACTTTGCACAGTGAGGTTCATTACTTTGCACTGCAAGGTTCATTACTTTGCACTGCAAGGTGCATTACTTTGTGTAACGGACTATGTTTTCACATGTAAACAGAGAGGTAGCATGAGTGGACAGTGAGTGTGTTCACCAGGTTTTTCCACGGGGAGAGACAATCAATGTGGATTGTATTTTTGAGAACAAATGTGAACTCCACGTTTTTGGAGAGTAAAATTATGTTTTTGTCAGAGCGGTTGTTTTGCACGCTTTGCTGGTAATAAAGTATGAGTTGACTGAGATAGTAGAGAGCTGAGCGCAGAGCAGTAGAGTCAGTCAGTAGCGTGAGAGCTGTGTGATTAGACAGTTGAGCTGAGTTATAGTAGTCTGAGGACGTGTCTTTCTTAATGATGGAATACTATAGATATATATGTGAAATTACATTCATGCAAGGATTATTTATTAATATTATCAATATAAAGTGTGTTCAATAAAGTACTGTGAGTTTTAACTAGAATTGAGTATTCTTCTTTACGTGCCTGAATAATAAGTGAAAGAATGAAGAAGACTGAGTCGGCATCCTGAAGCGTTAATATAAGTAACCATACTACTGACATAACCCACAGCATAAGAAATAACATCCCACGCCATGTCAGAGTAGAAGTGTGTTACAAATGGTGTCAGAAGCGGTGTAACGACGATGCGTTACAAATATTGTCAGAAGTGTCAGAACAACGATGTATTACAGAACATTGAGTAACAATGATATATTTTAACATTCGAATCGAACGTCATTACGCCCGAGTATTTGTCAAGTCTGAGAAGAGTCCACGACACACAGAGCAAGCTGACAACGATTGAATTTAGGTCAGTCACGGGAGTCAAAAGTTGAGAGTTCAAACAGCTAACTGGTACACTGTTTCAATTATATAACAGTGGAGTGAATATTCTCGTGGAAGAAACAGCAAGAAATCTATTTTACAGTTATTAGTCAACGAAAGAGATGATCCACACAAAACCAAAAGAAGTCTGATGTCATTACAGATGAGATGTTTTATCAAGACAGCGGAAGTAAGATTTCCCCAGCATAATCTTTACTTTATACAAGCCGCACAGTTCAAGTCAAGTAATTCTTCAAGTAATTCTTCAATTACTCACAAGTGCAACAGAACCGGAGAGAAATTAGACAATTTTCAATTATTGGATTATCACAATTACACTATTACGCAAGGTACTTACATTGGAGTATTGCAGCAATTTGTGGTGTAACTTTTCTCATTGGATTATTTTACCCAAGTACACTACCACATAGGATTATCTACTACCTAGAAGGAGCATCTACTACATAGGATTATCGATTACACAGAAATCATAGCGTCACAGAGGAGCAGAGGTGACCAACTACGGATTTCTTTTAAACACTTGGTATTTATGTATTTATGTGTTATGTATTATATATAATTTAAGACTTTAAAAATCTACTTATATCATACTTAATTAGATTAAGTAAATTTTTACTTTTTCTGTATAATATAAGTTTAATTTTAGAGTATACTGTAGGGACATCCACGGTGTTATCTTTCCTAGGGAAGTTTTTTTATTAAAACGGTAAAGGTTTCTTCTGGCCCTATTTATAACACTGTAGGATAATTTTGTGTTAGCTGTGAAGTCTAGTTTGTACATTGTCATAACTGTTGTTTTTTAGTAGATCGTGTCATATTTGTGCTATTTGTCTTGTCATTGTTATACATATTGTCAACCTACTGTCATATTTTCTACTATCTTGTGGTCCATAAACTACACAGTACTTTTGTATTTGTTGTCTCATTTGTATTCATGTAAACGTCTACATATCTGTATTTATGTTGTGAAGTAGACAATTTAATTATTTTAAATTTTTCTTACACTTATTTATAACTTATAATTCATGTATCAACTTGCATTTGTGTATACATTCATTAACATGTAGATATATGAAATATCGTAAACTATTTTAATTGATAACCAAAGAATAAGGAGATAACTGATATACTGATACATAACAATATAATTTTAGTTACTCACATTACACATAAAAAATGGCAGAGTACTTGGAATTATTAGAAGTAGGTGAGAAGCTTGGTTTGAAGCAGGAGAAATTAACTGACTTCGTAACTCGAGAAATGGACAAAATACGAGACAGACAGAAAGAAGACAAAGACCGACAAGACAAAGACAAAGACCGAGAAGCTAGAATGTTAGAGAGAAACGATCTTAAACAAATAGAAGAAATGAAATTAAAAGGACAAAAAGAAATAGAAGAACTTAAATTAAGAGAACAGGATATGAAATTAAAAGAACAGGATATGAAATTAAAAGAACAGGATATGAAATTAAGAGAGGAAGAAATAAAACTAGAAAGAGCTAGAATAGAATCAGGACAGCATACACCATCAACAAGCAATAGAGAAACCAATAGCACATATAAACCCAAATTTAGAGAATTTAATGAACATAAAGAAGAAATTATTAGTTATCTGTCACAATTTGAAGGCATATGTCAGTCTTACAATTATAGAGAAGAGACTTGGGCTAATATTTTATTGAGCAGATTATCAGGGAAAAGCCTAAGCATTATCAATTCACTTAGTGAAGAACAAAAGAATAATTATACATATATAAAGAAAGTTTTGTTAAAGTTCTATGGAAACACAGAAGACATTTATAGAAAAAATTTCCACAACATAAGACTAGAGAGAGAAGTAGATCCTAACACCACCATATTCAATATTAGAGACAATCTTGTCAAATGGCTTGAATTAACTGAAATTGACCTAAATGATCCAAAAGCATTACTGGATATGTTTATCATAGACAAAATATTAAGAAATGCATCAGTCTCTTTATTTTCATTCCTTAAAGAGAGAAAGATTAAAAATGAGCGTGAGTTAGTTGACTCAATCACAACATTTAAAGATGCTCACCCCAATGAAGAGCTAGACAATAGAAACAGCACACTAGCCTCTATTAGAAACACACCCAGTGATAGGGACAGTCAAAAACAAAACACATATCAAAACAGAAGATACCATAGCCTACCTGCCAGATGGCAAAACAATAAATTTCAGAAAAGTCATCAAAACAATTACCAAACACCATATACTAATTATTCAAACAACAACAAATGTTTCTACTGTGGCATTCCAGGTCACAAAAAATATGAGTGTAGGAAATTACATAGAGATTTAGGACATTCACAACAATACTATCAGAGAACATCACCCAACAGTAGTCCAATTAGATACAACAGTGCAAATAGGAGTAGACAACCATATAAAAATCAAAGATATAATTCCAATCAGACTAACAGTAGGCAAAACACCAAACCACATGAAACTTTAGCTAGCGCATGTCACAGTGAAAGAAGTTTACAATTTTTTCCTTCTTATGTAAACAACCAGCTTGTTCAGTGTCTAAGAGACACTGGTTGTACAACAATAGTTGTAGATAGAAAATTAGTAAATGACAACTACTACACAAATGAAAAAGCCATAGTTATCTTAACCAACAATAATAGAATAGAATGTAAGAAAGCTAGAATCAAAGTTGATTGTCCATGGATCACAGGATCTGTAACAGCTGTTGTAATGGATAATCCAGTGTGTCCATTAATTATTGGCAATATCAAAGAACTGGGCAATAACAATAAGGATCGAATAACAGAAGGGATAAGAGGAAGACATTTAAACATAAATCCAATACATAACATATCAAGACAACATAATAAAGGAATTCTTAATAAAACATATACAGAACAAAAATCAGACAGGGCAAAACACATTTTTAGACTAAATTCAAGTAATATTCATCAACACTACAGACAGGCTGAAAAATTCAATAATGAAATAAAATACAGAGAAAACAAGTTTATAGAAGAAGAACATTACACAACTGCAAACAACAATTTTATGGGTAGAGATAGACAAAGAGATTATAACAGATCACAATTATCATTTTCTTCAGTGCGAGGAAATACTTAACATTTCATTTTAGCTAACCTAGCATAACACCTTATGAAATCAATTATTAGTTGTCAAGAGGAAAAATTTTTTCAAATATGATAATTGTCAATACAGAACTATTTTATAAACTGTTTACATTCTTGGTTATCAACTTTTTCATAGACAATGACAATAAAATTAAGGTTAAATTGAGCATGAAGAGCATTAAAATATATATGTGAAATTACATTCATGCAAGGATTATTTATTAATATTATCAATATAAAGTGTGTTCAATAAAGTACTGTAAGTTTAACCAGGATTCAGTATTCTTATTTGCGTGCCCGGATTATAAGTGGAAGAATGAAGAAGTCTTAGTCGGCATCCTGAAATATCAACATAACATAAGTAACCATACTACTGACATAACCTACAGCATAAGAAATAAGATCCCACGCCATGTCAGAGTAGTTGTGTTACACTTTGCACTGTGAGGTGCATTACTTTGCGCTGTGAGGTTCATTATTTTGCACTGCGAGGTGCATTACTTTGCACTGTGAGGCGCTTTACTTTGCACTGTGAGGTTCATTATTTTGCACTGTGAGGTGCTTTACTTTGCACTGTAAGGTTTATTACTTTGCATTGTGAGGTGCTTTACTTTGCACTGTGATGTTAATTACTTCAACACTCTGAGGTTCATTACTTTGCACTGTGATGTTAATTACTTCAACACTCTGAGGTTCAAATGAAACGTGACACTACAATTAATGAAGTTGTGAGAGAGGTTCATTACTTTGCACTGTGATGTTAATTACTTCAACACTCTGAGGTTCATTACTTTGCACTGTGATGTTAATTACTTCAACACTCTGAGGTTCATTACTTTGCACTGTGATGTTAATTACGTCAACACTCTGAGGTTCATTACTTTGCACTGTGATGTTAATTACTTCAACACTCTGAGGTTCATTACTTTGCACTGTGATGTTAATTACTTCAACACTCTGAGGTTCATTACTTTGCACTGTGATGTTAATTACTTCAACACTCTGAGGTTCATTACTTTGCACTGTAAGGTTCATTACTTTGCACTGTGAGGTGCCTCCTATCAATAGCTAGTTATAAGTGTTTCTGTATTTATTTTAGAAAAAACCTGAAGGGGCAGAGGTTAATTCTGTGCTCCGCATACCCTGTCCAGAATTGGCGCGACAACGTGAACAGGCCGCCCTCGAAGCTCTTAGCAGGGATCTTGCGTCACTTCCCCCGGACTTAGCTGCGATGGAACATCAACTGGCCTGTATTTTCTTGGTCTGCAATGAGGTGCCAGGTTGTATTCAATTACATTTTTTTCTCTGTATTTTCCTGGCTAACTTTTACAGTGTCAACTCCTAAGTCTACTTGGAGTGATTAATTCATCAAGTTCTCTCACACATTGAATATGTCGTACTATTCTTACTATCATTGAATAAACTCAAGTCCTTTTCATAATATTTATAACTTTAATATGTAAGTATATACTATACACATAAATGTAGCGCACCTCGCTATCAGACATAAATAATATACATCCTACTTCCACAAAGTTCCACTCAAGACTGCCGCAAGACTAAAACTTACGTCACAATATTGTCTGAACAATATGTCACACTCAGCATAAAAATACGTCATAGATTTGAGCGCTGGAAGAGCGTTCATTATCCAATAAAACTCTCAAAAACACACCGAGCGTAATGAACATAATACCCAGTCGCAACAATTACTAATGAACTCCCATACATGACATACATTTGCAGTATTTATGAGTTCAAAATGGGCCGAAACGTTGCAATCTTTACCGATTCAATGCTTGTTTGTGTTTTTTTGAAGTGGTGAGAAAGTGCTGGATAGACCCAACGTTGTTAAGTGCCATTTTGTAAGTCATCACCCACACAATAGATTCCAGGTGTAACTTGACATGTACGTGTAGCAGCAAAAAAACACAAAAAACACCAAAAAAAACAACAAACAAAGTCAAACCATGGGTTAAAGCCATCTTCAGAGAAGTGGTTTTATTTAGGGGGGGGGGACTGTCTGACAGCATGAACTTAAGAAAACACTATTTTAGAAAATGCACCTGCGGAGCTAAAGTAACCCCTCTTGTGGAACATCAGTTGCCGGATATGTTAATAAATTATGTATGAGTTATGCCCCAAACATAATTCAATGTTTATTGTTTATATTGATAATGACAACTGAATGGCAAAATGGAATTGCAAATTTGAAAAGCTTCCCAGTGCATTTATATTGAGAGTGCTAAGTTTAAAAAATATATGTTTGATTTATTTTTGTTATTTGCCATTTAATATCCTCATTATTTTATCTCCGCCAGAGTACTCGGGTGCTGGTGTGATTGTTGCCTTAGGTACAGGAAACAGCAGCATTGGGGTGGAGGCTTTGGCTGAAGATGGCCGATGTTTGATTGATAGCACTGCCCTAACTACCGCCAGGAGGTCCTTTAAAAGGTACTTGAGTAAAAGTAGTTAAGATTTTAATATAGATGTACTCACATAGATAAACACAAGGGTGTGGCCACATAGATAAACACATGGGTGTGGCCACATAGATAAACACATGGGTGTGATCACTTTAATAAACACATGAGTGTGATAACATTATCAAACACATTGGTGAGATCAGTTTGATAAAGACACAGAGCACCATGGCATATTGAGGTAGTTTGTTGGGTCAAGGTGGTTCCAGAAGCTGCCCATAGTGACATTAGTGGGAAGACAAAATGATTTCCTGGGTTAAGACCACACAGGTTATTTTCTAGAAAAAACTGGCAAGCACATTTGCAATATTAATCAACTGGCAAGCACATTTACTAAGAGCAACTAACTGTCGAGCACGTTTACTCATAGTAATTGGTAACTTTTTGGGGCCATCTTCTATAAAGAGAAATAACATAGAAGTAGTAACTTCAGACAAACAAATTTCAACAGATTTAATGTCTGCTAAATGATGCAAGGGCTTGCATCCAAATTCTTCTTTCCTGAATCTGTTTCAGCATTATACACATTTGTCATCCAAATGATTCCATACCCCAATAGTGGCAGCCCGCATGAATTTCTGATGTTCATTTCCAGGTACCTGGCCAAGGAGATATTGCTGTGCCTAACCAACAAGCCTTCCATCTTTGAGAGGACCGAAGAATACACCAGGATGAAGCTGATGGACAGCTTCAGTTTTCACCTGTACCTGAGCCATCCGCCCGATGGTGACTACAAGGAGTCAATACAGAGGTGACTATTATATCTGTTGCATGAGGATCATTTTGGAACCACGCTCGCCACAAGTACATTTTCACAAACCTTGTGACAGGACCACTTTCAAATGATTTAGCATGACATTACTATGTTCAGTTGCATCAGTTTTCTTGGGCGGAATAACAGTTTAAATCACAGGTCACAGATTTCATTTTGCACAATTTTGGGATCATGTCAAAGCTATGAAAAATGACCCTCATTTTAACACACGCCTCAGCTAAGGATTTTCTCTTTACTAGGAACTAAGCCTATAAGTTATATTACCCTTTGAGAACGTTGTAAGATAAGATAAAATTCTTTTATTGATCCAAACAAATGGAAAGGTTTTATGATTGAATTGTACATTTTCAGCACATAAATAAAACAATTTGAACACAAGACATTTATAATAAATTTTTTCACTAGTAAAAAAAAACCAGTCATTCAGTAAGCTCTCTTAGCCATATCAGGGACTTATTAGTTCTCATTAAGATGTGTGACTTCAGAGGGAGCTCGCTGGTAAATTTGTGCAGATTGGGGAACAAAGGAATTTTTATATCTTTCAGTCCTCGCCCTGATGGAAAGAATTCGGCCTGATCCTAAGTATCTGTGATGAAGAGGGTGGGATGTATCATCCAAAATGTGTTTAGTTTTACAATAACATCTTTCTTCAAATAGTTCTTCAAGTTAAGGAAGTTTAGTTTGTGTTAAGTTCCTAGCTTTCTTGAGTAGTCGGTTTATGCGGTGTTTAATATCAGACGTTGAATTCCCACACCAGCAGGTAATACTGAAATTAAGTAGGCTTCTAATTGTTGCACTGTATAATTAGTTAACGACTTGTTCACGCCGTAATTGTACAGTTTTTTGAGGTAGAACAGTTTTTGGTTGAATTTCTTATACAGCATTTGACCGTGCTCATGCCATGTTAGTTTATTATTAATGGTGACACCTAAGCACTTATATGCCTCTACTTTCTCTACACTTTGATTATTTATGTTGAGATCTGTAATCTGGTGTTTCCCCCTCCTGAAATCAACAACTATTTAATTGTTTTTGAGACATTCGGCTGGAGAAAATTTTCATCGCACCAATTGATAAAGCTTGTAACTAAGTTGTGGTATAAGCCTTGGAATGGTGTCGCTTGAGCTTGGAATATCATTAATATATATTGTATACAGTACCGGGGAGAGAACGCAGCCTTGTGGTGCCCCAGTGCTTATTTCTCGGGTTAGAGATAATTGGTCATTTACCTTGACATATTGTGACCGATTTATTAAAAAGTTCAGTATCCAAGCTTGAATATTCAAATTTACACCTAGACTAACAAGGAAAGTTTCTTCATCATAAGGTGTGGTTGGATAGTGTTAAATGCTGAAGAGAAGTCTAATAATAGCACTCTGGCATATTTTTTTGGACTGTCTAGGTGATGGTAAAGTCTCTCCAACAATAGTAAGATAGCATCCTCCATACTTCTGGCAGGTTTGTAAGCAAATTGGTGGGGGTCAAGTTTTTGCTGTACTTCATTCAAAATTTGTCTCAGAATAATTTTCTCAAAACATTTCATTACAATAGAGGTAAGTGCAACAGGTCGTAAGTCATTGTTGCAAGCTACCTTATTTTTCTTTGGAATTGGTATGATTTCTGAAGTTTTCCAAATTGTTTGTATTGTTACATACGATTTATTAAATATGTAACAAAAAATTTAGGAGAACTGCTCTGAGCATAGTTTAAGGAGCCCACCACTTAATTTGCCTGGCCCCGAGGCCTTGGCTGCGTCTACTTGTTTAAATACTGACATCACTTCCTGTTCGGTGAACAATAAAGTACCATCCTGTGTACTACTGCCATCTTGAAATGAATTCATCGTCTCATTGTGTACACTTCCAAAGTCCAGGCTGTCAAAACAACAACAAAAGTCATTTTAGTCATTAACAAAATTCTTCACGTCCTCGACACACAAGCATTTATGTTACCATCATTGCCAAAATATTGCCTCCTAATGGCTGTCTGTTCAGAATTCCTTCAAAGAGTAAGAAAAATATAAAAATACATAAATGATTTTAATATATCCATCAGGATTAAAGGCATTAGTTTATTTCTGAATTTACATTTTGAAATTTTTCCCCAATACTATCTTAAGCAAAAACATGGTTTTATACAAGAGGGAAATTATCTTCATTTTGCATTTTATTTTTAATTATTACCATACAAATTCTGCAATAAAAAAAATCCAATGTTAGTTATAGAACCAGTATTTGTTTGCCCATCTTCAGTTTTAATTGACCATAAATAACCTTATTGGTGACCTGTTCATTATTTTAATATTGAAATTCTCTGCCTACGCATGAGGTGAGATTTTTGTGTTGTCCTTTCAGCCCAAGTGAACTCACCGACCAACAGCTGGATGAAATTAAACTTGGTGCCCACTACCCCACTTTTAAAGATTCTGGCCATGGAGCACTCAGGTGTAAAAATGAGCATGGTAGGAATATCCCTTTTCTTATCAATGGTCTCAAAGTCACAATACCTGGTTTGTTTTACAATCCTGGGCATTTACCAGTATATTATTTCAATATCAATAACCAATTAACACATTGATAAACTTGGACATGTTTAACCGACTCTTGCCTAAACTTCTTACCGACTACAGCCTTACGTACTTAACCCAACTTCTACCTAACATACTTAACTGAATCCTGTCTAACTTCTTAAACGACTCCTGTCTGACCTACTTAACCGACTCTTGCCTAACCTACGTAAAGGCTCCTGCCTAACCTACTTAAACATTATCACTATTATTTTCTGCATTAATTTAAATACATTCAACATGTATCTGTTCAATTGTTTCATCATCTAAACTTGCTATTCCGTTAAGCTTAGCAGCTTGTCACAAATGAGCTTTGAGTCATAATATTTGAACTTGGAAAGCCATGCTGAATTTCAAACTCCTAATAACTTTTAAACGAAGAAGGATAAAAATATACGGATTCTTCTTGAGTGGCTAGGTGGCATTAAAGAGCCTTGTATGGCGCCATCTTATCTCAAAGCACTCATGACGCCTCATGTACCCACTAGAGAGCTCCGCTCATCTGATAGTGGCAAAATATCGATACCGTGTTTTCGGCCTGAGACTTACGGAAAGCGCACTTTTGCATTTGCCAGCCCAACAATTTGGAACGCACTTCCAGTCGCTCTCAGAAACAGCCAGACACTGGAGTCCTGTAAAACCGATTTAAAAACACATCTATTTCGCAAACACATTCTAGGGTGATGCTATCTACCATCTTTTTTCAGTTAATGTATATTGGCTTGTGTTGCTTATGGTTGAAATGGGATGAAAGACTTTGACTGGGTATGCTCGTATGTAGCTTTATATTGTTGCTTCTCTTTTTAATGTAAATTTTAGATTGTTTTTATTTCTCTTTTTAATATGGTTGACTTTGTACCGCGCTTCGAGCTTTTGGGGATGAAGCGTGTTTTTCAAATAAACTTTATTATTATTACTATTATTATTATGTGACTATTTGTCTGTCATGCTACATCTCGGCATTGTATGCAGGCGCTGGTGGGAATTTGGGAGGCAAAATCAGTCGATTATGTCAGTGGCAGGTTTATTTTTGAAACATAAGCAAATTTTCGGAAATAACATATGCAGGTTGTGCATAGAATCAAACATATTTACCAAGAAATGGGTCCCTCAGAGACATCTAACCAGTGTTGGCTGCATTATCTGCCAAGTAGATTCTGCCGTGGTGTTAGTTTTTACTTTTCAACTATGCATTCAACACTCTGTATTATATGAGTGTTGGACTGCAATAAAGGTTTCAAGTAGATGAACGAGACACAAACGATTTGTGTAAATACAACAATGCAGGTTAAGCTTTAATACTGGTAACCAAGATGACAAATTAAAACTTTTTGGCAAAGGTCTTCATCAGTAAAAACAACATTCATATAAGTATGCATTAAATTTATATCTCTTATTTACATTTTGCTTGTGGTGTGACTGCTTCCATTTCCGGGTAGCGTGCGAAATATAATTCCTGATAACTACGCTAAATGATTTTTTTTTTAAATAATGCAACTGCGTTTGGTGCGTAATATTTTCTTTTTGGAAAATGAAATCATCTCAATTTAAATATGGAGTAATAAATATTCAGTTTAAATGTGGTTAGGACATCAGAATATTTAATATAGTTCATTGGCATGAAATAAAAAGTGTCCAGTGACGTATCATGGGGGGTGAAGGGGTGTAACAAAAATTGGGATTCTTAAATGTGCGTTACTTGAGTTCATATTTTGTCAAGTAACTTAAGTAGATGGGAAGCTCATGCATTGCTGTTGCCAATGTTTGGCGAGCTATAACTAGTAATATATATTTATGTATCCTACCTAAAAATGAAAGAAAAGAATAAAAATGGGAAAAAAATTTACTCAAATTGTGTCTCATTAATCTAAATTTCTTCTACAGGAAGGAATTAGAATTACAGCTATCTCAAACATGTTGTCCTCAATTTCCTAGGAATGCTTGAGATGACCTCTCAGATGCCAGAGCTGAAGTCACTGAGTGAGGTTTGCATGGCCAATGAAATGTGGGTCATGACAGCATCTGATAAACTGCTTAGGTGGAATGTGCTCGGCCTTCAAGGAGCAGCTCTGTCTCATTTCATTGATCCAGTCTACCTGGCCTCTGTCACCCTGGGTATGTGTTTATTTAACTTTTTTTTTTTTTATAAAATTCTAACAACTTATGATATTTTGATAATTAGCAGCAAGCATATTTATCTAGATTTACTTAATCCAATGAAGTTTTAATAAATCTATAAAGTGATACAAATGACTCGAATGAAGCCATGCAACAGGGACAGTGAAGGAAACATCACACATGCAACTATAGATGGCCATTAGAGACCACAATCTGGGAAAAACATGGATGGTCATTAGAGACCACAAACTTGGAAAATCAAGGATGGCTCTAGAGACCACAGTGTTGGAAAACATGGATTGCCATTAGAGACCACAATTCAGGAAAAACATGGATGGCCATTAGAGACCACACGCGAGGAAAAACATGGATGGCCATTAGAGACCACAATCGAGGAAAAACATGGATGCCCATTTGAAACCACAATCAAGGAAAAACATGGATGGCCATTAGAGACCACAAACTTGGAAAATCAAGGATGGCTCTAGAGACCACAGTGTTGGAAAACATGGATGGCCATTAGAGACCATAATTCAGGAAAAACATGGATGGCCATTAGAGACCACAATTGAGGAAAAACATGGATGGCCATTAGAGACCACAATTTAGGAAAAACATGGATGGTCATTAGAGACCGCAATTCAGGAAAAAAATGGATGGCCATTAGAGACCACAATGTTGGAAAATCAAGGATGGCTCTGGAGACCAGTCTCAGAAAAACCATTGCTCTTCTTTATCCTCGCCGGCCAAATATTCTAAACTACTTTTCGCCCTACACCCGTTATTGCTATTCCCTTCACCCTCCTTTTAATTTGGTTTCCTTTCATCCTACCCAGCCCTCTCCTCCTCACCCTTCCCTAACATCTCAACCTCCCATGTGCCCATCCCCAGACCGACCCCCCAATGACCCCTTAACTCAAAGTTCTCACCCCTCACAAATTTGCCCTCTCTTATAATCATCCATTACGGTGAGCTACAGCCAAAGTCAAGTGAATAGTTGCACGAATGATACCTTTTTTTTTAATACTTTAGTTAATCATCTAAAATAAAACTTTATTTCTTTATTCTTCAGGTTACAATGTAAACAATGACCATGGACACTTATCTCGAGCCATTTGTTGCCGACTGTACAATGATCTGAACGATTTGCTACCAAAACCTTACACCATCAACCATCCCACTATCGACTTTGCCCCCGTCCCACCCAGCATTAAGCTCGTCAAGGGCACAGAGCCTACAAGCATTTCGTTAAATTGGAACTTTTATGACAAAAAACTGGAAGTGACTGATGGCGCTGTTGGTCGCACTCATCCCATGTAAGTCTAAGTCAGAGCCCATAGGCGCTGTTGGTCGCACTCAACACATGTAAGTCTAAGTCAGAGCCCGTAGGCGCTGTTGGTCGCACTCAACACATGTAAGTCTAAGTCAGAGCCCGTAGGCGCTGTTGGTCGCACTCAACAAATGTAAGTCTAAGTCAGAGCCCGTAGGCACTGTTGGTCGCACTCATCCCATGTAAGTCTAAGTCAGAGCCCATAGGCGCTGTTGGTCGCACTCATCTCATGTAAGTCTAAGTCAGAGCCCATAGGCGCTGTTGGTCGCACTCATCTCATGTAAGTCTACGTCAGAGCCCATAGGCGCTGTTGGTCGCACTCATCCCATGTAAGTCTAAGTCAGAGCCCGTAAAACTCCTCACCAAAAATTTGTCATACTTTGGAAATAATGTAAATATAAGGAAAACATTGAGGGATCATCCTGGATAACAACAGGGATGCTACCTGCCAACATTGTAGCCTGGTCCAGGAAACACTAGGGCATCTGTTGACTGAATGTCCCTCCCTAGATGTTCCACAGGAAGTCCCGGGCGGCGGGAGATTCCCATGTGAGGAAAATGTTATATGGCTCAGCTCAACAGATGGGGCTGGTAGCCAATGTACTAGCCGGGGTCATAAGAGAGTAATCTCAGACCCTCACCAGAATATGTGTGTTAGTTAGGGATCATCCCAATAGTCGATGACCAATCAAGAAAGTAATGAGGGGACACAGAGGGTGTGTTTGAAGAATTAGTCAACAAAAAGAAAAAAACAACTTATTTTATTGATCAAATTATATTTGCTATATATTCATGTGAGCACACCATTTACTTTTATAATGTAAGCTGCTAGCATTCTAACATGTAATGTACACAACCATCTCATCATTGTACACGTTTGGTATGCAGTGGCTTTCTCTTCACACAACACCCAAAGCCCCCCTACACTATGTACTGACAAATTTTGATTATATTTTCTCTGGTATTTTTTTCAAGCGGTTTCCATTCATTTCAAATGTCAGGATGTTGTTGTCTCTTCTCAGTTCTCCATTCAAAGTATCTGCAACGACACCGGTGAGCCGCAACTGCAAGGCTGGACTACACATCAAGTGGTTCAGAGAGCTGTGCACCACGAACCCTGAACACTCCCTGGTCTCTTTCTTTTCCAACAAGTCACCAGCCGAGGTCAAGGCTAAGGCCACAGCCTACCAAAAGGCCAAGCAGGAATTGTTCAAGCACTGCCAGTCTGTCGACATTGGTCAATGGGTCCACGCACCACCGGAGCTGAGTTTTTTTACCCACTAGGGAAACAATCTCCTATTGAATTCCTGTATAACTTTGTTATCATAATCATACTGTTTTAAAGTGGATGCCTCCTTCCTATTCATTTTCCACCAAACAGTACTGATGATAACAAAAGAGAGAGTAAGAGACAAGCCCTCCTCCTCCCCCCCCACCCCACCCCCCAATAGCTTTTCATAATAAATTTTCAATCATCATATATATTTTTCTCTATTGACATTACTGACAGCAACCTTACACATACATTGCTGACAGAAACCTTACACGTACATTGCTGACAGCAATCTTGCACAGACATTGCTGACAGCAACCTTACACAGACACTGCTGACAGAAACCTTACACAGACACTGCTGACAGCAACCTTACACAGACATTGCTGACAGCAACCTTACACAGACACTGCTGACAGCAACCTTACACAGACATTGCTGACAGCAACCTTACACAGACATTGCTGACAGCAACCTTACACAGACATTGCTGACTGCAACCTTACACAGACATTGCTGACAGCAACCTTACACGGACATTGCTGACAGCAACATTACACAGACATTGCTGACAGCAACCTTACACTGACATTGCTGACAACAACCTTACACAGACATTGCTGACTGCAACCTTACACAGACATTGCTGACAGCAACCTTACACGGACATTGCTGACAGCAACATTACACAGACATTGCTGACAGCAACCTTACACTGACATTGCTGACAACAACCTTACACAGACATTGCTGACTGCAACCTTACACAGACATTGCTGACAGCAACCTTACACGGACATTGCTGACAGCAACATTACACAGACATTGCTGACAGCAACCTTACACTGACATTGCTGACAACAACCTTACACAGACATTGTTGACAGCAACCTTACACAGATATTATTCAGTTTACAATTACAAGACAACTGGCAGGGTCTTCACAACAATTATTTACCTGTTGATTTGAGACTTGTCATGACATGTTTTATTTTGAAACTGGTGTTTGGTTGTTTTTTTTCAACTATTAATAATTTTCATTATCTTTTACCATAATTTCTTTTCCATTTTTTAAATTTCTGAAGGGAAAAAAAGTAGATGTTCATGTTAAAAATAACCGACTCATTTGGGCAATTTTTATTAGCCAATGAAATAGTAGAACAAAGTATGTTGAAGTTTGAATCCATAGACAGGACAACAAGATATGGACGTTTCGGCTTAGAGCCTTCTTCAGCGATACAAGAAACAGAGCACAGTAAAAAAAAAACTTTGGAGACATCATTTGTTGTTAAAGGAAGTAAGATTACTATGAAGTGAATGAATATAAAATTGGGACTGTGAAAAGTAAGGTCCAGAATTTTAACGGACCAAAATATCAAGGGATACATCAAATATAAGCAATAAGAAAGAATTAGAAATACAGGCAAATTGAGAAAAATAAGTAGGATAGTATTTGATTAATACTATATGGAGAGATGGTGCCGAAAGCTGAATAAATTTGTTTTCCATTTTAACCCTATCTGGTGTGTTAATACATGAAATGAGTGCCGTAATGGTACATCTGATGCTCCTTTATGTTGCTCTCTGTTTACATGTGAAGAGACTGGGGAAAGTTTACCTTGTTCAATATCCCCGAGATATCCTACTAATTTTTCTCAGTTTTTCTTATTGCTTAGATTGTTCTACTGTTTCATTTACACAGCTTGAATGCAATCCTTCAATTTTTATCTAGTAGCCATTCAGTTTACTTTTGTCAAGCACTATGATGTAAATAAGGCATTCATTAATGGCACACACACGTGAGGGGGGGGGGGGTGTATTTTAAATTAAGTGCTGTACCTATTTGACATCAGTACTCATGTATTTTTTTAGAAATAAAATCACCTTGATTTTTCTACTTCAATTTTTATCTAGTAGCCATTCAGTTTACTTTTGGCAAGCACTATGATGGAAATAAGGCATTCATTAATGGCACACACACGTGAGGGGGGGGGGGGTGTATTTTAAATTAAGTGCTGTACCTATTTGACATCAGTACTCATGTATTTTCTTAGAAATAACATCACCTGGATTTTTCTGAACACATGTTGACACTTACTGATATTTCTTTAAATGGAGAGATTTATTTTAAGAAGCATTGGAAGTAAATTTATTTTGTATTTATTGTTGGACTGGAATGTGCAGTTCATGTTTTCTTTCTTATTTAAGCATTTGAACATTTTACATACAGGTCACAAAACAAAACTGTTCAGCTCCAAGAATACATTATTTGTTTAGTTATTTTGGTTTTTTTAACCTCTATTTTCAGACGTAGGTTGTGAAAATTTACAATTTAACTTGTGTTTGCCATTGTTAACATTTGTCACTTTTCTTTACAGTAAAACAAAAAATGTTTTCAAGAAAAAGATTTTAGTGAAATAATTTCTTTTTGTTCAACTTTTTTATTCATGAATTTGTGGGAGGTAAGAATGTAGTTAAGAAACTCTCAGTTGTAAGGTAGAGGTCCCAACCTCTTCAAGTCTGCAGAACAGTAGTTCTCAGACTTTTTTTTTTGTAGTCACCGCTCCCGTTGTTCATCATTTGATGGCCCCCCCCCCCCCCCCCCCTTTTTTTAGGAAGTAAGAATGTAGTTAAGAAAATCTCAGTTGTAAGGTAGAGGTCCCAACCTCTTCAAGTCTGCAGAAAAGGAGTTTTCAGACTTTTTTTTTTGTAGTCACCGCTCCCGTTGTTCATCATTTGATGGCCCCCCCCCCCACCCACTTTTTTTTACCCCATTGTAAGCATTCACAGAAATGTGGTTTGCTTGAATAGCGTATTGAAGATGAAGGCAATAAAATATAAAAACGTGTAATTCAAATACAATTGAAGCTTGATACTCTAATTATAAAAAACAACAACTTGGAAACATCTAGTAGAGATCAAAACTAGATTTTGAAAAACTCTAATAAACTGTAAGCTTGGTTACACATACAGGTGGTCAAAAATCAGTGGTCATATCTGACTTTTGCCGAACAAGCATGTTATATGAGATAGTTATGTATTATTAGAGCTAAGCACACAAAAAGGGGGCAGGGGTTTGGGTGTCAGCAAGTGACCGACACCAACCTCTTCAACAAACATTTTCCAGTCAGCCAAAAAAATTTAGCTATGATTAAAATTAAAAAAAAAAAACAAAAAAAAAACCTCCCTTATAATTATTAGGTTAATTTTGTTTATATTTAAATCCTGAAATGAGAGTCACTGTTATTCGATTTTCCAGGGATTCGCCCAAATTAGGAGAAACCACAGTTTTGGACATGAGAAACCAAAGTTTCGGCCTTGTGAAACCAAAGTTTCGGCCATGTGAAACCAAAGTTTTGGCCATGTGAAACCAAAGTTTTGGACATGAGAAACCAAAGTTTCGGCCATGTGAAACCAAAGTTTCGGCCATGTGAAACCAAAGTTTCGGCCATGTGAAACCAAAGTTTCGGCCATGTGAAACCAAAGTTACGGCCATGTGAAACCAAAGTTTCGGCCATGTGAAACCAAAGTTTCGGTCATGTGAAACCAAAGTTTCGGCCATGTGAAACCAAAGTTTCGGACATGAGAAACCAAAGTTTCTGACATGAGAAACCAGTTTCGGCCATGTGAAACCAAAGTTTAGGTCAAAAAGTGCCGCATTTTCCATGGAAGGTCAAGAGCTGGTACAAATCTGGGGGTAGATGTAAAAAAAATGGAAGTTTCTAAAAATATATCTTGGTGTGCAGGACGTTTGCGGATGAATTGTAAAAAATCGATAACACGTTAAAATCGGATTCATAAAACCGGTTTGCGAAAAAAAAAAATCATATTCAGAAGAATTTGATCTGTAAAGTGGCCTGGGCTTTTGCGATCAACCTCCTGATTTCGGTTATTGGTTTAAAGCTTTAGTCTACATCTGATTATAGATCAAACTGATGCTCTATTTTATAATTTTTTTTTACATGACATATCACCCAGTCTGACATGTGATCGATGACAAACGCATTGATGGACCAGGCTCCAACAGCTGTTCGTATAACGGATGATGAAAAATAGCACGTCAATTTCAAAATGTTCAAGGCTGACCATTAGAAAGGGAAAAACCTAATTCTATCGGAACACAATATTGGGTTGCTAGTTGTTGGTTACGACGAGAACGTCAGCTGTGTGGACAACTTAACTACAATACGTGTTAAGCCCTGATTCATTGCATCATTATTTCTTCTTTTTTTTTTTTAAATTGGCTGACAGCGTCCATGATAGCAATTATTAAAATAAGGAAAAAGTAGATTACTTTTTAACAAAAAAACAAATGTTATTTGTATAATTGCGAAATAAGACATAGCCGACTAGGTTATCTTCTCATAGATCAGGGTATCATCCAAACTAACCGAAAACATCATGGCATTTTAATCAAGGTATCACCCGAGCTCACCCAAAACACCAAGGTATCACACGAGCTCACCCAAATCACCAAGGTATCACACGAGCTCACCCAAATCACCAAGGTATCACACGAGCTCACCCAAATCACCAAGGTATCACACGAGCTCACCCAAATCACCAAGGTATCACACGAGCTCACCCAAATCACCAAGGTATCACACGAGCTCACCCAAATCACCAAGGTATCACACGAGCTCACCCAAATCACCAAGGTATCACACGAGCTCACCCAAATCACCAAGGTATCACACGAGCTCACCCAAATCACCAAGGTATCACACGAGCTCACCCAAATCACCAAGGTATCACACGAGCTCACCCAAATCACCAAGGTATCACACGAGCTCACCCAAATCACCAAGGTATCACACGAGCTCACCCTAATCACCAAGGTATCACACGAGCTCACCCAAATCACCAAGGTATCACACGAGCTCACCCAAATCACCAAGGTATCACACGAGCTCACCCTAATCACCATGGTATCACACGAGCTCACTCAAATCACCAAGGTATCACATGAGCTCACCCAAATCACCAAGGTATCACACGAGCTCACCCAAAACACCAAGGCATCACTGGAGCTCACCCAAATCACCAAGGTATCACACGAACTCACCCTAATCACCAAGGTATCACTCGAGCTCACCCAAATCACCATGGCATTTTAACCAAGATATCACCTGAGCTCACCCAAATCACCATGGCATTTTAACCAAAATATCGCCTGAGCTCACCCACATCACCATGGCATTTTAACCAAGATATCGCCTGAGCTCACCCAAATCACCATGGCATTTTAACCAAGATATCACCTGAGCTCACCCAAATCACCATGGCATTTCAACCAAGATATCACCTGAGCTCACCCAAATCATCATCGATACACTGACTTATCTAAGACAAGTGCCACCTGGGCCTGACCAACATATTTTCCTCCCTTCGCCCACGAAAAAAGTATGAAGTTGGCCCCCTAACGTTCGCCCTTCAATGTATAGAAAAAGCACCCCCCCCATATGGTGTATCACCCCCTTCCTACCCTTACCAGCACGGCGCCTGACATAGTAGACTGACGACACTAACTGACAGTCCAGCCTGTGGTCAGCGTTAAAAAAAATGTTAATACAAAATATTTCGGAGTAAATATATCAACCAATCGTCAAAAAAAGTTAAATAAATATCTCCTTGGGGTACATTTGTTACTGCTATTTGTTACAACCATTTGTTACTACCATTTGCTTCAACCATTTGTTACTGCCATTTGTTACTACCATTCGTTACAACCATTTATTACTGCCACTTGTTACAACCATTTGTTACTGCCACTTATTACAACCATTTATTACTGCCACTTGTTACAACCATTTGTTACTGCCACTTGTTACAACCATTTGTTACTGCCACTTGTTACAACCATTTGTTACTGCCACTTGTTACAACCATTTGTTACTGTCACTAGTTACAACCATTTGTTACTGCCACTTGTTACAACCATTTGTTACTGCCACTAATTACAACCATTTGTTACTGCCACTTATTACAACCATTTGTTACTGCCACTTGTTACAACCATTTGTTTACTGCCACTTGTTACAACCATTTGTTACTGCCACTTGTTACAACCATTTGTTACTGCCACTTGTTACAACCATTTGTTACTGCCACTTGTTACAACCATTTGTTACTGCCACTTGTTACAACCATTTGTTACTGTCATTTCTACTTTCTTGGATACGGGAACCTTACCCAAAAAAAAAATTTTAAAAAAAAAATCCCGTTTTCTACCTTAAACCAGGCAAACATATGATCATGGCCGTGATACATTGAATTAAAAAAGGATGACAGCGAAGCTAGAAGTAAAAGAAGAAACAAAAAAAAGTTTCTTTTTAGGACAAATCAATCCCAATGTAATAATGTGTAAATAAATTTTCCTCCTTCTTTCTAATGGCTTGTCCTAAAAATTTGATTCTAAGTGCTTCTAGTTTTGTTTGTATGTCTTGTAAATTAATCTCTTCTTCTAGTTTAGATTGCATTAATGTTGTATTCTTAATATTTTGTATTGTTCCTTGAAATATGTAATTCCTGATGTGTAAGTTGATTTGTCTTAAAATGGTTGGTGGAGGTCCCCCATATGTTCCCTGTGTATATTTTTTTAGGAATTATATATGTGTTTATGATTGTACTCTGGCCAAAAATTGTGTGTGCTGTGTAGGCCTATTTATGTCTTTCAATTATGTTTTTTATTGATTGTTCAATGTTTTGTCATGTTTCTGTTTTAGTTTGAGTCTGTTTGTTTGAAAAATAAATGCCATATATCCTAAGACCATCTTTCCTTACAATTTCTAAAGGGAAATCTAGTCTATCTTTCCACTTACCTATCCCCATAATTTCAGATTTAGTTATGTTTATTTTAGACCCACTACCTCTTCCAAATTCTTGAAATATTGATATTATTTTTGAAATAGACTTATCATCAATAGGAACAAAAATTGTGTCTTTTGTTTTAATGACTTTTGTTTCATTACCTCCAGGGATCCTTACTCCTTTAATACTCTCCTCCCTTCTAATTCTCTCTAACAAAGGTTCAAAGGATAGAATATAAAGGTAAGGGGAAAGGGAACACCCTTGTCTAACCGATCTGTCAAGTTTACTTCATGTTTTTTGCCGGGCGCATTTTTTGTTCGACGCGGTCCTCGATCTACATTCAGGCCTACATTTAGTTGTGATTTTATTGGTGTGCATCAAATGTTCCCCTTCTTTTTCTTACACCCTCCTCCCCAAAACTCTGAATAGATGACTGTTACTTATTGTTATAACGACGTGAGATACGATTCTTTTATTGATCCAAATAAATGGAAACTTTTTTTTTTTATATGACCTTGTACATATGTTATCTTCATCATATAAATCAATACATATTGAAACCAAGGCGAACTATTACAATTATAAAACTTTAAACGCAAGACATTTAAAGAGTTTCTCTAGCGTAGAAATCAGCCATGCATAAACTCCTTTTGGGACAATAAATACGTAATTAGTGATCATTTAGATCTTAATCATTTTAATATGTAAACGGTGAAGGCTACTCGCTAGATGTGTGATCAGCAGGGGCGTGGCATTGGAGGGCTGGGGTGGGGTGGGGGGTGTCGTATCGGAACGGCATTTCGGTTCCATTTCATACACTTTTTTTTTTATGTCGTCTTTCCTATGTGTGTTGAGTAGGCCCTACGCATTGTAGTCTTCGTGAAATAAGGGGCGGCGAAGTCAAGGAGTACCCCGGGGCGTCATAAGGTGTAGCTACTCCTCTGTTGAATAGGGTTGTATTTTGCAAACGGTCGCTTAACAGCCAGTCACCAGACGTTGGAATTCGTCTGACTGAAACGGCAAATTTAATCGGATTAGGGGAGGTAATCCTTAAGCCCATGGGACGTAAAGATTATGGAGGCGAGTAAATAATATAAAAGATGTGTATGCGACCTGGGCTATTTCAGTTTTGAGGTATAAATGAAATGAGTTATAGAAAGCATGAGTAATTTATGAGTTATGAGTGTTGAACGCCAGATAGATAAGGTGTAATAAGGGCTTCTTTCAGCTATATATCCGGGGGGGGGGGGGGGGGAAAAGACAAGTGCCCCCCGGAGCAAAAATAAGTCCAACAAAAAAACAACTGGAACTGCGGGCACAGCCCCCCCCCCCCCCCCCCGAAAAATCTGAAGTGTCCCCCCCCCCCGGGGGAAAATTTCTGAAAGAAACACTGGGTGTAATATATATACGGCATCGGTTATAAACGGACTAAGGTGTATAAGAATGCTTTACATAAAGTATTAGTTACGTATAAGGTACATCGAGTTACCGAAACGCTATATTCGGTATATATATATAAGCTGTGAGGTGAGGTACAGGGCATACAGAATACATTGTGCATTGAATACAATATTACATTCTTACCTCATAGAACGATGATGCCAAATACGATGTGGTCGAACGATTCTAAGTACATCTGACAGTACTTAAATACATTTACCTTCCTGACTCTCGATTAATTTGTTTCTGCCATTGTTATACTTTGGAATTATATGACACGGACAGTATCTTAGATTTCATCTTGACTGCGCGACAGGGTCGGAATTCTTTTCCGATTTCGTAAAATGCGTCAATGTTTTATCATTTGATGTGCATTGCGCACGATAAAATGTAAACTTGACAGGGACAATTCGCATAATCAATGTTTCGGAAAAAAAATAGACATTCATAAAATCGACAATCTACTTTTGATATAAAGAATTTGGCCCCCCAAAAAAATAAATAAATAGATTTCTCTATCTCGGAGGCTAGTATGGTAATATGCGACGGGTCTGATCGTTTTTTTCTTTAATCCCTCGTGTTGCGGACCATCGAAATTTTCTGTGGGATATTTTTTTGCAATTTTATTCTTAAATTTTACGGAGAACACGTGTCAAAAATTTGTTACACTTTTCGGGTAAAAAAAAAAAAAAAAAACAACAAAATAAAACAACTCTCCTTAATTCCAATTCAATAATCCATATATTCCTGAGGGCAACGCAAGATGTTGCGGACCATCGAAATTTTTTGTGGGATATTTTTTTGCAATTTTATTCTTAAATTTTACGGAAAACACGTGTCAAAAATTTGTTACACTTTTCGGGTAAAAAAAAAAAAAAAACAACAAAATAAAACAACTCTCCTTAATTCCAATTCAATAATCCATATATTCCTGAGGGCAACGCAAGTTAAACGATACACACACACACACACACAGGGATAAGCTCTCTTTACCCTTTCAGAGGTAAGCTGTCTGTCAATTTCGTAATCGATACCGGGGTGTGGGGGGGGGGTGTTTAGATTCGAAGATTTAGTTTTATCAGAGTCGTACCGGTAGCAATAACAATATCGCTTGCACCATATTATTTTGATACAATTTATTTTAAAAATTAGCATCTAAAGCTGTATTTGATTTGCAAAAGCTCTTTTTAAAGCTTCGTGACGGGGGGTGGGGCGGTGGGGGGAAAGAACAAACAACAAAATGGACGCGTTAACTCGGAGTCGGTGACGATTTTGAATTTTTAAATAATCCGACTCCACATTCCAGGGTTAAAGTTATGATTATGATTTTTTTTTTACTTTACTAAGCAAGATTTATCACGTGGTTTAGCCAATATAAGAGAGAGATTCAGGTTTTTAGTTCGTACAGTAGTCGGATGAACACAAGTCATCTCACGGTCTGTACTGTATAATCTATAACCCCAAAAACATTTCTTTTCTGTTTTTTGAAAAAATGGCCAGACATTGTGGATTGTCGTTTTCTTTGGTATGTGTTTTACTGGCGTCACCGACATTCGTCAAAGCGTTGTCGATTCTGGAAGAACCAGAGGTGCCTCCTGCGCCACAGGATGAGCCAACATCCCCTCCGGAAACACCTTATACAGATGGGACACCGTTTCCTCCGGAGACGCCCAACACCCCAGAACCAACTGTAATCTGGGGGGATCCACCCTTCACTAGCCAAGAAACACCACCGACTCCGTTTACCAACGATGTCCCTGTTACTCCCCCTCCTACAGAAACCCCGTGTGAAGAAGATACAATTGCGCCACATCCATATCCCGAAGGCGGATGTGAGGTAAGCTGCATAAACATTATCTGTTTTTTTTGCCATTGTTCAAATCTTTTAATAATCTAACCCTATTTTATTTATTACATTTTTTAAAATTATTTTATTGGGGTGGGGGTGTAATTTAAAGTTGTGTTGTTAATTACAAATATATACATTAATTAACTAATTTTTAATGTTTTGTTTTCGTGGAAGACCGTGATTCAGTCCCTGTATGCGTAAAGTTCAACGTACTTCAAAGTAACAAAAATCTTCATAAGAGAAACTTTTAAAAATTGTTTGCATCTTTAAAATCGATTTTTTTTCCTGCTGAAAATATCTTGAAATCTACAAGTCAAGTTGGGACATTTCCCCCACCCCAAAACAATCTTCGCCCCCCTAAGACCCACCCGGGGTCATTAAGAAGATGATGTTGTTTGTGTGGTAAATTCTAGCTCCTTAACTGGATGACAGACATCCTGCAAGTGGACACGTCAGCACTGGCGTAGGAAGGGGGTCAAGGGCGGGCCACGCCGGTAGAAGCTATTTTTATGAAGAGAGAAATCATCATTGTGCTCCATACTATAAGATATGAACTACATACTATAAGATGTGGGCTACATACTATAAGATGTGAACTACATACTATAAGATGTGGACTACATACTATAAGATGTGGACTACATACTATAAGATGTGAACTACATACTATAAGATGTGGACTACATACTATAAGATGTGGACTATATCCTATAAGTTGTTGACTACATACTATAAGATGTGAACTACATACCATTAGATGTGGACTACATACTATAAGATGTGGGCTACATACTATAAGATGTGAACTACATACTATTAGATGTGGACTACATACTATTAGATGTGGACTACATACTATAAGATGTGGGCTACATACTATAAGATGTGAACTACATACAATAAGATGTGGACTACATACTATAAGATGTGGGCTACATACTATAAGATGTGAACTACATACTATAAGATGTGGACTACATACTATAAGATGTGGGCTACATACTATAAGATGTGGACTACATACTATAAGATGTGGACTACATACTATAAGATGTGGACTACATACTATAAGATGTGAACTACATACTATAAGATGTGGACTACATACTATAAGATGCGGACTACATACTATAAGATGTGGACTACGTACTATAAGATGCGGACTACATACTATAAGATGCGGACTACGTACTATAAGATGCGGACTACGTATTATAAGATGCTAACTACATACTATAAGATGCGAACTACATACTATACGATGTGGACTACGTACTTGATATGAACTATAAGATTTGGACTACATACGATAAGACAGGCTTGCACAACATATGACCCGCCAGCACCAATTTTGCGGCCCGCGAAGCAACAAAATTTTCTTTATTAGTATTTTTTTCTTAGGGGTCGTCCATTAATTAAGTGAACAATTTTTTCGCAANTTTATACCCCAAAACCCCCCCCCCCACAAAAAAAAATGAATTATAATACAAATAAAATTAATAAATACGTTTTACTTTTTGCTGTTGTATTTTAATAACACAAAATTGTAGGAAAAACATTTTATTACATCTTTAGCTTGTCAATCAACAAGTTAAAAAGTTTTTACACTTCAATTTGATAAACAGAAACAATTAAAAGTTTGTTAAAGACTAAATATCATTGTTTGTGGAAGTATGAATATGATTATTGTCACTATAGCTAACAATGATAGTATAGTTTGTAGTTTGTTTATAGTCTGTGTGAGCAATAGTTGCCATAAGCTCTCTCTCTGTCTTTGAGTTGTTATAGTTGTTATTCAACACCAATGAGTTGGTGTACAATGAAGTGTTAATCATTCTAGGGAGCGGATTAAGAGAAAAATGACAGGCGAAGAGATGCCAATTTTTTTACTTCTCTTGCACTAACAAAGTGTGCTAACCTTCTGACCAGCTATCTGCAGTGCACAGACAGACACACATTAAATAACTCTTACAGTGTTAAAATCCTAAACATATATGACTTTTTACACTCATTGAATTCTTTAAAATAACGTAAGAACCCGTCAATTTTTAAGAATACACTTTTAAAGGAAACACATGATTGTTGACGTCAACTAATCTAAACCCACCTACCTCCCTCTTGTCAATAACTGTCAAACATTTCCACCCCCCCCCCTATTTTGTTGACGTAATTAATAGACGACCCCGTAATAGCTTCCACACCCCCCCCCCCCTTTTTCTTATTTTCTTTCGGTCCGCACACGTTTTTCCTAAAGTATTACGACACGATAAACATTTGAGTTGTGCAGGCCTGCTATAAGATATTGGCTACAGACTATACGATGTGGACTACATACTATAAAATATAGGCTACATATTATAAGATATGGACTGCATACTATATACTAATGGACTACATGCTATGAGATATGCCTTGTGTTTGATATGTATTCTGTATGTTTGTGGGTTTCATAAACAGCGGGAGGGTCAAGTCCAGCCCAAGAGTCACAAAACTCTGTCTACACCACTGTAGTACATTCTTTATTATAGAATAAGTACATATAAATGAAGCAGGACCGGCGCTTGGGGAGGGGAGGGACGACGACCGCCCTAGGCCCCTCACTTGTTAGGGGCGCGTGTAGCCTTTTTAATATTTGATATTAAAAATAATAATACTAAAGTTATTTGAAAATCACGCTTTATCCCCAAGGGCTCGAAGCGTGGTACAAAGTCATCTATATTAAAAAAAAAGAAATGAAAAAATCTATATTTTACCACATTGAAATACAAAACGCAACATTACAAAAGCTACATACGAGAATACCAATTCTAAGTCTTTCATCCCCTGCAACCATAAACAATACAGCCAGGCCGTCCCTATTCATAGTTTGTAATTTCAAGTCAACACAATGTTCATTGTACAACATCAGTTGAATCTAGGGACGAGCCACGACAGACGCCAGAAGAATCTCGTAGGATAAACTATTTCTTGTGGTTGCTAGACCATGCGTTGACATCCTTGAAGACAACGTTTCCAACAACTGAACCTGTGCTTTTGACATATTGGATTTCTATATGACATTCAGCAACTCCGCACCATGACACTGGCTAAACTGCTGTGTGAAGTTGGACATGTCTTTGAGAAGCTGTAATTCGCGGGATAGAGATGGTTTGGGATTACTGCGAGGATCTGAAGATATTGAGTTAAATTGTTCCCCACAGGAGAAGTACAAACAGGACCCCCCCCCCACACACACCACCGGCCATGAATGAAGTAGCAGACCTGTATACCCCTAACCCCTACGCTTTCACCGTAGTAACTACATTTGTAAGCATAAGACTACGGCACTGCGACGAGGCTAAAAAAAAATACATAAATACGGTTTCGAGAGTTTTTTCGTTTGGTTTATTTCTAAGTAAAAAAATTAATAATTGGGGTGTTTTCAGTAAAAATTTACAGCATTTTCGTGTTAACACCGTAAGCAATCGAATAAGAATAACTGTGATTGGCCTTTGCGGTGTCCATCTCAATGAACCAATTAGAGTTTTTTTTTTTTTTTTTTTTCTTTTAGAAGATTGCGTTGTTAATACTTATTTGCCAATGTGCTTGCCGGAGACCTTCTCTCATCCTTAAGAAACAAATAGGAAGACCATATCATGTATATTTATATCTGTTAAATTACATAAGCAATTAAGTGGATTTCCTTACACAACTTGTATTTTGATTGCAAGCCCCCCCCCCTCTCCCCCTAAACCAAACGACTCTTTGGAGCTTGAAACTACGTTTCATAGAGCTGAAAACGACCGCGACACTAACCCAGGGGTAAACAGGTCTGGGGTAGGCGCTTAGATATGAAATAGATCTTAGTCATTCTAACAAAACTAGAATAAATTACCCCGATGTTATCGGGATAATGATGGTAGGTCTTTTGCGATATTTTCTAACTGCTATTGCAAAAAATTCATCCCAATTCATAACTTTTAAAATGAAATGATATTTACGTTTCTAACATCATTAAGTTTTGAGAAGTGTTTATCTGCTATATATGATACGCGTACACTACACCCTTTCACGCTCCTAAACTACTTTTTCCCCTCTAAACATGACCTTAAATTACCCAGTCTAAATTATCACTAATTATATCACTTTGGTCACCAAAGAACTTGAGGGACAATTACTAAGCTAGAGAACTATTTTAGATTTACCCCTTTTCGTGCCCTTGAATTACAACTTTTTTCACTCAAAATGTACTCAAACCACCAAATTTTAAATTTACAACAAAAACTCTATATATGATATAAATATATTTTGTATTACAGGAATTCGATATATATTGATATCTTCCTCAAAAATTTAAACTCATTTTTGCCTTTTAAAAAAAATTATACATTATCAGAAAATCGTAAAACAAAGAATTCTTTTATCTAAGAAGAATCTCGTAACTGTTTTTTCACGCCTATATCAGATTTGACTGCCTTTTTTAATAAATTAAATTGTTAATCTCATAAGAATACACACCTCTTTAACTTTTGCAAAGTAACAACAAAAATATATTTTCATTTTTTAAAAAAAAAGAAAATATTAACCCATCTTCATTGGTCAAAATTTAATTTTCAAGTGTGTAAAAAGATTGTGTTTTGATATGCATGGATATATTTATATAAATGTACCCAAGATTTGTTAACGCCATTGATTTTATTATTTGATAAACATATGTTTATTTGTAAAAAGAGAATTTAACATCTCTTTTTTCACAAATGTAATACCATAGGATTTAAATATATTGTCAGCCACGTAAAACTGTACACATGCTATTTCCTACCTCCGATATGAATGTACCCAAGAAGGTGAATTATTTATCAAATTCATTCCTTTATTTTGGGACGTATCTTGTGCTGCGTGGGGCAAAGAGACCAACCCCTCCACCACCCAGATTTAAATAAATTTAGAAAATCTTCCACCGGATTGTAGTTCCTTCCATACCCAAACTAACATATTTTGTACTTCATATGGTGGGTTCTTATTTGTTTGAGGTATAAGTGGATTAATAAATGCTATTTAGCTATGGAGTTGCGCTGCACTGATTGACTTAGTCCGCATTTTCTTATTAGAATTATATTGAAATGTTAGTTTTTATTTCGTTATAAATTTAATAAAAGTATATTTTTTTATTTAAAAAAAGGCAAAATTGTTTAAATGTAAAAATATACAAAGCAAAAATGTGTGTGTGTGTTTTATTAACAATTTAAAAACAATCAATTGTATTTATCAATTTTAATTTTAAGAACGGAAAATACAGCATCAGTTTTGTCACGCGCGGTTATTAAATTTAAAGAAACCCAAAATTATTGGTGAAATAGGCTATTCGTGCTATGACGTCATTTGGGTGATTATTTAGAACAATTTAATTTTAATTGTATTTCGCAATATTAACAACGCACTAAAAGACGCACTAAAAATGACTGATGCTTGGGTTTTCCCGATAAAGTGATTACGGTGTAATTCTTTGATTATGATTTTTTTAAATATTTTTATTTTTTCATAACTTTCAAACACATATAAAATGCTTAAAATAGTTCCTTAGTTAATATTTTAAATGTATTTGTAATTTTTAATAATATTACTTTAACTTTTAATAAAATAAAAGTGGTGTTAAAATATTTTTTGCGCATTTATAATTTTCGATTTCCGTAAAATAATAGAAAAATAACTATGATTGTTTTTAGGAATCCGAAAGTACATAAATCGTATAGGCTCTTTGGCGTTATGTCACTGTAGCTCATTCTTATATATATATATATATATATATATATATATATATATATGTATATCATCTTTCCGTCTGCGGGAGACGATAGATTATCTTTATTGCTTGCAGCTCTTGGTGTGGCTGGTGAGACCAATCCTCGAATGGCAGTCTCTGTTACATTTCCCACACACGAATGCGGTGGAGCAGTATTTGCCGGCCTTCCTCCTCGCTCTTTTTGCAGCTGTTTCCGCCCTGTTTTGATCCTCGGCATGTAGTGATCCTGCCTTCACGATGCCCTGCCATGAGGATCGATCCTCTGCCAACTCCTCCCAGTTTGAGATGTCGATGTTAGATGACTTCATGTCTCTTTTGCATATGTCTAAGTATCTCAGACGAGGCCGTCCAACTGACCTTTTCCTTGTCGCCAGCTCGCTGTATAGCACGTCCTTTGGTATGCGACCAGATTGCATTCGCTTGACGTGTCCAAGCCAGCGGAGGCGTCTTTGGATTAACATGGCTGGGACGCTACAGATATTTGTTTGGGACAGGATATCCGTGTTGGGGACTTTGTCTTGCCATTTAATGTCAAGGATGTGGCGCAGGCATCTGAGGTGGAAGCCATTGAGCCTTCTTTCGTGTTTAGAGTATGTGGTCCACGACTCGCATCCATACAGAAGTGTGCTCAGTACGCAGGCCTGGTAAAGATATGTGAATCTGTCAACAGTATCCAAGTCGTAGTCGTCGATGGCGATAGTGGGGAGGGAGTCAGCGCCCTGTGCCATAATGTTAGTTTTCTTTAGGCTAATTGTCAGGCCAAACTCTTTGCAGGCAGCGGATAGGCTGGATACGAGGCTCTGCAGGCCGTCAGCTGTGTGAGATACCAAAGCGGCATCTTCCGCAAACAAGATCTCTCGCAGCAAGACCTTTCTTGTTTTAGTCTTAGCTCTAAGGCGGGCAATGTTGAATAATTTGCCGCCATCTCTAGTGTGGATGTATATCCCCTCGCTGTTGTTCTGAAAGGCATACTGGAGTAGGATGGAGAAAAAGATTGCAAATAAAGTAGGAGCCAGCACCCAACCTTGCTTAACTTCACTACTCACTGGAAAAGTTTCTGAGGCGGCACCGTTATAGCACACTGTGCCCTGCATGTTTTCGTGGAACTGCTTGATGATGTTAAGCAGTCACGTAGGGCAGCCTATCCTTTTGAGGATCTGAAACAGGCCGCTTCTGCTGACAAGATCAAAAGCCTTAGGGAGGTCGACAAACGCAATGTATAAAGGCATATGTTGCGCCCTTCCATTTCTCCTGCAGCTGGCGCAGAGAGAAGATCATGTCTATGGTTGACCTACCGGTGCGAAAACCACATTGCGATTCTGGGAGTACACGCGATGCTAGGGTCTGTAGGCGTGTTAATGCAACTAAATATATATATACTATAAAATCTAATTTAATTCCCCCCCCCCCCAATATATATAATTCTAATTGTTATCTCTATCAAACAGTCACCACCGCCTTACGACAGTCCTTGTGCATGGTGTCAGTGTGCTGACGGCCAATGGATGTGTGCAATAATGGACTGCGCGCCGCGGGCTTGTGTTGATGGATACACGGTTCCCGGCGAGTGCTGTGAAACCTGCCCCAACGGTGAGTCTCAATCCTAATCGACACAAACGGCCTGCCCCAATGGTGAGTCTCAATCCTAATCGACACCAACGGCCTGTCCCAACGGTGCGTCTCAATCCTAATTGACACAAACGGCCTGTATCAACGGTGAGTCTCAATCCTAATTGACACAAACGACCTGTCTCAACGGTGCGTCTCAATCCTAATTGACACAAACGACCTGTCTCAACGGTGCGTCTCAATCCTAATTGACACAAACGACCTGTCTCAATGGTGAGTCTCAATCCTAATTGACACAAACGACCTGTCCCAATGGTGAGTCTCAATCCTAATTGACACAAAAGACCTGACCCACTGGTGAGTCTCCATCCTATTTGATACAAAAGACATGTCCTAATGGTGAGTCTCAATCCTAATTGACACAAAAGACCTGTCCCACTGGTGAGTCTCGAGATAAAATGAATTAACCAACAAATTATTTTAATCTGTATCAAATTATAAAAGAGTTGATTTGAATTGTTTCATTCTTATTTTATATTAATGAATAAAAAAATTTTTAAGGTTAGTTGAGAATTCTGTCACTTGCTACTATTTGCTTCCCTTTCCACGGCTCATCCCTAGCAATGGACAACTAGCTAATAATATGTTTGTTAAGCAAAAGTGAGATATAACCGCCTACAGGAAAAAAAAAACAACACAACACTTTATGAGTTTTGCATTTTTACAGGTAGCTATTTCTAGTTTCTAATCAGTCTCTAAATATTAACATGTAAATTTTTCTGACAACTTGTAACGTGGGATTTGTTTGGAGGTAATAAAAAAAAATATATCTTAATCTTTGTATATCTTAATAGGAGGATTTTGGCAGAGAAAAAACAAGATATACTATAAAGCATAAAGTATTATAAAGCTAGTGTGACTCATGAAGTCTTGGGGTAACCAAGCTACTAGAACAGAGATTCTCAGCCCGCGGGAGGGGACCTCAAATAAGTTTGCGAAGGGATGATGTGGGGGTTGAAAATGACCCCCCCCCCTTAAAAAAATGTATGGAAAACCTGAAGAAACCAAAGACGCAACAAAACAACGAATGTGTCGTCAAGAAGCCCCTTTAGCGAGCCAACAACAGTAAAATATCAAATAAAAATAACACTTCGCTGCAGTGTAGTATCCGAGAGGTCAGCAAGAGCAGTATCTGAGAGTGGGGCGGGGGGGGGGGGGCCGGCTGCAACAACAGACTTAGAGAAGTGGTGAGATTTAAACAGCCTTCTTGTTTTAAATGACTTTCTGTCTTAATACCAACAACAGTAAAATATCAAATAAAAATAACACTTCGCTGCAGTGTAGTATCCGAGAGGTCAGCAAGAGCAGTATCTGAGAGGGGGGCGGGGGGGGGGGTGCCGGCTGCAACAACAGACTTAGAGAAGTCGTGAGATTTAAACAGCCTTCTTGTTTTAAATGACTTTCTGTCTTAATGTCTGCGTAACAATTTACGTGATGGGATTGAGTGCGTCACCAGTGACGCCACATTCTATTTGAACATTAAGTGTCCATTTTTTTTTTCCTTTTCAATAATGACCATCTTCAAAAAGTCATGTTGTTCTCAAGATATCGCAATGAGGTCAGTGTGCCTTGAAAACGCTTGAGAACCTGTGCGCTAGAGCTGCTGAGCTTAGTCATACACCGCGGTTAATAAGATTGTACAGGTCCTGGCTTACAGTGACACTTTTTGACGATTTGTGACAACCTCTGGCCTGCTGAAATTTAAAAAAAAAAAAAAAGAAATTCTTTTTTTTAAATTGTATCCTGAAAGCGTTGACCCGTGATGTCCGGAGAAGAGATTGGAGAACTAAAAATGGCGTGGGCTCCCAGGAGAGAAACTCCTGATGTAAAAGACAGGTTGATACACTCAATGACTTAACAGATGACACCTGCTAGATGACACACTAGTCATGTAAAAAGCTTGTGAAGGTCTAATCTTCGGCTGGTTTCAGGCAGGTAAACCTTTAGGTTTTGCCTCATTGTATCGAGCTACGTTAACCGCAAATCACCGATGACGTGAAAGATTGGCTTTTAACATCTTATCGGGGTAGCCTGAGCCAGTGGCGTAGCGAGGGTGCTTGGCGCCCGGGGACAAGATTCGCGCCCGGGGACAAGATCCATTTTAAAGCGCCCCTTTTTCTTTTTTTCAACTCTCAACCCGATTATTTTCATCAATAAAATAATATCAAAGCACATTTTGGCGCCCCTAACTAGCTGGCACCTGGGGACATCTGTCCCCCCCCGCCCCCACCACGCTACGCCTCTGGCGTGAGCTACGGTTCGCATTTAGCTTTTAACGGCAAGCATATATGTGGCACGCATAGAGAAAGAGGAGAGACATACAAAATGAGAGTGAAAGACAGCGTGATTGAAAGTGAGAGAGAAATACACGGAGAGAGAAGAGCGAGAAGGAAAGAGAGAGAGAGAGAAAGAAAGAGAGTACGCATGAATGTGTACATAATTCGGGTTCTTTTTATCAGTGTTCGCGGATCTATAAATAGTAAGGGCACCGCCCTCTTGTTTTCTGTGAAAGCGAAAGTACGATTCTTGACTTCCACTTCTTGCATTGAGAACTTTTAAGACAGGAAATAATTCACTAGTTCCGACACGTGATGCCATGGTAGAAAGTATCTTTTTTATTAAAAAAAATAAATAAATACCTGATTTTAAAAAAAATGGGAGCTTGAGACTATTTGACCTTGACCTAGTTTGATTGCTCTGTACAAGGCCACACTGCGGAGCAGACGGTGAGATCATCCCGTCTGATCAAAGCGCCATTGCAAACTCTGGGCAGGAATGTTTATGTGATTTTTATTAATGTCCCAAGACAGGAATGTTTATGAGAAATGTCCCTGGACAATTTATGTGATTTTAATTTTGTCCCACCTAGTGTTATATGCACGCCGCCTTATATTCTCTTACCTTATTATACGTTCTCTTATTTTATAATCTATATTCTCTTACTGTATAATCTGTGTTTTCTTACCTGATAATATATTTTAACTTACCTTTTAATCTATATTCTATAACTCTTGTTGTTATATACGTTCTCTTACCTTATAATCTACGTTCTTTTATCTTATAATCTATGTTCTCTTATGTTATAATCTATATATATTCTCTTACCTTATAATCTATGTTCTCTTACTGTATAATTTATAGTTTCTTAACATTATGATCTAGATTATCTTAATTACAATCTATGTTCTCTTACCTTATGATCTATATTCAATAACGTTTATAATATATGTTATCTTTCTTTATAATCTATGTTCTCTTACCTTATTATCTATATTATCTTAAATTATAATCTTTCTTCTCTTACCTTATAATCTATGATCTATAACTCTCATAATCTATGTCATCTTACCTTATAATCTATGTTCTCTTACCTTATTACCTATGTTCTCTGACCTTATATCTTAAATTATACTCTTTGTTCAATTACCTTATAATCTATATTATATAACTCGTATAATATATCTTCTCTTACCTTATAATGTATATTCCCTTGAAATATAATCTATGTTTTCTTAAAATGTAATATATGTTCTCTGACCTTATGATCTGTGTTCTCTTATCTTATGATCTATGTTCTCTTAAATTATAATCTATGTTCTCATACATTATAATATGTCTTCTCTTACCTTTATCATCTACACGCTCCCATCATCCACGTTCACTGCTATGCACTGACAGGTCCTAACTGTGAAGCAGACGGCCAGATCATTCCAGCGGGTCAAACGGTGCAGCTGGACTCTGGCTTGGAATGCACATGCGAGAGTGGCATGGGCTATTGGGGTCCATCCCAGGCTCTCTGTACCCCCAAGCGCCCAAGCTGTGAAGTAAGCGTAACTAACTGTATTGTTGGACTTTTATAGCTACTTGAAAAAAAATAATTAAAAATGGTCTATTGATGAATTTGTCGTCGTCCCCCCACCCTCCCCCAATAACACACCTTTTTTTTTAAACAGTGATTTTAAACTTACTTGTAAACATATGAAAACTATTTTGATCTCTGCCTTGTTACCTTGCTAATACGATCTGTTTGCATTTTATAATTATTCTTTTTTACTCGATTCTTTTAATGAAGAAATTTAAAAAAGCAGGTCTAAAACAGAAGTATGATTGCTATGGGTAGCATAGTTGCTATGGGAAGTACGGTTGCTATGGGTAGTATAGTTGCTATGGCAAGTATGATTGCTATGGGTAGTATAGTTGCTGTGGGAAGTATGATTGCTATGGGTAGTATAGTTGCTATGGAAAGTACGGTTGCTATGGGTAGTATAGTTGCTATGGAAAGTACGGTTGCTATGGGTAGTACGGTTGCTATGGGTAGTATAGTTGCTATGGAAAGTACGGTTGCTATGGGTAGTATAGTTTCTATGGAAAGTACGGTTGCTATGGGTAGTATAGTTGCTATGGGAATTACGGTTGCTATGGGTAGTATAGTTGCTATGGAAAGTATGGTTGCTATGGGTAGTATAGTTGCTATGGAAAGTACGGTTGCTTCGGGATGTATAGTTGCTATGGGAAGTATGATTGCTATGGGAAGTATAGTTGCTATGGGAAGTTTGATTGCTATGGGATGTATAGTTGCTATGGGAAGTATAGCTGCTATGGGAAGTATGATTGCTATGGGATGTGTGGTTGCTATGAGAAGTATGGTTGCTATGGGCTATTGGAAGTATGGGGCCTGACTTTTGGCAACGGTGATGGTCAATGACCGATTCATTTATCTGTCACTGCTACCCTGCTGCTCGTTCGGCTGCCCGACGGCCCGTGTTAAGGACCCCAGGCGTTCCGGATCTGGGCGCGAGCCAGATTTTTTGGGGACCGCTGCCTTAATCTCAAAGCGAAATGTTTTAATTCGTAAATGCGTTCATGAATCAGTTGTTGTTGTTTTTTTTTAGTTTATCGGGCGCGCAAACAAAAATATTTTTGAATATTAAGTTATTTTTTACTTTGCTTATGTAGGAGTCATCCGGCCCTGGGATGGACATGACTTGTGGCTACTGCTGGTGTGATGAATACACCGGTGGCTGGGTGTGCCTTGATAGACCTTGCTATCCACCACTGTGTGTTGACGTCGTCAAGTCTGAAGATGGTTGCTGTGATGAGTGTCCTAACGGTGAGTTAAGCTTTGACGTCCTCGTAGAAAGGCGCAGCGAAGAGGCCTGATAAGAAAAATTACTAAATTGATTCTTTGTGCATTAACCAGTCGGATAGACGTAGGCCTATAACTTTGGCATCTGGATATGAGAATCAGACTTTAGGCCCAAACAGGCACAAAAGGTTTGTTATATGACACGTGGACGGAAATTTTCACTTAACAAATCTGAATCCTTGTAAACAATTGTGAAGTGTCTGGCTAGTGCCTGTCTCTATGAGTGTCTGACTAGTGCCTGTCTCTACGAGTGTCTGGCTAGTGCCTGTCTCTACGAGTGTCTGGCTAGTGCGTGTCTCTATGAGTGTCTGCCTAGTGCCTGTCTCTATGAGTGTCTGGCTAGTGCGTGTCTCTACAAGTGTCTGGCTAGTGCGTGTCTCTATGAGTGTCTGGTTATTGCCTGTCTCTACGAGTGTCTGGCTAGTGCCTGTCTCTACGAGTGTTTGGCTAGTGAATGTGTCTAAGAGCATCTGGCAAGAGTGGGTCTCTACGAGTGTGTTGCTAGTGCCTATCTCTACGAGTGTCTGGCTAGTGCGTGTCTCTACGAGTGTCTGGCTAGTGCGTGTCTCTACAATTGTCTGGCTAGTGCGTGTCTCTACGAGAGTCTGGCTAGTGCGGGTCTCTATTAGTATTAGTGTCTGGCTAGTGCGTGTCTCTACAAGTGTCTGGCTAGTGCGTGTCTCTATTAGTATTAGTGTCTGGCTAGTGCTGTCTCTAGGAGCGTTAGCTAGAGTGTGTCTCTTCAAGTGTGTTGCTAGTGCCTATCTCTACGAGTGTCTGGCTAGTGCATGTCTCTACGAGTGTCTAGCTAGTTCATGTCTCTACAATTTTCTGGCTAGTGCATGTATCTACGAGTGTCTGGCGGCTAGTGCATGTCTCTACAATTATCTGGCTAGTGCGTGACTCTACGAGTGTCTGGCTAGTGCATGTCTGTACAATTGTCTGGCTAGTGCGTGTCTCTACCATTGTCTGGCTAATGCGTGTCTCTACGAGTGTCTGGCTAGTGCGTGTCTCTACGAGTGTTTGGCTAGTGAATGTGTCTAAGAGCATCTGGCAAGAGTGGGTCTCTACCGAAATCTGGCTAAAGGGCCTCTACCAATTGTCTGGCTAGAGTGTATCTCTACAAAATTTATGGCTACATCCTCTACCGATGTCTGGCAAGAGTGTTTCTCTACCAAGGCCTGGTTTGAGTGTTTATGCTTAGTGTGTGTCTGACTAGAGTGTGTCTCTACCGAGTGTCTGGCTAGAGTTTGTATCCACAAGCGTCTGGTTAGAGAGTGTCTCTACCGAGTGTTCGGCTAAAGTGAGTCGCTACCGAGTGTCTGGCTAGAGTGTGTAAAGACTACATTATCATAATTATCACGTTCATAATTTTCATCTTTTCAGACATATGCATTTGTATATTAGTCAAGAGATACCATGTCTCCTTTAACTTCACAGGCTACAACTGTGAGGCTTTTGGAGAGATTATACCATGGGGAGAGATGAAAACACTTGCCAGTGGCATGGTGTGTTCCTGTGAATTTGATTGGAGCTTTGGCTCGTCGCCTCTGCAAGCTCAATGTTTCCTAATACCGGAGACGACTCAGCCCACACCCGAGTACACACCTGAGCACACACCTGAGAACACACCTGAGAACACACCTGAGAACACACCTGAAAGCACACCTGAGAACACACCTGAGAGCACAACTGAGAACACACCTGAAAGACCACCTGAGATCACACTTGAGTCCGCACCCGAGGACACACCTGTGGAAAAGTGATAGACCCCGTACAACTATGTTATTATTCACAAGTGAGGGGGCCCTTAAATCACCCCCAGATGTCGACAGCCACCGCCCCAACCCCCTCACACCATTATAGCATTTTAGGACATTAACACAATTCATGTAAAAGGTTCTAACAGATTAAAAAAATTCTACATTCCGCTAATTTCTCTCCTCCCCCCCCCCCTTCACCCCAATGCCATGTCAACATATCTAATGATGTCACAAAAGGATAACAATATTATAGCATTTTAGGACATTACCACAATTCATGTAAAAGGTTCTAACAGATTAAAAAAATTCTACCTTCCGCTAATTTCTCTCCTCCCCCCCACCTTCACCCCAATGCCATGTCAACATATCTAATGATGTCACAAAAGGATAACAATAAAATAAATGTTTGAAAATTATTTTAAAACATTGACAATTTGCCTTCTTCATTTAGGTTGAGAATCTTCATTAAGCAAATTTGTTATTGAGATAAGTGTATTGAAAGGAAGAATTTATTAAATCCTTTATTTTAACTTCACTTTTGTTCGTGGCTGGCTAAATCTTCGGACGGCTAATCGACCCGCTTCCCGCCAACCTATCGAGCTGAAACGTGGCACATAAACTCGTAGCCGATGACAACACACTCTCTCAAATTTTAAACCCCACCCCCCAACTACACCCCCCCCAAAAAAAAAAATCCGATTTTCAAGGGGAAGATAAAATAAAATTCCCGATAACTTCGCTAAATAAGATTCTTTAAATATATATATAGATATATCGCGTGCGTTTGGTGCGTAATTATTTTTTCTTTATATTTGGTGAAATAAGTCTGCGGTGTAAAAATAGGTGTATGCATGTTTTGTCAAATGTTCATCCCCAACTCTCATTGCTCAATTCTACATTTTATCAATGATTTATTCAAAAATCTCTGTTTTTAGGAGTAATTTAAATTTTTTTAAACCTAAATTCTGGCACAGCCATATTTCTTTCTAGCTCAATTATTTCTAATATTACTTCCCATGATTCCTAACACTTAAAAAAGGGTTGTTAGTATTTTCATTGCGTCAATGTTATAACGCCTACGGGACTCCAACTTCGGGTTTGATTTCAGAGTTTGCCTTCTCTTCGATGAGTTGCCATCCAAGGTTAACGAGACCCATCCTCCCGTTGTGCTCCACAAGCTTTGGATGGACTTAGTTTAGACCACTCGGCCACACAGCTTGGCTTGAATGTCTATTAAGCTGCGACATACATACACGCAACCCAATTTTGTTGTTTGCTCTTTTAGCAATTTAAGAGATAGGACAATTTCAGTTTTTTTTAATATTATAAAATGTATCTAAGGGAAATAACTCACCATTACATTTTGTCGTTCTTTTTTTTTTTTTAAATTAAATATCCTTTGAATATTGCATTCATTTTGTATTGAGATAGTTCCGTATATTTAGAATCGGAAATTCAATACTGCTCGTAAGCTTGCCTACCTGGTAATTAGGGCGTCGAGGGCCCTGGGCAAAGTAATGCACCAAGGCCCCTTATTTCCTTCTAGCCCCATGCGTTGTAATCGGTGTTGCCTTCAGAAAATTTCACGGGGTTGGGGAGGGCTTTTCAAGTGTTCGGAAAGTTGTGGACTGGACACCCATAAGTGCCAACCTAAGGCATAATGTGGCCCAAGGCCGAGGCTCCGACTCCGTCTCTCCCCACCCACACATAACAAACATAGATTCATTCCGTTTGTGGCATCCCCTGAGAGTCTACTCTTGGCCCGAGCTTAGTTTTGCCCTTGGAATCTGTATAGATTTTAAAGTTCAAGAAAATCAACTTAATTTAAAAAATTCAGTGCTTTTTTGTGTACTTTATCGGGGTAGGAGCAGAAAATCAAGCGCGCCGAAGGCTCACGAGCGAAACATGAGATAGGGATGGGGGGGGGGGGTCTCAATCAGCCCCCGGAAAATGTTCGATCGATTCGAAGTGCAGGATTATATGCATTTAGTTTTGCCTCAATGAACAATAAAGCAACAGAAGAGACGCCAGGCGACCTTTAGGGTCCACTTGACCTGGTTGTGTTTGTACAAATCCTTTCCTTTGTTGTTGTTTGATATTTCATTTAATGGTGTTTAAAGTTTTGGAACTGTCATTTCGAACGATTTATGAACTGAATTTTTAACAAAATATACCAGTTCAAAAAAGTTGTTCACAAAAAGGACTTCCAACACCATTTTATATGTTTTACAAAACAGAAAACACAACGTTAAGTGGGTCGTCTATTGTGTCATCAACTTTATGGATTTATTTCACATTTAAATGATTTGAAATTTATTATTAAAAATAAAAAGCAATCTTGATTTTGTAGAGAAGGTTCATACATTTCTAGAAATGTTTAAATGTGTCCTTTGTAATAAAATGTTTATATAAATGGAATAAATATGTAAAGAAGATAGGATATTATATTTACAAAAGGCTTTATAATACATTGATTAGTTTACCTGCCGGGCGTTTAAGTAGTATACATTTCCCAAAAATTCATCGAATTGAAAGTTTTTTTTTTTATTGGTTTTTTAAAATATAAAACTAATTTAACTTTCTTAAGATATCATTATGAATTACTCTCTAAAATTGCGTCTATTGCACGGCTCTTAGATTTACTTTAAGACACTTCACACCGCGCCCACCCTGCAAAATCCAGGAGTTATTTTTGAATTGACAAATTTTGAATATCAGTACCAAAAAAACCCAAGTGTATCGATTTGAAAGTTGAAAAACTTGATAACAAAATCTTCGGAAACCTCCCCACTGCCCTTCTCCCCACTGCCCTTCTCCCCACTGCCCTTCTCCCCACTGCCCTTCTCCCCACTGCCCCTCTCCCCACTGCCCTTCTCCCCCCTCCCCTTCTCCCCCCTCCCCTTCTCCCCCCTCCCCNTTAAAACATTTGAAAAATTCCCTCCACAACCGAAACTAAAAGCCAAAAACAAAACTGGGCCCCCCCCCCCCCCCCAAATTACGATACTTTATCGGGTTTTGATGTATAACAGCCTAAATAATGAAAACAAAATAAATAAACACATTTTTCCTAGGCCATTAAATGTTATATTTAGACCTTCCTTATTTTTAAAGCAGTATTTTAAAGGTTTATGCTTGTATCATCAATGGCTTTTGAGAGATTGGGATATTTTTTAAACGTGTCCAACATTCCCAACTCCCTTTTTTTTCCACGTCCCTGAACTAAAACTGAAACAGATATAATATTTCCTAAATTTAGAACAAAAAAAAATATTTATAGATCTAACAAATTAAATATCTCTAACATTAACCCCATTTTGAGATTTCTTTATCTTCTTTTAATACATACCTTAATGAGACAGATTTTGTGTAAATAAAACAAATATAGGTTACATAGAATACAAATGCAACAGCATGGGCAAATTGTACGAAAAATAAAAACAAAAGCCAAAAAATAACAATAATTATATAAGTATAAAATAATTTAATAACAAAAGCTTGATGGAGGAATACTCAATTTTAAAATAAAATTATATTTTAAAAAAAAATAGTAATAGAAAACTGTTTCCGTTATCGGCTTGGAATTAAAATCGACGATAAACTGTTTCAACAATAATATCAATCAAACACAACAAGGAGAGAGAAACAAACACATTTCAGATAAACTGTTTCAACAATAATATCAATCAAAACACAACAAGGAGAGAGAAACAAACACATTTCATCCAATGTTCAAACGTAAGAATGAGCGGCCACCGGAACAAGAATGTATTTACACTTAGCGAGAAGCTTTGGGCCCAAAAAAAGCGGATTAAAGTAGAACGGTCTCGACAAATTTGCTGTCGGCGTTCTGTTTCAAGCATTTTGTCAATTCTTCCTATTAAAAAAAAAACCGATTGTTAGAGACAGTGTAACATTGCATTGTTGATTGTAAATCAGAACAACTTTGTTTTTTTCTGGTTTTAGCGCCATCTCCTATATTTTTTCTGTTTTAGGTAGGATATGTATATTGATATTATCTAAATTTAATTTATACTTACTTAACTGTGTTTTGTTTGTGTGTACTGATGAAGGCATGTGCCGAAACGTTTAATTGTGTGTAATGTATAATTATTATTAAAGCGTAACTTATATTGTTCTATTGACACAATTTCTTCGTGTCTTATTAATCTATTTTAAAGCTTTATCGCAGTCGAACACTTTTTATAGCTAATATTAAGCGCTGATCACCCTCAAGATATTCCTTTTTTCCCCCCGGTTAGTGGGGGACTTGCCAGGGTTCCCAGACCCCTGCCTTCAGCGGAACATCTCTCCGAGTATTGGTATTATTACATTGTTTAGCCTTATTTACAGGCGAATCTAAAAAAAGATTGCAAATGAGCTTAAGCCAAGACATTTGTCTGCCCTGACCTTCTGTCTGCTCCCGAGTGCCATTCCGAAGACAGATTCATGTCCTAGACTTTCAACCACATGTGACCCAAGGAGGCGGAGATTATCATTTAGCCTTTGGTGTGGGGGGGGGTCTTTTGAGGGAAGGGAAAGAAAAGGAATTTAGGGTGGGGCATCGCTAGGAATGAAGGTAATAATGTTTCAGTGAGATTAATGACACATGCGCATTTTGAGGTTGATAGTTAACTGTGTCTTGCACTAATTGTTTGCGGCGCAGATGGCAGGCCATTACGGTGCTGGAGTTGGGTGACGTTGGAAGACACCGATTGATTCAACGGCGGGAGCAGCGGCGTATGCTTTGGTTGGTGCGCCTCTTGTGGGCCTAGTGTTTTGTCGACGGTTCCCAAGAAAAAAAACAAAAAAACCTCTGCCACAGGCCGTAAATGACACCCCTCATAAAAAAAGAAGAAATTGAAATTACCCCCCCCTCCCCCCGGGCTCCCTCCACACACCCTTCCTACGCCAGTAAGTTAGGAGGACTTTTTTAAAAAAAAAAGTTCGGATGAACTTACATTTTGACGTCATAATCCGCTGTCAGTGTGGCTCCCAAACTTGATGTGGCTTATTTTGTTAACAAAGGCGGCGATTCTCAACTTGTTTTGTCGCGACCTCCTCGGGGTCGCCTAACAACATTGCAGGTGTAAGGTGTCGCCTGGAAACTACAAACAAAAATAATAATAAAAAATAAATAAAATATATATTTTTTAATGTGCTATTTTATCTCATTTGTAAGCCTACCCCCTTTCATTTAAAAATTAAATATATATTTTTACAGTGATCGGGCTGGTACGTTTATCCAGTCACTGATTCAAAGAACTCTTCTGAATAATCCTGGTTGCGGGTCGCGACAGCAAGGCAAATTTGACCAAACGTTCACGGTACTTAACAGGTTGAGAGCCACTCGCAAAGGGGGGGATCAATTGTATGTACGCAATGACAGATCTATATTTAGAAGAGTTCTTTGAATCAGTGAATGGATAAACGTACGAGAAAAATTCAACCAATTACAGAGATGGAAACACGCGATGTCCGCCATTTTGCTTTTCAGTAGTTTAATTTTAAAAAAAAAAAAAAAATGTGTCTCGTTACTGTCGCACTCAGTACACAGAATAAAAAAAAAAACAGGGGGGGGGGGGGTAAATCTTT